AGCTTATCCGGGACTCTAAAATCGCGTACGCTCTGCTCCTTCTCAGTATACGCTCTTAGTACTCGCCTTCTAACTACGAGTAATTCAATTAAAAGCTCGTAGCGTTAATTAATGCCCCTAGCTTTCTTTCCTTACCCTCTCGAGCTACTTTCGATAACGGAGGGAGGAACCTGAAAAATAGAAAGGTAGTAGTTTAAGGAGCTATAGGTTTTACTATACAACAGGAGACTACTACGGCGGCGAAGGAAGCGAGAGCCGTTATTCTCTAAAGCTCTTTTCGGAGAGACCGATCCCTAATTACCGAGCTCTCTCCTCCCCCCTTAGTCTCCGTTCTCCAACGTCAGATTAACTACCCCTTAAAGTGAGCTAAGGCCCGTAGCTAGAACGAATTATGCCTGTAGTTAATTGATCAGGGGCTATTCCGAAACGACGTTACTTATTAAAGCGACTATTACTTATTAAAGCGACTATTACTTATTAAAGCGATTACCTCGCTCGCTGAGACGCGAAGGGGTCGAAGAAAAAAAGAAACCTAAGGGAGTTCCTAGCTACCTCCCGCCGTCTGCCTTACTACCCGATTAAGTTAAACTCTAAGGCGAGCGACGAAGGCATCGAGAGTTAGGAGAAAACGAAGCTCGGAGTAACGAAATATCAAAGAACTTACGCGCGCCCTGCGGCTTTAAAAAGGAAGGAGGTCCTTAAAGCACTAACCGAGCGTATAACTATTACGTAACTATCGGTAGGAGCTACGTATACGAGAGCACGCGCGGGGAGCTATCTTACGAATAACGGAAAGGGGAGCTACGAGAAGGTAAAAAGGTCTTATTCTATCTAAGAACAAGCTAAAGAAATAGAAGCAACGGGAGCATATATATAGGAGCTCTTATTACTAAGGTAAGTAACGGAGAGGCGTAACCTAAGGTACTACCTCTACGTGATAACGCACTTTATTACCTTGAAAAAAATAAGTAAAGGTACCGATATAGAGCACAGTTAATAGGTTTACTAATAAATTATATAGGAAACTATGTAATGGGCTATGCCTATTGTAGGGCCCTGGCTAGTGCTAGGGCATAGTACGTGTTTAGGCCCTTAGTACCTACGGAGGATAAGGCTAGCTGTTGTAGGTACGGCCTATACGGCGTACCTTTTTTCTCCTTTTTCTCCTCGTCTAGCTTTAGTTCATTAATATACGGCTTTTACCTAGCGAATAGCTCTTAAAACGGTAATAAAAAGCTAGACTAACCTTCTTTTATCGTTTTACGGATTAGTACCGAAGCGAGCGGAATTAGTAGTAGGAACGGCGATGTAGCCCTTAGAGAAGCGGTACTAAGCTAGCTATCAGAGAGGCGGTATTAGCTTCTGGATATATACGCCGGTAGCCCCTACGAAAGAAGACCGACGAGAAGTAACGATTTAGACCAGTATCTTAGTACGCGGGATTAGTAGTAGGAAAGGCGATGCTAGCGTTTACGCCGGCTAAGTTAGCAGTTAGAAAGGCGGTATTAGTCTTAGATATACGCGCCGGTAGCTACTACGGACGAGGACCGATATAAGATAACCTAAAGAAAACGACCGATAACCCCGAGAAAACGTAGATTTAGACGGTAATTTCGAGATAAAAGAACGACGAAATCGACGAAATCTACGGCTAAAAACGGCGGAAAATTTTTTTCCGGAGAAAGATGGTAGAGCGTTAGAGTATAGCGCTCGTCGAGAGTTAAGAACGCCCGAGGCGTAACATAAGAAGGAACGGCGTTAGAATAGCGACGAAACGATAGGTTAAGCTAGGATAATAGCACTTCGATAAGGGTACTAAAGGTACTAGCGGTTTTCGGAGAGACCTCCGGTCTCTCGGTAGTATCGATAAGGGCGCTAGCGGCGCTAGTAGTAGACGGGAGGGCGCGCCCCCGCGCGCTCTTAGGCGGAGCCCTTTAGACTCCGCTAGCGGACGATAGACGATGGTCTTTAAACGGGCAGGGACGGCGTACCTTAGTACGTCCTCCGGCGGAGCCTCGCGGCTCCGCTAGTAGTACGAAAGGATAGGCCCCTGGCCTTTAAACGACAGTAGACGAGAGAGCGCGCCTTAGTACGCCCTTAGGCGGAGCCCTTAGCTCCGCTAGCGGAAGATAGACGATGGTCTTTAAACGAGTCGGACGGCGTATTCTAGTACGTCCTCTAGCGGATCCGACGGGATCCGCTAGCGGAAGATAGACGAGGGTCTTTAAACGGCGGTAGACGGACCGACGATCCCGTAGCTACGGGAGTTAGGCTAGACCTAGTAAGCGCCCATAAGCGACTTCGTACGCGAGGCTTTAGAGCTTTACGGTTTAATAAGAGGATCGGAACTAGCCCTAAGGGAGTAGTAATATCCTAGGAAGAAAGAGAAAGCCCCGGGGAATAGCAGCGCCCCGGGGAACGAAAATAGTAGCCCGGGAAGCGGATAACGTAACCCGGGAGACGGAAACGGCGGCCCTAGGGGAATAGCATACCGGGGGGCTAGATAGTACCCGGAGCGCCGGTAGTACCTTAGGAGGAGGAGGATATCCCGGGGAAGAGTAGGACCCGGGGGAAGAGCGCCGGGGGGCTAGAGGCGCCCGGTATAGTACCCCGGGAGACGAAAGGCCCCGGGAAGGAAACGACGGAAGAGGAGACCCCGGGGTATAGTATAACCGCCGGGGAGAAGAGGAAGGAGGCCATACCCGGGGGGTATTAATACCCCGGGAAACGAACGGAACGGAAGAGGAGGAGGCCTAGGAATATACCAGTACCTTAGGCGGCGGAGTTAGTAACCCGGGGAGCGAGTAGCGTACCCCGGGGGACGGAGGTAGTACCTAAGGATACGGTACGTATCCTAAGGCGTAAGGAAGGAAAACGGGTTAGGTTATTAGGGCTAGACGCTAAAGAAAAGGGCGGTAGGGCGTACTTTTTTTTTCCAGGAAGGGACCTTATATAATAGGCTATACTTATTATAAGGCCCTGGCTAATGCTAGGGCATAGTATGTAATTAGGCCCTTAATACCTACGGAGGATAAGGCTAGCTATTATAGGTACGGCCTATACGGCGTACCTTTTTTCTCCTTTTTCTCCTCGTTTAGCTTTAGTTCATTAATATACGGCTTTTACCCAGCGAATAGCTGTTAAAACCGTAACAAACTGTTAGTGTAATGTTAAAAAACTTAAAATCGTATATAACTTCTTATATTAGTAAGCAGAAAAAAATCGAAAAATTTATATGTTGGTTTAATTAAGTTAATTGATTACATAAGAAAATTTCAGATTTTTCCGATTTCTTTTCGGCTTTTTACGGGGATAAATCGTTTGTATGTAAACTTATATAAAATACCCGGCTCGCGAAGGGGTGGCTCGCAGAGGGGTGGTCTAGCTTACTATATTAGTCTACTACGCCGGCAGCAGAGCTTAGGTACGCTTTTGCGAACGCTTTCACGAGTTTTCATTGTGCCGGTTGCTCTGCTTCCCATTACCGAATATGTTATTGTTGTCTACACTGGTTCTGCTGTCCAGCTTCATACCCTAGCTAACTACCCGGGTAATGTAGAATTAGAGGTATGTAGTTGATGTCAGGTGCGTAGGTACATCGGTACTTCCTTATCGCGGGGCAACGTCAATCACCAACACGTGGGGTAACTCCCATTACGTAAGGTACCAGGGCTCGGTGCAAATAGCTGCCTAAAGACTAGGTACCTAGGTATTATTTATTATCCGTAGCTACTTAGCAATATAATATTACCGCGACGCCGACGAGGAGCCTCACTCAGGCGCCGGCCACGATATCAAGAAGAAGAAAACTCGCCGAATAGATCAGAAGTCCGCTTGCTCTCATCATCCAACCGGAGCAAACACCCACAATCGCCGTTGTTCTCGTCTTTGTTTTGTCGCGCCCTTGCGGTTCAGCCCCTGCCGTTGTTTGGTAGATAACGCAACCCGCCAACGCGGTCAGTCAAGCTTGGCTCTGAAAATCCAAGCACCGCGTTTCGTCCGATACTTGCTCTCAATTGGCTCGAGGTTCGAACGAAGCCTCTCTAGTCCGCACTACCTCTGCCGTGTATAGATGGGGACTCTCCATCTCGATGTTCGTACCCGTGTCCACCTCGGATCCTCGCTGGTGCCTCTGTCCGAACTACACAGCCCCAGCCTGATCGGCCAAGGTCGCCAGCATCGTCGTCCTCATCCTCGGCTTTCCGACCGGTTCCGTGCTCGCACCTTCATAGCCGATCTCTGGATTCGTTGCTAGCCCTCGCCGGGGTGGCGCCTAAGAACGCGCGCGGATGGGTACGGTGACTATAGTGTGACAGGGGAGAGAGCTAGGCGGGTTACCACGGTCCCCTAAATAGGCTGATGCCACGCGCTCAACACGGGGTTTCTCGTGGCAGTGCGGTACCTGCTTTTACGTGTTCACAAGAATGGCTGGATACCTACGCCTTAGCCTCGCAGACGTGGACGTCGTCCTCTGTGCCCCGATTCGCCCTACACGGCCCTGTTGCAGCGACCGGAGGGGCCAGCTGTCCCATGCGCTGCAGAGCCCGATAGTGCTGGCCCTCCTCCGCCCGTTAGGCATCGGCCAGGCTCAGCTTATGATTTATTTTTTACCCTCTCTTTTCCTCGCCCTCCTTTCCCTCTTCCTCCCCCTCTCCTCTCTCGTGTAGACAAAAGAGACAGCCGTGCGCCACGTCAACCTTGCGCATTTATGGTCTTTCACATCCCCGCCGCTCTCCTTCCGCCCTGCCGTGACACTGCTCTATATTTGTGTACCGAGTACCCCATCCGTCCCCACGTGGCTCCGACACCAAGTTGAGGTCTCGGGTCGTTTGAGGACATCCCGGCCGGTGATGGCGCCAATCCTCTTCAACCGCGTCAGGAACCGGTTAGGGCGCGGGCGTGGCCGATTGCCGGCAGATCAAGTGCTAAATGAGATTCGTGTAAGGAGCGAAGTGCATATAACCAACGAATACGGTGTTGTCCCGACCAACGATCGTGAGATGAACCGGAAAGCCGAGAGGACGCCGCTCGCACTCGGTCTCCTTGAGCATCCCGAGCTCGTCGATCCCCAGTGCTTGTCGCCTCTCTTTTCCAAGCTTCCGAGAGAGCTTCGCGAGTTGATCTGGCAATTCGCCCTCACAGGCTACGAGAACGTCGATAAGCCTTTTGGCCTCGAGCAGCGCTTCACCCGGCCCGGTCAGGCCGCTCGGCTACGCATCGCTGTCCAGATCCTTCTCACCTGTCGCGCAATCTACGTCGAGACCTACCTGATTCCGTTTCAAGCCAACCCGATTGTAGTATTCGACGGAAACATGGGAGACGTGCCTTTCGGAAACCCTCTTCTGCGAACGGCCTCGAGACAGCTTCTGTGCGATAAGCTGAGACTGTGGCAATTCGCACAGATATCTTCGGTCGACATGACTGCACAGCAATACACGTTGGAAGGAGGTTCGTCTTGTCCACACCAACTTCAGCCCCGTATTGAAAGCGGCGTCGTATGCTTCCCAGGTTATGGCCGCTAACTTGAGGACTAGGCTCGCTCGAACGGGTATCACGTTTGATCGGTACCCTGGAACGACACCGAAACCTTGAATTCTGTGGTTTCAATCTGGCTGGCTATGCGCAGTTCTTCAAGCCCTCGGGGAGTGAAAGTAGCGCCGGCGAATCATCCGACGCCTCAGACGCAGGCCGTAACATGATAAACCCGCTCGTCAGCAGAAAGATCACCCACTTGACTCTCCGTATGAACCGCACCGATTGGTGGACGTGGAGTACCCCTCCCGAGATCGCTCGAAGCGGTTCTGAGGAAAGGCTTAGGCTTGAGCCCATGATGAACACGACGGTGAGCAACCCAGCCATCCGGCTCATGACCCAAGGCAATGAGGCGCGTAAACAGGGCCAGGAGCCTGACTTTGGGTTGGACGATTTCGAGAAGGAAGGGCGTTGGGGACCACAGATTACGACGTATTGGCCGAGCCTCGAAACACTGGATCTCGTGCTGGAGACGTTCTCATGTAAGGAGGATCAACTCGACTACGTGGTTGAGTGTGCGAAACTGTGGACATTTCCGCTGGAAGACAGCTACGTTCTGACTTGGGACGGGAATGTGGACAAGACCAGATGGAGAGGCGCTTCGTCGTACGAATATGAATACGACGCACCATGGGCACCTGAGCAGAACCGAGGCGCGAACGTCGAATCCGGGGATTACTCGGCGACCCGGTGGAAACGTATGAGAAATTACGAAACCTGGCCGAATCGCAGTCAAGAATTTGTCGTTCGAACGATCCGTTACGAACGGCGGCACGTCTAGTCCCTCCGCTCGACCTCTGCTTGATGCGGACCTCGACTTCCCGGCAAGCAACTGGACCGACATGCATATCATATTTACGAAGCTCAGCCGATGATTCTTCTATATACTTTTCCTTTTCTATCATGACTTAATCTTACGATAAAGAATACTCCGTCTCCTAACCTTTTCTTCAGCACTTTGGAGGACGGAGTACACATTTGTAGTGACAGGGGATTGGTCTGGTTCACACAGGGTCACATACGTGGGCCGTCAGCAACTCGCAAGATACAAGCACGAATGACGATGGAACGATGGGAACTAACATGTTGCGAATGGAAGAGAGACTAAAATATAACGGAAAGAATGTCTACGATATCAGCACAGAATTCTAAAATGGCGAATTTATGCAGGCCTTCCAGCAGGTCCTCGAGAAAATCGGATATGTTGACTCTGAATTCAAACTAGTGTACGGCGCTTGGGACGCATACACACTATTTTCCGCCGACCTCACGTCACTGCCCTAGTACGACGAACTCATGACGGAAAGCCGTCCACCGTCGGCGACGAGAATCGAGCCGTTGGAGTAGCTCCCAGACCGGCTAGCGAGGTACAATATCGCACCGGCTATCTCCTCATCGCCACCGAATCGCTTCGCGGGGATGAACAATTGGTCGTCCATCGACTCCTCCTCCGGCTTGCGGTTAGCCATCATCACGGAAGCAAGGTCTGAAGGAAAGACTATATTTTTGGATCTTAGGTTAGCTACATTCTGCGGAAGGTTTCGGCCACCGGCTCTAGGTATGGTTGATTGTGGCCGCCTTAGCGGTTAGGAAATTGAAAACCAAAGAGAAAAGCGACTGGCCTCCTGGAGCGATGGCATTCACGCGGATCCCAAATCGCGCCAGCTGCGTGCTCGCGTGCTTCGTGATCTGCACGATGGCGGCCTTGCTGGCGAGGTACGGGATCGCCGAGATCCAGTGGCGGCTGAAGGCGGAGACGCTGGTGGTGAAGAGGACGTGGCTCTGGATGGCGGGGACGCCGGCGGCCACCGCCGCCGGGGTAACAGGGTGGCCGAAGCCACCTTGGAGGGCGTTGGCGTTGCCAGCGCTGAGGAGGTCGAGGAAGGCGGTCATGGTGAAGAAGGCGCCGGTGACGTTGACGGCGAGGGTGTCGTTCATGTCGGGCATGGCAAAGCCGTCGAAAAGGGCGGCGCCCAGCTCGGCGAGCGACCGCGTCGGGTCGAAGCGCGCACCGGGGCCGATGGTGCCCGAGTTCGCGATGACGAGGTTCACGTACCCGACTTCGGCGGCAACGCGGTCGACGGCCGCCTGCAGGTCCGCCTTCGACGTCACGTCGCACCGAACGGGCACCAGGCTAGCGTGCTCCCGCGCCGCGGCCTCGAGCACGTCGAGACGCCGCCCGAGGATGTAGACCTTCCGCGCGCCGTTGAGGGCGAGGGCTCGCGCCATCGTGAGGCCGATACCTGGGCAAAGGGGGCGAGGCCGCTATTAGCTATTTGCCGAATACAGGTCGCGACGACGGCGCTAATTAGAACGGACTAACTAACCGGTGCCCCCTCCGGTAATAACGGCGACGATGTCATCAACGCTGAAGAGAGTGGCTAGGTCCATCGGCAACGTCAATCTTTTCTCTTTCTGCAATATAGGGATGATATGAAGTAATAGCTCTAGCAACTATGGCAACAACAACGCGCAGGATATAAAGACGGGGAGAATAGAAGAACGTCATTACATCGTCTGGACCCTCGACTACACTTATATATTACAGCTACGCTCATACCTGTACGCCTTGTCGGTCTCTGGCTTTCCGGGGACCACAAGCACGATTAGAAATCAGAACTACCGCATGCAACTCTTGCCATCATCCTTGTTATGAGCCGCTCCTATGGTCCGCGCCCCCTTCCCGCCTCTGGACTTGCAAGACATAACTTAGGCACACGCTCCGACCATGTATGTCCTCCTTGGAGGCGCCAGAGGGCAGTTCCTCTAGCTGGCGCGCGACGGCAATTGGGGATTTCCCGGGGATTTATATATATGATACCCAAGGGGAGACAGAGGAACCCCGTAAAACATGACTTGTTTAGAAGCATCTCAAGACACATTCGGGTGTGAGGAGTAGGTCCACGGCGTCGTTGCTTCGTAACTCCTCGGGTCGTTACAGTTTCCGTGACTGGTCAGCATTCGGTCCAGTCCTCTAAGCCGAGTATGTCGAGAAACCTGTCGAACCAATTGATTGTTGTCGCTGTCGCCGTCATTCGGTTCGCTTGCTCCCCACCCCTCCGTCCATCTCCCACCTATACCCACCAACGTAAGGCCCCCGTCAGTTGGCTTACCTCGGGATATCTTACTAGGCTCGCCTTCTGACCGCCAGCTCGAACATGCTCATTCTGTCGACGTGCTAGTCGGTCTAACTGAAGAACGGTTTAGCGGCGGCTCCCTTCCCCCACGCCACGGCGGCCGACGGCGGCCGACGATAGCGGCGCGGCGATTGGTCGGCTACTCTTACAAATGCGGCAGAGCAGAGCACGGGTTTCTGTGCGGTCAGGGGTTCGCTTGATCGCGTGGGATCGCGATCTGCCAATTGCGTCGTTGTTCCTAGCCGGGCCTGTCAGACCCGTCTCTCGCGAGGGTAAGTATAGAACCTGCGTTACCTGCTCGCTGTATAGCAGCAGATAAGCACACACAGTATGTCACGGCTCGAATTTAACCTCGCGATAGCGGCCGCCGTCGGCCGCCCCAGGATTGCGGATGTTTCGCAGGCCTCGTCTCGCTCCTCGCGCGCTCCTCGCGCCCCCCAGGTCTGCGCCACCTGCAAGGCCCGCAAAAAGAAGTGCGACAAAGTGCTTCCGTGCTGCGGGTATTGTGTCCGGTAAGGCCAGCCAAAAGCACCCTTGGCATATCTGTTTTTCGGTCGTGTTCTGAAAGGTGCGCGAACAGGAAGAGCCTAGGGTGCAGCTACGAACCGCGGCCGCGCGCACCCCTATCCCTGGTCTCGTCGCGTGCGATCTCGGCGGACCCGGCGGCTGAAGAGCCCAGCTTGTATTTTCAGGTCCATCGGCTGATCCGCGAGACGGGCCAGTTCGTAGATGATATCAGCGCTCGCTATTTCCAAGGCTTCCACCACCACGTGCCCGTCGTCTCCCGAGCGCGCTTCCTGCGGAACCTGACGCTCGTCGCCGTCCCGCCCGCGCCCTTTTCCGTCCTCCTGCTGAGCATCTGCCTCGTCACGCCGCGCGCGAGGCGGGAGCGGCGCGCGGCGGATGTCGCCTGTGCGCAGTCGCTAGACCCGCGGCCTCTGTACCCAGCGGCGAAGTCGCTGTCAGCTCAGGTCCAGGGGCTGCTCCCGCCCGCGGTCCCCCTGGTCCAGGCCGGCCTCCTCCAGGCCTTGTACGAGTACACGCATGACCGGCCGGACGAGGCGTTTGCGTCGATCGCGGGCTGCGCTCGCATGGCTTATACGCTTCGGATGCATCCCAGCGACGGTGGTATCTGGCCGCAGGCTCCCGGGTCGCCAATCTCCTCGCCAGCCACAGGCGAGAATGAAGAGAGGGACCACTATTTGCAGACCCAAGAGGCAGTAAACACATGGTGGGCACTGGTAATCTACGAGCGGTAACTCGACACCCTGCTTCCTCTCCCCCTTGGAGGATTCCCATCGCTACCCCTATTCTACAGGCAAAGGCACAAGAACACACATGTTGAACTAATGCTGGCCCGTACTCTCACTAGTGCGTTCTTCTGCGACGTGACAGTCCCGGAGCAGCCGCTTGTCACGGTGATCCCAAGCGGAGATGCCCCGCTCCCACGTGAGCCGACCGACGCCGAGGGTCCCGACTCGGCGCCGCGGGTGCCCGTCTCGCGCCTAGAAGCGCCCGACGTCGGGAGCTTCGGGCGCTCTGCACAGGCAGCCTGGCTGCTGGACCAGGCGCTCGCCGCGTTCCGGGACCCGGCCGTGGAGTCGCAGCTCGCGCGCCTGCGCGGCCTCGACACTACCATCCAGGCCTTCCTTTGGACGCTGCTGCGCCAATGCGGTGCGACGCGCGACAGGCTCTGCGAGGCCGTCGCTCTCACCCTTAGGTACATCTCTTCTCCCTCTGACCCGATACGTGCCTAACATCGCAGCAGAGTCCTGTTCCTCCTCCACCAGCATATCCTCACCCGCCACTGCGCGTCCCTACCTCCGGCACCGCCCGAGCCGGACCCCGCGCCGTGGTCCCTCGCTGCCCTCGACGCCGCCGCCCACATGACCCTCGACGTCGTCGTCGCGCACGCTACGGACCCAGCTCTAGCACCCCGCGCCAGCACCGCCCCAAGCTACCCGTACCTCGTGCGGGCGGCGCTCGCGCACGTGCGTACCCGCAAGGATGCAGACGCGTGGGCGCGCACCGCGGAGGGTAAGCTCTGCGAGGCGCTGGACCGGTTCGAGGACACGTGAGCGGATCGGGTTTAGAGGGTGGATTTAGACCGTGGACAGGATGGGGGCGAGGGAGGGTATGTGAGCGAGAGAAAGAGGTTTGGAGACGATTGGGATGGTGTGATCTCCTAGAATGTGTTAAGAGGCCCCGGTGTCGGGGCTTACTGGGTTTTGGGCTTGGGCAGCTGCTAGAACCGGAGTTGAAGCCTGTTTTCTGGGTTACGTCGCAAGTTCTGGATACCGATCGCCGCCACTGCGGGCGTTGGATATGGCTACGTGAGGGCGTCGTCAATGTCTCTTACCGGCCAGACCGCCTTGTGCCAGGGGGTCTACACGTCAGACAATACCTACAAAACCCGGATATGGTGGCACGACAGGACCACATGATCGAACGCAGGCGCCCTATTTAGTCCGGATATGAGCCGAATGTTGCCCTTACGTGCGAGGAATTCTTCTTGCTGCACTCTCTGGGACCTCTACCGTAACGTTCCCCTTCTCTTGCCTACGATGGGGGCTCCTCAACGTAATTGCTGAATTTGCTGATGCTCATCAGGTTTATGTCGCCTTTGGAGATAGACCTTTCCCTATCCGGACCCGTCCCCGTGCGCCACGTCCTGAACAGACTACTCATAAATAGGCCCTATATCGGAGAGCTTCTCGAAGTTTATTCAAGCGTACGACCAGCCCCCCCTTTTTCTTCTCCTTCGGCCTTGACCTCGGCGTTAGTCAGATGCCGGGCAGCCATCGTCAGGAGGTGTGCAGACGTCGACCCCGCGCTTGGGGACAACGGGGTCCGGCGCCCGCAACGACGTACGATGACCCGCCGACCTGCTGCTCGGTGGTCCCAGCGAGGTTAAACCTGAACCCACACGGTCCCACCGCTCGGGAGCGTGCTGGATCTGGTAAGACTGGCACGGATGTCGGCCGGGACTGCAACCTCGCGCGGATGAAGACGGAGCGGCGGCGACAGCCACGCGTTGGCGTCAGTGTCCTCCATTGCCCAGCATTGTGGGGGTGTGGGTTGATAGGATATGCCAGGCAGATATGTATGCCTATATCGGCGCCTTTAGGTGTTCAGCGGTACATATGGCCGAGCAAGTGGTAGGTAGAGGGGAGAGATATAGGTAGCGGCTAAGTCGATACTGAGGCATCGCATCGACTTGCCTATCCCTCTCGTCCGACGGCATATGCCTTTAGCGGCTCGGGTGAATTCCGGCGTTGTCCCTGAGGCGGTTAGTTAACCGCCTTAGTCAACGTCGTCGTCGTAATCGTAATGCATCACGAGGCCCACCGGGAAAACCTCGGAACGGACTCTCGCGCCCGCCCAGGCTAGTGCGGGGATGGCCCCTGAATGGCCGGCTAGTGACGGCCTGATTAGGAAATTCCCCAGCTGCCGTCCCACCACGGTACTGGTCCCCCTAATTGGCCCTAAGCCGGCTAGAGAAGCTGCTCGTGCGGAGAAGGAGGCGGCCGGCTGGCCTGCATAGCGCGGTGCGGGGCTGCAGCAGCACAGTCATGGGCAGTTGGAGAGGCGACGCCGCCCGGGCAAAATGGAGGAGCGAGCACTCCGCGTTACCAAGACGCCGGCCAGGGTCGCAAACGGCCCGATATCCTTGGTGACATGCGGGATCGAATCGACAACCAGCGGTCGTGAGAGGAGTCGAGGAGCCGTTCGACGCTCGAATATGCGTGCGCACGTGCACCTAGGTAAATCCATCTTGAGAGCGGAGGCACGCTCGTATTCAGCATGCGGCAACGCAGCCAGCGTTTTCCGTCCTGATTATTATCGACATTGGTAGGGAATGTGGGTGACGTGGGTACCAGGTACCTAACCAAAGCTACCCCAACATAATATAGCAAGATGCGGCCGGCCATGGAGCTCCCGCTTCGTCCGCTCGCTCGCTGGTCAAGGCTCTCCATCCGGTGCGGGATGGCATTCTCGCTTCTAGATTCCCCGGACCGCGAGCGAAGCCGTCCGGCGAGGAACGAGGGCGGAGGCAAGTGCGGGTGGGTGCAACAGGATGCGGTGTGAGAGTAGCACTCTCGTGTTGCGGTTCCGGTTCCTTGGTATTTGCCGATGTAACGACCTGCTTTGTCAACAGGAGAAGGGGAGATTTTGCCTCGAGGCATGGATGGAATAGACTCTCCGCGCTGGCCGGTGCTCTCGAACATGGTATCACACGCGGCAGATCCTCGCTCGCTCTCACGTCGGCGTAATCTCGTGGATGGCCTGTGTTCGACAGACGGCGCTATCACAGATTCGGTGCCTTGGGCGGTATCTACCTAGGCAGGCACCTGTACCTACCGCTGCCCTTACAGATTGTACCTACCACCGCACACTCCTCGGCTGGCGGACTGAGCAGGTACCTGGGCATGTGGAGGAGGTAGGTACTACCCCAGGCAGCTCTACGACATCTAGCACCTACCTCCTATCTACCTCCTACCTAGGTACCTACCTACAGCCGGTCTGTAGGCCAGGATGCAGGTGTACCTGTTCCGGGATGGTACCGAGGTACCTAACCTAACCCCAGGTGGCCGTGCGTAGTAGAGGGCAATCCCCACAAATTAAAATTATTAACGCACCAGGGTCCAGTGCCGACGCGGCAAGAACCGGCAAGGGCGGGTCCAGGATTAGGTACCTACGCACGATATATCGATATTACTAGTCAATACTAGCACGCTGCTTCAGGGATAACCATACAGGGGGATCGGGGGGTCTGTTGGGTACCTTGGGTACCTAACCCACACTCCTGGATTGGTACTCGGTATACCTCTCTCCTATAATACATCTGCACGAGATAACACGTGTAGGTACCTCCTCCTCCTCTTCCTCCTCTCGCCATACGCACCTCTAGGTAGGGGGTAGGTGAGGGCCGGAGTGGTGGGATGTAACCTCTCGCCACGTCGCTGCTGGGACGAGACCCGAGCCGGAGCCCAGATGCGGGCAGTTGCGTTGCTAACCATCTCCATTCCGTCGAAGCCAGTTCAAGTTTTGCAGCTGCGATGATCGTTTTGGGTCGACCGAACCCATAGTACCGTCTCCCTCTCCCTCCTCTCTCCCTTCTTCTCTCTCTCTTCTTCTCTCTCCCTTCCTCCCTCCCTCCCTCTCTCTCTCTGTTGCTTACCACTACGCATCAACACCACTGCTACTAATATTCCCAGCCCGAAGATCCCCCGCGACGGACAGACTCTTTGGATACTATCGTTATAACGCGCCAGTCGAATGACCTAGGCGTCTAGTCTTATCGATCCCCTCTCACTACGTCGTATCTTGGACTACCCACATCGGGATCGAGAGTCCAGGCACCATTATAGCACCACCGACAGCCTGCTCCAGGCGGAGAACCCTGCTGGTTCGTGGGCTCTCTAGCTGCAGCTTGTGGCGTGGGCGGATCATGCTGACGAGGTATCGACCAGGAACCTCGGGGTCGGCCAATTCGTGCCCACTCGACATCCCGCCTTGCTTTTGGGCCCATGCCACCTGCTGATCACCGGGTCCGCTGGCTTACAGGGGCTAGAATCGCGGCAGCTTTGAACGCGCCCGCCCTTTGTTAAATACGGAGGCGTTCGGAATATTTTTTTTTGTTTATTTTTTAAGGGGTGCCCGTCTGATGGTCTCCCTCCCTCTCCGGATCACTGCTCCTCCGTCTTCTCCCCTACCTGGTATATCCAGACTTGCAGACCGTCTCCGCCTCCACTGCGGCCCGTTGACTTGAGCATTGTCGCACGCGAACCATCTTACAGAGAGTCTCGCCGGCCGCGCCATAGTCGCGATGCGTTCCGCGGCTTGGGTCACCCTCTTAGCGGTGACCACCGGTAGTACTACTGCCGAATCGGTCAGTCACCCTCCCATTGGCCCTGTTATTTTCACGTACAACCGCACCACCGCCCGTGACCGCGCAGATACATCCTAACACGCAGTTTGTAATTTCTAACCGTTCTCAGATTGGCAAACGGGATCTAGCAACCTCGGAGCCTCACTACCCGTCGCCATGGATGAACCCCGACACGAAAGGATGGCAAGACGCTTACGCGAAGGCCAAAGAATTCGTCTCTCAACTCACCCTCGCGGAGAAGGTCAACTTGACGACTGGTGTGGGGTGAGTCGGCTGCGTCTCGATGAGAGGGAGTAACCAAAAGCTAATGTCAACCAGGTGGCAAGGTGAACAATGCGTTGGCCAAGTGGGCTCCATCCCCCGGCTCGGGTTGCGCAGTCTCTGCCTGCAGGACTCGCCCTTGGGCATCCGTCTCGCCGACTACGTTTCTGCTTTCACCTCTGGCCAGACCGTAGCCGCTTCGTTTGACAGGGGTCTCATGTACAGGCGAGGTAAAGCCATGGGTGCTGAGGGCAGGGCTAAGGGGATCGATGTTCTCCTTGGACCCGTTGCTGGACCCATCGGTCGTGTCCCCGCCGGAGGACGCAACTGGGAAGGGTTCTCTCCGGACCCGTACCTGACCGGTGTGGGAATGGCCGAAACTATCAAGGGAATCCAGGATGCTGGCGTGATTGCCTGTGCCAAGCATTTTATCGGCAACGAGCAAGGTGAGCCGACAGGGTCCCGGGCAAGTTCGAGGAAGGTAGCTAACTCGAATTTAAGAACATTTCAGACAAGTCGGCGAGGCCGCCGGCTACGGCTACAACATCTCGGAAACTATCTCGTCGAATATCGACGACAAAACTATGCACGAACTGTACCTATGGCCCTTCGCCGACGCGGTGAGGGCTGGTGTGGGCTCGATCATGTGTTCGTATAACCAAGTCAACAACTCGTATGGGTGTCAAAAGTGAGGGAACCAGTCCGCTCGTCTCTTATTTACCCTCTAATGCTTCCCCATCGCATGGGAGGCTCCACAAACAAGCGTCACCTTTGCAATTGCTAACGGGAGAACACTACAGTTCCAAGGCGCTGAATGGCCTTCTCAAAGGCGAACTAGGATTCCAAGGATTCGTTATGAGTGACTGGCAAGCCCAGCACTCCGGCGCAGCCAGCGCCGCTGCCGGCCTCGACATGAGTATGCCCGGAGACGTCCTCTTCGGCACAGGGCTAAGCTTTTGGGGCACAAATCTCACCCTTGCAGTCCTGAACGGCACTGTGGCTCAATATCGAGTCGACGACATGGCTATGAGGATCATGGCTGCTTACTTCAAGGTCGGCAAGACTTTGGAAAATCAGATTCCGATCAACTTCGATTCGTGGACGCGAGATACCCACGGCCCTCTCCACTTCGCCGCGAACCAGGGCCACCAGCAGGTCAACTGGCATATCGATGTTCGGGAAAATCACGGCGATCTTATCCGTGAGCTTGCCGCTAAATCTACCGTCCTGCTCAAGAACGAAGGTGCTCTCCCCCTTAACAAACCGAAGTTTCTTGCAGTGGTTGGGGAGGACGCCGGTCCTAGCCCGATAGGTCCCAACGGGTGCTCTGACCGGGGCTGCAATAGAGGCACTCTGGCGATGGGCTGGGGTTCCGGCACTGCCGATTTCCCGTACCTGATTACTCCGATCGACGCACTGCAAACCAAGGCTATCGAAGATCACACTCGCATCGAGGCTATCCTCGACAACTCCGCAACGTCCTCAATTAACAGCCTCGTCGCCCAAGATGGCGCAACTGCGCTTGTCTTCGTTAACGCAGACTCCGGCGAGGGATATATCTCCGTCGATGGCAATAGGGGCGACAGGAATAACCTGACCCTCTGGGGTAATGGTGACGAGCTCATCAAGCAGGTTTCTGCGCTATGCAACAACACTATTGTTATCATTCACTCTGTCGGCCCTACTCTCGTGACGGATTGGTATGATTCGCCCAACGTCACGGCCATTCTTTGGGCTGGCTTACCAGGCCAAGAGAGCGGCCGCGCGATCGTGGACGTTCTATACGGCCGAGTAAACCCGGCCGCCCGATCTCCCTTCACCTGGGCAGCGGCGAGAGAGGATTACGGGGCAGACGTCTTGTACGAACTTAACAATGGAAACGATGCGCCGCAACAGGATTTTACCGAAGGTGTCTTCATTGACTACCGAGCCTTAGATCGGGCCAACATCAAACCGATCTTTGAGTTCGGATTTGGCCTGTCGTATACCAAATTCAAATATTCAGACATCCAGGTGGAGAAGAGCGATGTTAGAGAATACAAGCCAACTGCCGGTAGCACCGCCCAGGCGCCGACGTTTGGTAACTACTCGACAGAACTCGGAGACTATCTGTTCCCGAATTCCTCGTTCCCGTACATCTGGCAGTACATCTACCCCTATGTTAACACCTCGTCATCGCTCGAAGAGGCATCCCTCGACCCCGAGTTTGGTCGAACGGCAGAGGAGTTCCTCCCTCCGGGTGCCCTAGAATCCGCGGCTCAGCCGCTCAACCCTGCGGGCCCGAGCCTCACGGCGGCGCCGGGCGGTAACCAGCATCTCTTCGACGTGCTGTACACCGTGACCGCCAAGATCACCAACACGGGCGGCGTGGTGGGCGATGAGGTACCGCAGCTGTACGTATCTCTCGGTGGCGAAAACCCCCCCTTCGTGCTACGCGGCTTCGACCGTATCAGGATCGACCCGGGTCAGACGGCGACGTTCCGAGCGACCCTCACTCGCCGCGATCTCAGCAACTGGGACGTCGAGACCCAGAATTGGGTCATCTCCGACTACCCCAAGACGGTGCACGTCGGTCCCAGCAGCCGCAATCTGCCGCTGAGGGCCGTGCTACCCTGAGGCCATGGCAACGCCCCCCATCCCGTCCTATCTAAGATATTAGATACCTGGGTAACACTGGGGTGAGGAAGGAGGAGAAGAGGGGAGGCGTGTATGCGATGCTCATAACTAGTAAAAGCAGTGAAACAGAGAACATGCATACAAGTATAATGTATATAGGAAATTCTAAGTAATATTAATCCCTGACGTTCTCTCTACGAATCCGCTACGCATTTTCTTGCTCGGGGCTATTATCACTAATGATACATGCAATGCGGGCTGCCTTAGATTGTCGCCACTTTAATATGTCGACGTCACCGGTGCAGCTTAGGTCAGGGGACTATACGGGAGTGGTTTAATTGTTCTAACAGATGGTGAAGAGAGTTATGGTAGAAGAGTGCATATCCGATAGGGGCAACAAAAAAAGAAATACGACTCATAAAGGGGACGGGGAGGCAGAGGTGAGAGTCTGGCAAGCCCGCTGTAGCGCCCTCCTTCCCCCTTTTCCCTTTCCTCTCTCTGACCTACACAAGCCAATGATAGCACGTCCTCTACGCCCAGCCGGGGAGGTGGTCGAGCCCTAAGCGGAGAGGGACAGAGGTGTCAGTAGCACGTCGGGCGAAAAGGGGGGTAGGGAGGAAGCGGCGAAAAGGAAGAAGCTGGGAGGAAGGGAAAGAAGGAGAAGGATGCTTACAGCCGTCACCGATGTCCTCCTTGACGAGCTGGCGGTTGACGCAGTCGATGGCGGCCTGGTCGGTCTGGCGCTTGAGGGGGGCGCAGCGGTCGCCGGCGCACTTGCCGTCCATGGCGCGCTGGAGGGCGTCGCCCTGCCAGCCGAAGAGGTAGTCGCCGTGGAGGCCGTAGCCGGTGGTGTCGTTCATGCTCCAGACGAAGGGCTGGGAGCCGTCGGCGGGCCAGTCGGCGCGGTTGTTGAAGGCGCGGGTGTCAAACATGATCTCGTACATGATCTGGGGGACCTTGACGGGGTGGGTGGTGGGGCAGGCGCCGCCGGTCTCGAAGGTGCCGGAGGCCGGGTAGGCGACGTGGGACTTGTGGTCGGGGGAGTCGAGGTTCTTGCCGTCCCAGCAGGTCGGGAAGTGGACGGTGACGCGCCAGCCGCCGCCGCAGGCCTGCGCCGGGAACGCCTGCGTGTCCTGCCCCGTGCACGGCGCGCCGCCGAACGGGTTCTGCTGCATGTTCGCCTCGCACCGGTAGCACAGCCCCTTCTGCATCGTGCTCGCCTGCCGGTTCATCGGGTCGCCGACGAGCATGCGGAAGCCCTGCGCGGCCGGGTGGTGAGCGACGCGGAGAGAGAGAGAGAAGAGAGAGAGAGAGAGATAGAAAGGGGAGAGAGAAGAAGGAGGAGGAGGAGGAGTAGAAGGCGTCTTACGGGCGGGAAGGCGGTGACCTTGGCGCTGGACTGGTAGCCGCGGATGTAGTAGACGGTCATGCCGCCCTTGACGGCGAGGCCGAGGTTGGCGAACTGGGGGACGCGCTTGTAGGAGCCGTTGCGGGCGCGGAAGTAGAGGTTGGCGGTCCAGTAGTTGGAGAAGTCCTCGGAGTAGGTGCAGCTGGTGCAGGTCGAGACGACGGGCGGGTCGTACGCGACCGAGGGCATGCTGGCGTTGAGCGAGTTACCGCCGATCAGCTGGTGCATGTGTGCCGACGGCAGGTTGCCCGGCTCCACCAGCGGGTCGATCCGGTCGATGCTCAGCTGCGAGCACCCGAACCGCATCAGCTCCTGCGCCGCCGCCATCTGCACCGCCGCCGCCGCGGCGGAGAGGACGGTCTTGAGCAGCATCTTGTCGTGCTTTGCCCGGCCTTTTGCTCTTCTTTCTTTCCTTCGCCTTTCTTCTCGGGTCTTCTTTCCTTGTCCCTCTCTCTCTTAGTGCGCGCGCGGTGTCCCGGTCTGGAGAAGCTGGCTACGTTGCGGAGGTTGTAAGGGCAGGGCAGGGAAGAAAGAAAGAGACAGAGAGAGAGAGCGAGGCATCCCAGGGCGAGGGCCTGGGAAGCCCATCCTCTCTATATCCCCCGCTGTCCGCACCCGTACCGGTCACAGCCTCTCCGGGTAAAGCCAAGGCGGCCGAGCACGCGAGCCGCGGCGCCTATTGGGGGGCCAGGGGCCAGCGGCCAGTCCCAACTGCCGTTCGACGAAAGGCTCGCCGGTTAATGTGTCCCCCCAGGGCCCGGGGTGTGGTTCTGTTAGACGAGCCGGCTACGTCGCAGCAAATCCGGCGCGAGGTCGAAATTAACTATCGCGGACGCGTGCCTCCTTCGAACATATTGAGAGGGGGCGGATGACTCGGTAGTGTTCTTCTGTTCCTCCCTCGCCCCCCCCCCCCCTCCCTAGGTCGCAGGAGATCCAAGCCTCCTTTTTCGTCTACGCACGGGAACGTCATCGGATAAGCAAAACAATTCCTCTCTCCCTGTCCCCGTCCCTCTCTCTCTCTCTTTCGGCTCCCTCCCGCCCCCTTTTCCCACTCGGGGTGAAAGCTTCCCCTGCTAGCATTCTCGTCCCGAGCGCGTCCGTACAGGCTCCGTCGCCAACCAGACCACCCCGAGAAACGATATGCCGAGGCCCCTTTCCACCATACCCCTATCTATTTATATAAACGACCACCTCCCACCCCACCCCGGGGGCAGGAGGGCAAGTGCACGTCTCGCGCACGTGCGAGGGGCTCAGATAGGCCTTTAATATCCCGGAAGGGGGTATAAGCGATGACAAACACGCCCGATGCGGAAAACCATCCACCTACACGAGCGCGTCCAAGGGGGGTGGTCGCGTATGTCCTGCGTCCGTGAAGTCATACCCGCTGCCCCTAGAGCCGCCAGAAGGGCCGAGAGGCCCAATATATGACGCATGCTAGAGCGCATACAGCATGACAAATTCGGCCAGCGCACGGGAGGTTCCCCCGGCTGCTCTGCGTCTCTCTACGGGCGCGAGGCGCGGCACTCGCGGGCCCCCTCCCGCATCCCGATGCCTAGACGTAGGACCCGGGCCTGCGCTCTGCGTCCTGCGTCGAGGCAGCTGCGCCTGCCGAACGCGAGCGCTGTGCCGGTGGGCGGGCAGACGGGGGGGAGGGGAGGCCTCGAGATGGCGTCGTGACTCGGCAATCTATGCATGCGACGCGATGCGGACTACCGCGTTTTCGAGGTCGAGATGCTATTGGTGGGCTTCCGACGACGCCCAGCAGGCCTTAATTTTCGACTCGGCGCGACGAGTAACCATTTCGTCCTCGCTACTGTTGAGGGTTTTCTTCTTCTCGCCGGAAAGGTGGCGAGCTGTGTTAGTCCGTGTCGTTAGCAAGTCTAGTATCGAGTCCCGCGCCCTACGTCACCCAGGACGACTGCAGTATCGCGTTCCGAGGGCTTGCCGTGGCTCGCTGGCGGGTTATACTGCCGAAGCCAGGACACGAAGAGGGTAATATTAAGTATCAGAGGGATGGGCCATCTGCGCTCTCGACCTGGGTTTGGTCCGCGGAACAGGGACGTCCTATTTCGGTTGACATTCGTGAGACGTAGACGGCTTCTCTCTGCCCGGTTGCCATCTGCTGCTATAGGAGGATCCTTTACACTTCCTTCCGCGGCCGAGGACAGGTGCAGAATTACACAGGACTACTACCTGTATACTGTGCTCTAGTAGCACATCGCCGCCACGAGTTGAGATTCCAGCTTCGGTTGCCACAGGCTACCGCTGGCTTCTGAGCAACATCCGGTATCCTAGTAGACTAGACTAGAGCTGTAGGAAACCCAACAGCTCTCACTTGCGGGTCGCCGTAACAACTAGAGGCTATCTCCTCCTGGCCAGGCCCAGGATCGGTTATCCGAGTGCTCACAACGGACTCGAGAAGCTGATACGGCCCTTTGCATTTCGAAACTGCATACCTACCTGATACTATACCTGCGCCCGAGGTGGCCCAATAGACGTGCTCTCATCTGCGCAAGGACATGAATTTGTAAACGGGATCGGCGTCACCAGTGAATTCCTCCCGTGCCCCTTACTCGGGCGTTGTTGTTATCCTTTCCCAACATGTCGCTTAGCTTCTCGTCGTTATTAGGGACACGCTACGTAGGGTAAGAAACCGTTTCCTACTAAATACTACTCGGCGCACAATCTTGCAAGCAAGGATTCGGTAGTACCGTTGCAAAGTCCCTCCCTTCAGCATCGGTATTACGGGCAGTTAAGTAATCCACGTAAACTTCCTGGTTGCTGAGTAGCGTGACTGTTTTCATTGACTACATACAATAATGGTATCTGTTCCTGGTCCGCCATCTTCACGTCGCCTTATTGGTGGTATTTTTTCTACTCTACACGCAATTCTCCTCCTCGACACTGGAATGATCACGCGTCGCAAACGGAACGCAGATACCTCGGTACGCCAACTCGAATGGCCATGCACATCGATAGAAAGATGGAATGAATGGAGCTGTTGGTCTAGAGGACACTTGGGCTCGATGGTCTTTGGAAATGTTTTTGTCTATCACCGCGGAAGAATGTGGCACTCGAAGTGGAGATGTCTGCAACATTCCAATGGCCGGCGGAGCTGCTAGGAGGCTCTGGTATATAATAACTAGCGGCGCTGGGGGGTTGTCGCAACGCCCATTACCATCCGAGCATCTCGACTATGTTCTGGGCCTCAGCCTTGGGTATACACTGGATACCAAGCTGTCTAACTTGTGTACCCTTTCGCAACCGCTGGAGGCCCAGCGCGACTTTCCAACCTTCTTCTTCCTCAAGCACAAATACATATCGTTTCCCATCTTGATCTTTGATCGTGGCGCGGAGCACGTGCGGTCCGCGTAGACCGCTGCTGGCAGAATTGGACGATGCGGCGTCGTGTCCCCCGTGAGGGCCCAGGCGACACTCGTCCTTGCAGGAGTGAAGCAACTCGGCGAGGCAGGCGTCAGCTTCCTCTCCTAAAAGCGTCTTTGGCTGGCCGCGGATTGTCGATCGGAAGCGATGCGCAGTCGGCCTAGGCGCCGCCTTGGGGGTTGCGTTGGATTCGTTCACCACGTACGCGGGACACCAAATCTCCATTGTCTTGAGTGTCCAGGCTTTGACGTCCCACTCCCGCTGCGGTACGCCGCGAACATCGTCGTCGATGAAGATGCCTTCGGTTGTTATGCGAAGGATCAACCCGTCAGTCACCGACCCAAAGCCCGAGATGAGCTGGGATGCCGGGGTTTTCGAGAACTGGTTGAGGTAGCCGTACACGGCTTTGATAACAATCTTGTCTGGATCCTTCGTTGCGTAAGGCGCCCGCATGGATGGTGGCGGCGTTGTTCGTGACGTCGATTGTGACGGGGCATACGAGGATTCCGTGAAGATGGTCTCACCAGATTTTCTTCGCGTGTGCTTCTTCGGTTGGTCGTAAGGGCGGTATGAATAAATTTCCTCGTCCGTGACAGTGGCGGCCTTGGGAGACGGCACCGGTGGATGCTTGGTGGGCGTGGTGCTCGCGGTAGTCGTCGATCTGGGAGGGGAAGGCGGTCGGGGCGACGGCTTTCCGTTCGGCCAAGGATTGGTCTTCTCCCCAACAGATGAGTATGCATAGGTACCTCTCCGAATGCTCTCCGCCTCCTTCAACTTGGCCGCCTCCGCCTCTTGTTCCGCCTCAATCTCCCTCTGTCGAGCAGCCTCAGCCTCTCGCTGCCGTTCAGCCTCAGCCTCCCTTTGCCTAGCTAGCTCCACCACTCCTCTTAACCTAGCGGATTCTATCTCACGTAGGCGAGCGGCTTCTGCCTCCCTCTTCCGAGCAGCCTCGGCCTCCCTTTGTCTAGCAGCCTCTGCTTCCGCCTCTCTGCGTCGGGTGGCCTCCGCTTCTCGGAGCCGAGCAGCCTCCGCTTCCCTCTGTCTGGCCGCCTCTGCTTCCTTCAGGCGCGCTGCCTCGGCTGCTTCCTGGGCACGGATGGCTTCCCTCTCCTTGAACTCTCTCTCGAGCTTTTCCCTCAGTGCTCTTTCTCGTTCCAATCTTTCGCGAAGCTCTCGTTCTCTTGCTTCCCGTATTCTATTCTCTCGCTGTTGCCTTTCCCGTTGAATCCTGTCCTGTTCCTCTTTCTCCCGCTGCTCCTTCTCTCGCGCCTCCTTCTCATGAGTTTCACGCTCCTTTCTCTCCCTGGCTTCTTGTTCGCGCCTAGCACGCTCGCGGGCCTCCTTCTCACGTAATTCTTTCAGGCGCCTTGCCACCTCTTCCCTCCTTCGTTGTTCGGCTTCTTGTGCTTTCCGTTCTTCCTCTTTACGTCTCACTTCTTCCCTAGCCTTCTCCCATGCGCCCTTTGTAGGGGGTGCCTTGGCGGGCTCGTCAGGTGTCTCCCTTGGAGGCTCCTTCGGCTGTTCTTTAGGCGGCTCCTGGGGGGGTTGCTTGGGAGGTTCTTTGGGGGCTTCTTTGGGGATACTTTGGGGTGTTTGTTCTCTAAGCTGTTGTTTAGGCGGCTCGTCGGTGGAGATGCGAGTTGTCCCCCGTGGGGTTTCTCGAGGGATCTTTCGAGGTGATTCTCGAGGGGATTCCCGAGGTGGTTCTGGCGCGGGGGCGCGTGGTTTCTCTCGTGGAGTCTCTCGAGGAGCCTTTCGAGGCGATTCTCGACGCGACTCCTGGGGTGGTTCTCGGGGAGGCTCTCGGGGATTTTCCCGAGGTGGTTCTCGAGGTGGTTCCCGAGGTGGTTCCTGAGGTGGTTCTCGGGGGGGCTCCCGAGAGCGCTCTGGTGGCGGTTCTCGGGGGGTTTCCCGAGGTGGCTCTCGAGGCGGTTCTCGGGGGGCTTCCCGGGGAGGTTCTCTAGGGCGCTCTCGGGCTCGATCTCGGGGTCGCTCCCGGGGGGGTTCTCGGGGTCGCTCTCGAGGTCGTTCTCGGGCGGTCTCCTTAGGGGGCTCTCTGGGTTGTTCGGTCTCTTCAGTCTCGGCGTGTTGCTGCCATGAAGACTTAGGCCTATCCCCACCAGGCGTTGGCCCCGAGCGAGGCGGTGGTGGCGATCCGTGAGGAGGCGGCGGAGGAGGCACGCCAGCATCGGGAGGCGGACCAGCATGAGGGTTAGGACCACCGGCGAAGCCTCCGGTGCTAGGCCCAGGGCCATATCCGCCCCACGCACCTCCAAAACCCCCACCATATCCTGGACCCCCTTGGTGTTGCGTTCTTCCCAGAGCCCAAGCGCCGACACCTACGCCGACCATCAACAATAGCATCCCCATATTCCCCATCCCCTGGAAGCTATTCCACCATAGCCGAAAGACAGGTCCCATGGTCTGGGCCAAGACGACTAGTACTAGCGCCGAGGCAAATCCCGCAGCGAAACTGTTCAGATTCGGCTTCAGGGACGGGAGGTACAGAAACCCAGAACCAGACGAGTGAGGGGGTATGATGAAAATGTCATATTTTCCGGGGGGCAAGTTCGACTTCGCATTGGTGTTGGGGTCGGGGCTGGCGTTCGACGATCGAGGCATATTGCCGTGTGGTGGTGGCGGCGGTGGTTGATCCATGATGGCAGTCTAACTAGCGGTCGAAGAGGCTGTCGTGGATAGCAACGTCGAAGGAGGGGAGAGGGGATTAGTTGGGGAGTGGAAGACTCGAAAATTACAAAGAATTAAATGTTGAGAAAAGAAGGGTATCTTGGAAGGGCCATCAGGTTCGTAACGTCGTGAGAATTTCTGCTGCTGCTACAGCTACAGGTCAGCAAGCCAGACCGAGGAGGTTCATTGAACAGGCTGCCATTGCATAGCTGCAAAGGAGAGATGATAGCGGTTGATGAGGTGGGTGCAGGTGCAGTCATCCAAGTTGGAGGGCGATTGAGAGAAGCGAGAGAAGGGAAAAGAAGGGAAAAGAAAAAAAAACCTAGGTGGTGATGAGTGCGTAGGCAAAGGAGGTCAAAGTGTCGGCTTGTCTGACAGGGGGGGTATATTGATGGTCGAAATAACATACCGCGCAACCAGAATCCAAGAGAACCAAGATGGATTTTAAAAAAAAAACGGCTTGACCTCAAGACGGGACCCCCCATACGAGGCTCCCCCCGGATGGCGTGCTTCGGATCGAGATGTCTGCCTTGGCCGATAACAAAACGCGCGAGAACCATCCCACAGGACTTAATTCGAAAAGAGGGAAGGACGGTATTGTCGTCGACTTGTCAATGGATGATGTATGTATGGAAGCATGTATGACAGAGGCGTGCGGGAGAGACAGGAGGTGGAGAGGGGAGGAAGAGGTGCGCACAAGGAGTGAGGGACAAAGTGGCTGTCATGAAGGGATTAATTTACCCAGTGCTGAAAAGTATGCATGCATATGCCTATGAATTTGTATGAATATGTATACGAACGAATGGGCGAGGTATGTATGTATAGTGTGTGTGTGTATATATATACTTGGGTATATACTCATAGGTATGCGATGTTGTATACCTGTGAATGAGTGGATAGCACATACATATACAGAGGGGAAGGGAGAGGGAGAGAAGTTGATGACCAGCCACCTGAGTTGTGTTTACTTTATGAAATGTTGATGCGGAGCTCCGGCAACCAATAGCCATCGAGAAAATCCAGGAGCATTGTGGCTGACAAGTTACAATGTACACTATCCATGTACTTACACATAGCGTTATGGTAGTGAAGATACATAGCCCACACATGCCCGATTATCTAATAGGGGCCTGTGTAATCAAAGAGGCGCTAGCACTGTTCAGGCCGTGTGACAAGGCCATGGAAGGGGCCGAGGCTGGACCCCCGCCGTGGCCCATCTCACAACTCCCTGGCACTGGCTCTGCGCTGCTTAGCATATATAGTATACCTACATATACACACTACGTAGTGCATGCATTAGGTGCTTCCTCTGGTGTTGCATAATGCCGGCTGGCAATCCCGGCATAGACACATCATAAAATCAACTGATTCCTCATTGCCCTCACCTACATACGTATTCTCGTGCCTGTGCATAGAGTCCTTCTTCTTCTTTACATCCACCTCTCTCTCAACGCCTCAATTTCGATTAGCTCATCTCATAAAGCCGACTCCCTCCACCGTTCTCTGCCCTCTGTATGAGTAGGATTGGTGACGATCTCGTGTGCTCCACGCGCTTCTCCTTCGTTGTTGCGCCCAGCAGATATGTCGGCTACCCTACCTGACGAACCTCCAGTCGCCGCCAAGACGACTTTCCCCTCTTCCTATCATAATTCCGCCCAAGGCGCTCTCCATGACGAGTCGAGATGATAAGGTCACAATGTTTTTTTTTCCCAAGTCTCTCCTAACGGCTTTGAGATAGATGAATCGCGTCTCAGCTCAGAAAGTGCCACACATCCATTGGTTCATCACGCTATCCCCAGCTGCGGATCGACGCGCCGGTTGCGATTGTTCGACATGGCTATTGACTCGATAAGTTGGACCGCCAATCGCGACAATCCTACGCCCTTGTCATGATTGTGGCTGGTGGGCTGATTGAACAATTCACCTGCAAAACCCCCCTGCGGACCTACTACTCTGCGTGATCTATCGCCCGTCTTCGTCACATTTGATGCGTCGTTGTCTTCCATGTGGCACTCCCTCATATGCACTCGCTTGACACACTGCAGGGAAGCTTGGCGCGGATGGTTTACACTTATAATTTGCGTTATCATTTGGTCCATTGCGATCGCCTACCGAGGGCAGCCTGCGACCCCATGGATTACAAGCGATCTGTACCATTGCTTGACGACAGGCTGCCTTGATGAAAAGGACAGAAACGTACATGACGTGTGCATGTGGATGGATGTGAGCGTGTCCGCCTCGCCTGCTGCTTATGTAGTAGTAATATAGTGTATATCCCATGCTGTAAGTGGTCCCGCTTCTGGTTACGCGCTTGATGTCCCCTAGTTGCTAAGGCAACATGGTTCCCAGCCATCCCCAGCCATATTCTGAGGGAAAATTCAGCTGCTATTATCGACGCGCCAGCTCATCATCCCCTAGTCCTTCTTCCCTCCTTACCACCCAATATTTCTGAACCAATGCCGGGGTTTGGAAACTGCGCGGGAAGCGCTCAAATATCGTAAACTGTCACGCATCCGAAAGATCGGCCCCTCGACCGTTACCTATCACCCCCACGGGACCTTGCATCGCATGCCGACGCCACCTAACCCACCTCCCGTCTGCAGGGCGAAGGGAACGGTCCGCCATCGTAGCCTTACAGGGCTTGTTTGGCAATCATGCGTACGAAGTCCTCCCCCTCTCTCCCAAGATACCCGAGGACAAAATCAAGCGAATGGCAGAAGAGTCCACGTCATTAGAAAGGCGCACGTGCTCTCATGGAGACGCGGCTACGAATAAACTTCGCTACGTCTGTATTCGCGCCCATTATTCCCAAGCCTCCTGTCAAGTAGTGGACGTCTTCATATCCAGTTGGAAAGAAATGAAGGTCGCAATCTATCTAGGCTTGACAACGTTTCAGACTTGGCAACGAGAGCGGTCAGTCAGTGGAAGGTTTCATCTCAGGATCACCAATTCTGTAGATCCAAAAACCTTTCACAAAGGGGATTCCATCCCTCTTCTCCGATGCCGGGTGTTAAATTTCCCGCAGACGAGTGTTGGATATCTTATGTAGGTACCAATATTCGTCTAAGAGCACCGGAAGGCTCTGCTCAATATGCAAGCCCTCTTCGTTATGCGATATACTCACCCCCCGCGAAATCCGGAAGGGACGAGGATATGCTCAAGTAAGCCAAAACGCTCATTTAAGACACTGTCGCTTCTTATGGCCTCTGTCGTAGGCAAGAGAGGCGCATCTAGGTGCCGTCAGACCCATATACCCGACCCCTAGAGGATGGATGAGGAAGCCAATGTCGTAGGGAACCGCGCGTCTCGGAGGGTTCGGGGGCAGGGACAGTCTACCGGTTTCAACCCCGATTATCTATCGCATTACGACCCGAATGAAAGGTCGAGAGTTTACTAGCCACCTCACGAGGAACTCCTTCTCGAATAGATATTGTCCTCGGGTAGCCTCTGGATCTCATTATCGAGCGGCATAGAGAGCTGTGTACGCCATACCTTCCCGACATACATCAGTCACTACCTTCGAACAGACCAACTGCCCTACTCCGTTAGAACAGCTCGACGCAGGACACAAATGCCAGCATGCATATTATGGGCTTCCATAACCAACGAGGCACCGCCGCGCCTGCCTGCAAGACGATTCCTCTCCTCGCTGTTTCTGCTGATTCGATAGGCACATACCAAGGCCCATTCAACCCGCCACCCGCTTCCGTTGTAGACAAATGTATCAAATGGGAGGCAGAAGACAGCGCAAGATGTTCTTGCGGATCATGCGCAAGCCCCCTAAACCTGGTAGCGAGACAGTAGATACACATGGAGAAGACCCCAGGCGGTTCTAATGTGCTTGTTCAGATTAGCTATGATGCTAGAGGACTGCTCATGGACATTAACCATGTACTGCGTATGCTTAAAGTTACTGTAATAGCAGTTTTGCAGATCTCTGTAGGAACTAGCGCTCAGTCGCTGATTTACCTTAAGTCTCCTGCTCTCGTTACTTAGGTATGAGGATAGCTTGGCAGTGCTAACGTCGACGTGAGAGTAACCTACTAAGTCGTCATCGATGTGAACTAGGTCTTGTTGACTTGGTCGTCCCCGAGGCTTACATTATATACCTATGAGCTCACTTGTAGGTATTTAGTCTCCCCTCGATCGGCTCAACGTTAAATAGGCGTTATTATAACCCAATACGTCGATCATTTCATCGGCTTTGCGACTCAACCCAGGTTCGGCGTGAAAACAAGTTCGACGATCCCATCCAGCATCTTGGTCCGCTTACTTTCCGAACTCGTAAGATCACCGGGTCTTCGCTTTCGTGGCTCGACATTTACAATAAAGGGGGGGGGGGGGGGGGGGGTAAGACCCTCGTCACCCGACGAGACCTAATACTACCCTAACGGTTGCCGTCTTGGGTGTCTAATGCGGGTTAAGAACCTTAGGAGGTACACGTGCACCCGGGAGCTAGAGCCCACCTGGTGACTAATTGGGCTTTTCATCCGGGGGAATTTGTATATTGCCTCCCCGGTTTACGTCGTCCATTCCGATGCTCTGGGCGATCTGATAAGCCAAGCAAACTCCTCACCACGATACGGGTCTGATTGCGACGCCCCTCTCGAGGTCGGCGGGTTTGCTGTTGGGGCCGAGTGAAGAGTGGTCGTGTGTCTCGCGACCTGGGCAACATTACCACCTGTGTGGTTGTCGGCTCACCAACTGCCAACAGGTATAATCCCTGGTGGCGATACCGACGCGCCGCCATCGCGATCACGACCATCATACGCCATACTCGGCGAGAGTTGAATTCATTGGTCCAACAGATTCAGCGATAGTGCTTATTTCTCGCGGTAGCGAATCGGGGCCGATCGACGGTCTGAAAGAGATATTACCTAGAGGGAAGGGGGCAATATATTCCTGCAAGGGAGGGCGCTGCCTCGTGGCGGAGACGGCCCGAGAGAAACTCATAATATAGAGTAGACAAGCTAAAAGGCCTGGCTCTCCCACACCACTGTGGAGTGCAATCACGCTATGCCTACTTATCATATTGGCGTCGCAAACAAGCCCCAACAACCGATGCTCGCAATATAATCAATCGGTCGCTCATAGAAACTCGCGCCTACCGTCCGAGAGCGCATGGCTTGGCGGCGTCCGACAACTCGGGCTGGGTCTTCCACACCGAGCTGTCCTCCCGAGCTCGGGTCGCCAGCGGGCGCCGTAAGATCGACAGCATGGTTGGTGACACGACCTACCCGGTGACATCGCCGGGGTATTATCTCCTGTTCACGGGCAGTGGCACAGCGCAAGGGTCTGTCGGGTGCCAGCATATCAGAGAGGCAGCGACTAGGATCGGGAGTATGGTGTGATCCGTGTAACGGGGCAGGTCTACTACGCACGTCGCTACTGGATGCGGAGGGCACGAGGAGGGCGCCGATCGCACTCGAGCTCGGTCAACTAGGTACGTGTGCCTATCCTAGGTACCTACCGGCCTCAAAGGCGCCTTTGCGAGGCGTCTCTGCGATGCCGTGCGTAGTAGTAATGCGTGTGTAGTAAGAGCAGGAATGCGCAGCACGGGTGAGGCCCCTCAGAAGGACTGCTGGTGCCATCTGGCATTGCCTCCGCGATGGGCTTGCCGCGGATCTTTGCGTGCCCTTCTCTCCGAACGAAGGTTCCTTGGGATGGATGGAGCGTGAGAAAGGGACGCTCCGGTACTAGTGGAGGATGCTGCGATGCTTCCTGCACATAGACCCAAAAAAAACCACCTCATCGTAAATGGAAAAACATCACCGTTTCGGCCCTTTCCATTAGTATCTCCGTTATACCTAGGGGATAAAACGTAGGTGGGGTTTACGGCATCAGCCATTGCAGCTTAGTGCCTGTGAAAAGTCCATGTCGTCAGGCATCGTACAATACATACCTCCCACATTCCATTCTTACTGTGGGAAAGCAGTTCAGGAAACGTGGCTCAAGAGGTATTAATTATAGCTATTCAGGTTTTTCGTACGTTACGGCTCGAGCCGTTTATCTAAGCTATCTAGGTTATAGCAGTAGGGGCTTATCCCTAAGGCCACACGTAACCTCCCTGGCGCGCCCACACTTACGCTTATATTATCCTCTAACCCACCTCTCTACCTCCTGCGTGAACAACAGCGGGCCTCTCCACGAGGATATGATGTGATGGTAGGTAGCTAACATATCACGGTATCAACACGCTCGCACGCACGTGCACTAACTCGTACGCACACCCAAGGAGGGCACGGTGCTGGAATTGCAGGTGCCCGAGGTACCGAAGGGATTCCGACACTCCGCCCTCGCATGCTCGACGGCCTGCCTGCATCGGTCCAGCTCTTATCCGCCGCGGCCAGCGCTGCAGTAGGGCTTACGCGAAAATGCCTGTCTCTTGTGCGGCCGCAGGGTCGCGCCATGCCGAAACAGGTACAGCCATAGGAATCCCGCACTGCAGGTCTTCTAGAGGTACCTACCTACCCCCTGTATTCGCTGGGCTACCCATTTGGTGCTCGTATGAGAGCCTACCTACCGCCGACCGGGCACTCGAGCGGAGGGTAGCGTGCAACCTCAGTGCCGACCTCGCCCGGCTCTGCAGCTACGCAATGGTGCTCGATCTTATTCCTCGCGTGTCTTCCACTTAGGTGCCTACCCAGTGCCGGGGGTGATTCGACTTCAAGAGGTGCCCAAGAGATAAGGTGGCAGGGAATTCGAGAGGCATATAGGGGCAGGTTAAGTTAGGTTAAGTAGGTCCGGTACCTCCGAAGGTACTCCGATATACCTAACTTGTGGTACTTTAGGCGCTTGTAGGAGGTAGGTAGGTAGGTACCTAGGTATCTAGGTACATTTTTTAAGTCGCTTAGGGTACCTTCCTAGGTATCTAGCCCTCGCCCATTTCAGCATGCCCTGCCTAATCTGCGCCGATTTTGCTTCCTCCTCCAGCCTTAGCTTTATCTTTCTCTCTCTCTCTCTCTCTCTGTAGTTTGCCTGCTGCGCCGTAGAAACCAGGTTCCAAACACCACGAGGACGCACCGTGCTCGCGAATCGATTAAGGTCTGACGACGTCGAGTGTGCCGCCATCGCACGCCGACCGGCAGCGGAGACGTTCCTGGTCGATTGCCGGCTGGGCAGAAGCTTGACTGACAAGCCAAGCAAGCCACTTCGACTTGGCAGCAAAGCTTGGTCGCATCGAGCCCTCGGTAGTGAATGGAATGCGACTCCTTCGAAGGCTTCGACCCGGCTTCTATGCAGCCTCCCCCTGCCCAGAAATGCTACCGTAAACGTAGGACGAGAGCGCGGCTATCGTAGCGGAAGCTGGACTCTGACAAACCATTCCCTCGATGATCATTGCCACCTCGTTGGAATTGGGGCTTGGTTGGCAACACGATAAAGAAAGCAGAGAACAAAGGAAAAAGACTGAGCGGGGACCAGCAACATCGAATACAACGTAGCAGACTGCGGACCCGCTGCCTACCTACCTACACAGTGGCCACCTACCTACATGTTCCGGCCATCCTTGCCTTTGCCACCCCACGAGGAGGGGCCAAGCCGTGCTCGGCGGCCGCACCTCGGCGCGATGGCGTACCGAAGAGATGTTGCCAAGGAGCTCGATGCGGCTTGCGACAAACTGGGCTGGGGTCCTTCTCACCTCTGCCTCTGCCTCTGCCGCGTTCGAGCCTGGGTCCGGACCAGTGGGAGGTAATGCTAAACTCCGGGAGGGGTACACCTAGCCAGAGGCATGTAGATCCGACGGTGAGGGAGGATTCTTACGGTCTGTCTCCCCCCGTATACGTATTATCGGCGTATTCGACGTCTATGACCCGCACGGGATGCCCAGAGATAACAAATATACTCACTCTGACTGGCCGGACCGAACTTTACGGGCTCTCGAGGTAGGCAGGGGATGATACGGCAGCCCCGACGACGCGGTCTCTGGCCTTGTCGCGGGTTGTCTGGGGTTGCCTATGGGTAATATGGTAATGGGGAGATGCCGGGGGAAGGAGACTGCGGCCCTCCCTCCTCTCTATTGCCTCGCCCATATCGAGAGCTGTCGGCTGCGCTCTGCTGATACGAGCTCTCATCCGAATCCAGCAGGTCTGGAGGGCGGCGGAATTCACCCGCTCCCCTCCGACCCTCCCCAGACATCGAGTGAATATACCTACCAGACCCGTCCTATTGTTGCACTGCAGCCCGCCAGCATTCTTTTTCAGCATAAATTACGCCGTCCCCCAGCCTGACCCCTCCTCGATCCCACCTTGCTTTCTTCCTTTTGCCCTTTGCACCGCCACCTATTTCTTCATTGCCACGCGCCCTCCTGCAGCAGGACCAACGATGGGTATGTCATATATCCTACCAGACGAGCAGTAGAATGCAAACAGGACATACTTACTTGTTATAGGTAACGACGATGTAGAGCGTGGCTCGTGCACGCACTCGGCCGTCAGCGACGAGAAGTCGGCCAAGTCGCCTCTGGATGGCCCTCCTCCCGCCTACGCTGCGCACTCGGTGTTGGAGGAGGACTATGAGGGCAAACCGACCGAGGAGGAGCTCAAGACTCTGCGGCGAATCCCCGGAAAGCTGCCTGTCGTCGCCTATTTCGTTTGTGTCGTAGAGTTCTGCGAACGCGCTTCCTACTACGGTGTCCAGCCTTTGATCAGCAACTATGTCAATCGACCTCTACCTCCTGGGGGTGACGGATGGGGCGCCCCCCCGAGAGGGACCCAGCTGACGGGCGGCGCGCTGGGGATGGGGACCGTCACCGCGAATGCCGTCACCCAGTCCTTCAGTATGCTGGCCTATGCCTTGCCTCTTCTTTTTGGCTGGCTCTCCGACGCAAAGACCGGTCGTTTCAGCCTCATATGTTGGGGTGTCGGCGTTTTCGGTGTCGCCCACGTCCTGATGGTCGCCGCCGGCTCTAGGGACCTGCTGGCTGCCGGCACGGCCAAGGTCCCATACTTCCTCTCGGTCTACATCCTAGCCATCGGCTCTGGTAAGGTCATCACCCCTTCTCTACGCCTGTCGATCCGGCCTAACCTGATTTCCCTGCAGCCATGTTCAAGCCCAACGTCTCTCCCCTTCTTCTGGATCAGGTGACGACGACCGTCCCCAAGACCGTCACGTTAGACAGCGGCGAAAAGGTCATCCAGGATCCCGAGTCGACGACGGAGCGCGTGATGCTGTGGTTCTACCTCCTCATCAACGTAGGCGGTTTCATGGGAGTGGCTACGTCCTACTCGGAGAAGTATGTGGGCTGGTGGCTCGCGTTCTTGATCCCGCTTCTGCTCTACCTGCCTCTGCCTTTCCTCCTCTGGTTCCTCTACAAGCGGTTGATCCTCTACCCGCCGGGTGGAAGCGACCTAGGGAACGTCTTCAAAGTCCTCGGCATCTGCTTTCGACGTGGCGGCATCAGGAGAATCGGCCGCCACGGCTTCTGGGACCTCGCAAAGCCGTCGAACATCGCCGCCGCCGGACTGAATATCAAGACGCAATGGAATGACGAGTTTGTCGAAGACGTTCGGCGGACCTTCCAGGCCACGGGAATCTTCTGCTTCTTCCCGATCCAATACATCAACGACAACGGTCTCGGCGCCGCCGCGAGTTTCTTGTCCACCATGTTGACCACCAACGGCGTCCCCAACGACGTCATCAATAACTTCAACGCGCTCAGCATCATCGTGATGGCCCCTATCCTGAACTACGGCCTGTACCCGCTTCTGCGGAAGATGAATATCCACTACGGCCCTGTCGCCCGTATCACTACCGGTCTCGCCATGTCGTCTCTCGGCGGTGCTGGCTACGCAATCCTGAACTACTACGCTTACCAACAGTCGCCCTGCGGTAACTACGGCTCTTCCGACTGCCAGATAGGTGACGGCGTGGCGCCCATCAGCATCTGGTGGATGGCTATCCCATTTGCGGTCGGAGGTATCTCGGAGCTGTTTGTCAACGTGCCAGCATTCGGCATCGCGTACTCCCGAGCCCCAGTCAACATGCGTAGCGTCGTGTCGGCGATCAACCTGTTCAACACCGCGGTCGCCTACGCCATCGGCCTGGCTTGCTCGTCCGTCATCACCGACCCGTACCTCACCTGGGATTTCGGCGGCCCGGCCATCGCCGGCGGCGTCTTAACCATTATCTTCTACTTTACCTTCCGCCACATCGACAAGGAGGAATTCGCCCTCAGCCAGAACAAGGACTATCACCTCCAGATGGAGGGCACCGTCAACGTCGTCGGCGAGAACGAGCTCAACCATACGTCGAACCGTGCCGCCCCCATCTCTCAGAACGAAGAGATGATGATTTCGCAGAAGCAGTAACCCCGCACTTCCGTGCGCCGGCGCGCGTGGCCACGGGCGAGCGTACCGTACACTCTCGATAACAGATGACGAGCTGGCCGGCTGATAGGCCTCTCTCCGTTTCCCATTTGTCACGCGTGCTAGTGCACCTTGCGCACGACGTTAGGACCATAGTTAATATGAAATAGGGCTGTTGATATGCCTTTGGAGTTGCGTGCGGTTCTGCGTTCCTGGAGGTGACGTTTCCATTTGTTCAGAAGACTAAAATTACCGGTCGGTTGGGCATGAATATGCTATTAAGTTATCTAACCAACTAAATTCCTAAGAGGGCTGTAGAGATTAGTTTAGGCTCCAAAGCCTGGGATACGGCGCAAGAGTGGACAAGAGGCTGACAACTGGGACCTTGTTGAAAGCGCGGGCCCCTAGAAAGGGTGGAAATGAGGGACATTGGCATTCTTATCGCTCTAGGGAAGGAGCCATACTTTGGCTTCAGCAGTATGGAGGAGGGAGCGCCAGGGAAGCTGGCGGGCCCTCTGGAACTACCTACGTAAGAGAGTTGGTTGGTTCGTTCTCATCGTACTGAGGAATATGGGAAATACCTCAAGAGTATGAATATGTTTGAGAGAGCACCCTTCTGGAAAGGGAGAAGATCAAACTATAGTCTCAAGACTCAACCCAGAGCTGCTGCCCTCGCAAAGAGTGCTTAAGTTGTACTCGTTCGTCAACCGCTACGACCAGTAGACCGGTCTGATATATTATATTGTGCTGACCACGAATTTACAAGGTCAGTACCTCTAATTCAGCCCCGGACAGCTCCCGGCTCTCGGAGTAGTTTGGGTCGGCATAAATCCGATCCCTACTCCTACTCGATTCTGGCTGGAGACGTTACCAAGCCAGGATCCACCCAAGCAGAAGCGTGACAGGGTCCTAATGCAGCATCAGCGAGAGCAGAATTTGAAGCAATAACCACAGCGGTGCTCAAGCAGTTTTACAATAGATCTGATATCGATTTCGAAGAGGACGGTTTGTTCGACGAATCGGGTAGATCTCTAGGCTTCTTATAATAATTGCCCTATCAGGCAGGATAAATTTAGTCGGTAGGATTAGTGGTCACGGCTCATGATGCATGCCGCATTTTTCGTCCAACCATTCTGCTGGTCTAGAGCCAGCAGGGTTTAGTGGTGGCACAGCACCCATTCCATCAGCGCTACCTATATAAAGCAGAGAATCCCTCTCCTCGATTCGAACTCTCAACACATTCTCGCAAATACACCGCCCTCGGCACAGCTCTTCTCACCCCGACAGCTGGGAAGCCCATGCGCCCGTACCAGGAGTTGAACGGCTTACATTCAATAACAGAATGCATGTCAAAGTGGGAAGTGTCCCCCCAGCGCGCGCTGTTGTCCGGGTGTCTGTGCTGGACTGAGAAAGGGTTACGTGTTGTTGCTGGCAGAGACGGGCTGTGAGCTGAAAATCTGTGTGCTTCCCCCCCCCCCCCCCCCCCCCAACCTCGCTGGACTCGGTGAGTGTTAGGTTAAGAACATAAAATTCAGCCTGCCAAGAAAAACAGCCCCGTCTGGTGTGATGGTAACACATTGCTATGACAGCTGGATGTGCCTACTGCGCGTTCCAGTCCCTTCGGGGGGTGCAAGCTCTCTCATATTCTCTTAATCTTCGTCTCATTACACACCCCCTTTTTTTTTTTTTTTGAGGGCGGGGGACAGGGGGCTTACATATCATGGCTGGATCGAGGCCCATCTACACCTATTAACTGATGGAACACACAGTGGTATTAGCGAGGCCCATAGGGAGCTCCCTTTGCCTATATTGAAATACGAAGAAGGAAACGGGGGAGGGCAAGATTCGGGCAGCATTTTAGACTGTAGGTAATGTTCACCATGCCCTCTCTCGGTATTATTGGCTATCGTAGGTATCTCATTCGATGTGACGACGATTCTGCCATCCTGTGATTCGTAATCTAGGTATGTCACACGTATCACGCCACGTCCTGTCCTGTATAAGTTGGTGATAAAGCATGAGATAAAAAAAGACACGCCGGTTGCTACCTCGTCGTGTCGTCGTGCAAGGCACGTCAGTCCGGCCTAGACAATCGCGCCAGGAGACGCCCGAGTCCCGGTTGCGAGCAGAATGCGTTGTGTAAATAACACCACTCGGTAGCTTATGATGAGAAAGAACATTACTCATTCACTATTATCGGTACCCAGCTAGCCCCTCGTTTTAAGGAAGACAAAGGGATAGACGTATACCTAAACTATTCTCTCCCCTGCCGACTCTTCATCAACGGCTGTATCTTCTCGCCGAATTTATCTACGCCCTCCACGAAGTCGTCGAACGTGAGCATGATACCCTTCGTGCCCGGTACCTCGGCGATCTCGTCGAGCATAGCGGCGACCTTCTCGTAGGAACCGATTAGGGTGCCGACGTTCATGCTGACCGTGCCTTCGGGGATGCTCAGGTTTCGTGCGAGGGAGTTGGCGTCGGCTTCGACGTCCTTGGCAGACTGAGAGATCATCCAGGCGGCGGCCTCGGTGTCGATGCCGTCGCTGTAGCGGCTCCACTTGGCTTGGGCCTCGTCGTCGGTGTCCTCGGCGATGATCATGAACAGGACGTAGGAGCCGACGTCGCGGCCGGTGGCGGCGGCGGCGTCGACGAGGCGCGACGAGGCCTTGGCGAAGGCCTTCGGCGTGTTGATTCCCCGGCCGACCGTGAAGTTGTAGTCGGCGTGCTGAGAGGCGAACTCGATGCCGCGGTCGGACTGGCCGGCGGCGATGACGGGGATGTCTCCGGCGCTGGGGCGCGGTAAGAGGCGGCAGTCGTCCATGTGGAAGTGGTCGCCCTGGAAGTCGGAGACGCCGCGGCGCCAAAGGTCGCGGAGGATGCTGACGTACTCGCTCGCGTAGTCGTAGCGGTAGCCGAAGAAGGCGTCGCCGGGCCAGAGGCCCATCTGGGCGTACTCGGCGGGCTGCCAACCGGTGACGATGTTGAGGCCGAAGCGGCCCGGGGCGACGGCGTCGATGGTGACGGCCATGCGAGCGGCGATGGCGGGGGGCACGGCGAGCACGGCGGCGGAGGCGAACAGGCGGATGCGCGTGGTGGCGGCGGCGAGGGCGGCCATGAGCGTGAAGGGCTCGAGGTTGTGGTCCCAGAAGGCGGTGGGCCCGCCGAAGCCCCGCAGCTTAACCATGGAGAGGGCGAAGTCGAAGCCGTGGTGCTCGGCGCGCTGCACCACCTCGCGGTTGAGCTCCCACGTCGGCATGTACTGCGGCGACGTCTTCGAGATGAGCCATCCGTTGTTGCCGATGGGGATGAAGACGCCGATTTCGACGGGTGCCATGGTTGCGGGGGCGGAGACGGAGACGGAGACGGAGACGGAGGCGAGAGGGCAAGCACTATTCGGTGGCCGTTGGTTGGTCGCTAGGTAAGATATGATCACGAGGGGGCTCGGGCGACAAGATATACCCACGGGGTCTGCTATCACTGCGGCCTCCGCGAGAGGGCCTGTTTATACCTGCTTCCGCTCCTCGTTCACCCACCCCATCTCACCCCTCTCGTCCCTCCACCTCCCCTCCCCTCCCTTCTCCTTCCCCGGCGCTGCACCCTCCTGCTTAGTCCTCTTCGTCCTGCTGTGGTACGGCAATATGGAGAGGGTGTAGATAAGCATATTTTCACATACCAGTGCTACCTTACCCCGGCCCTGTCAACCTCGTCTGCGTACCTTACTGTGCCTCTTCCCTTCTTAGGCCCTGTGCCGGTGGTGAGCGTCCCACTGTTGACTTGACTGAGCATGCATGTAAGACGATCGGAAGACTGTCCCTCGCCAATCATGCAGGCGACGAGCCCAGTATATGCTGATCCGACAACTACATAGCACCAGACGAGGCCCGGGGCATCGTGTTTCGTGTGGCAGCAATCGTGGGCTTGGTATTGTCCGGCCTGCCCACAACCGAATATTACCTACCTACTCTGTTAGCCACCCCTCGGACGGGAGGATTTGGAGCGCATGCGGGCAGGCGGTGGAGGCTATTACTACCCAAGACCCTCCCAGGATCATACGGACCTAGCTGCCCGCCTGCGGCATAGGTAGCAGTCTCGATCTCGGAGTAAGAATTGCTTATCACATATGGGATCGTCTCCCGCTAGCCCCTTTCCTCCTCCTCTCCCTCTCCATTTTCCCCTGTCCGGCAATGGCAGCGCCCAGGTTCGGCATATGCCTATACCCGGATATATTTGGGCGGGGACGCATATGCATAGGTATACCTAGCTAGGCTGCACGTGTTGAGAGTGAGGTCGGTAGCGTACCTACAGCTGGCGTACGGCTGTCAGCACGGCCTACCCCCCGCCGCAGATGCCGAACACGGATGGTCCGGTCCGGCAGGCATTTGCATTGCCGGCGGCGGATTTCTTGGCAGGTGACGTGAAGGTCCTTCGTGTCCTCGATCTTGTCGTGCCCAGCTGTACCCAGCTGCGCCCAGCCACGACCCTGCTTCTGCCCTCCCGGCCGGCATTACTAACCTGCACCACCTTGCATACACGAGGTGCTCCGTGCAAACCTCACGTACAACCACCTCAACTCCCGGAACCGGTCAGCGCGTCGAAGTCAACCCTCTCTTCTCGGCGTGCTTTTGGGGAGGGACACCCGGATATCTACCCAGAGCCACCTCGGTCTCGACTTTCGACGGTAACACCCGCAATGGCAGAGATGACGCATCCGGCTGCGCCGCCGAATCTCCCCGCGCTCGTCAAAGCGGCGTTCGAAAGGGCGCGGGCCAACGGTGACCTGGAGTACTACCCGACCCAGGTCGCCATCCTGTCGCTCAATTCCATCCCAGTAAGCATAAACATGTCCCTGTAGTGCCCGTCCCAACATTTGGCTTAGCTTGGCCGTCTTCCAGTTCAAGCTTCGCTTCTCGCCGGCTTTGGCGTTGAAGCCCAAAGCATCCAAGCCCCAGGAGCCTCACGGGAAAGCGTTCAATCCCTTCGAGAATCCGTCCCCGGCTATGCTGATTGCCGACCTGCCGCCATCTCATAGACTAGTCTTGAACAAGTTCGCCATCGTGCCAGAGCACTTCATTCTCGTCACCAAGGAGGTGAAGCCTCAAGCTCACATCCTGGAGAGAGACGACGTCGCCGCCACATTTGCGTGTGTCCAGGCTTACCGTGCGGAAGGACAGGAGCTGTTCGCATTCTTTAACTCGGGCCCGCACTCCGGCGCCAGTCAGCCGCACCGACACCTGCAGCTACTGCCTGTCGAGCGTATGAAAGACGGCCTGGGGCAGGTTGGCAATGGCAACCAGTGGAGCATCCTAGCCGATAGGCTCGCCGAGTCCGAGAGGGCACTACCATTCCGTGTCTTCACGGCACGCGCACACTCGGCAATGACAGTCGAAGAGCAACACGGCGCGTATTTAGAGCTGTATAGGTGCGCCGTCAGAGCGGTGTTTCCGGATAGGGACGTGAGTACCGAAGGTGAGGCCGCTATCAGTTACAACTTCGCCATGACAAGTAGCTCCATGGTGCTGTGCCCTCGGACAGCGGAGGGGGCGACCCTCAGGGATAGGGCCGGTGAGAAGACCGGAGTAGTGTCGCTCAACGGGACAGTTCTAGCTGGCACCGCTCTCGTCAAGAACCAAACTGAGTGGGATGCCCTGCGACGAGACCCCGACGCGTTGATGGATGTTCTGAAGGAAATCGGCGTGTCCCCTTAGAATATTGACGGACAGGCACTCGGTCCGAGGGTATTTGAGTGAATGGTGAAGAGTTAATTGGCATGCCCCTGGGGCTGTGTGCTTTTCGTCTTTTTGCTACGTAGGATCCGGTTCAGTATCCCGTCGCTGGAGGTAAGTACTAACACACTGCTTCCTCTGATTCTCGTATTATCTCGCGCGCCTCCGTTAAATCCTAACGCAACATTTCAGGACCTCGTATCACCCGCAGACTTCTTCAGACCAACACATCCAAATATTTCAACCGAAACACTCATTCGTTAGCCGGGCAGCGGGCTGGCTGGTTCTCACTGGAATTCTGCTCCGCCATCCTCCTTCATCAGCTGCTCCCACTTCCTGTGACAGGTGGCATAGCCAAAGTGGTATGAGCCACCGTGTTCTGTGATATAATCCGCCACTTGTTTCCACGGTATCTTGGCCGACGCGACGTCGTCGCCCCTGCTCAGCTTGCGGACCGCTTTTCTGAGCAGGCGAATCTACATAGGTGCCTCCCCGTCAGTCGAGCCAGAGTCAAGCAGCCCTGGATAGAATACTCACGTCGTTGTCCAGCCACTCCGGCTTCCTCACGCGTTCTTCTTTATTCTTCGTCAGGGTCCGGAATCGGCCTCTCAGCGTTGATTCCGCCTCGGTGAAGTTGCCTTTTCGCCGAATCTCGCGGTACGTCATGCCTGCCATCTTCGACTTGACTAAGAAGTCGTCTTTAGCCGACCGGCCTCCGTCCATGGCAGCAGTCTCGGCGCTATGTTCGTGACCCAGGAACCCGTCGAGCTCGTACGACATGTCATTCTGCCCCTCTCCTTGGCCTTGGGGAACGCTTGTCTTGTGGGCAGAGTGTTGATGAAACACGGGTTGCCGAGGATAATTTAACCCCGTATCTTTCGGAGGTGGCAGCGGGTCGTGGTGGGCTACTGGTGCGGGGCGTGTCTTCGCCGGCTTGTTAGGAAGTTCCTTTCGCTGCCTATGACTCGGTCTCTGAGGAGCGTACGAGCCGTGAACAGGCTGCTCGAATACAGATGATCCGGGATCAGAACCACCACCAGCAAGCAGATTGGCATGGATCGACTCTGTCGAGGACGCCGGAGTCGGCGACGGATGAATCCGCAGCATCCTGGGGGATATGGTAGAAGGGCAGCTCGGCGCCCAGGCATTTCTAGGGCCGTCTACGATAGAGGCCGCCGAGCTATCGAGCTGCGAGTTCCCCGCCGCGTTGCTGTGTATCGCCATGGGATCGAGAGCCATCGCGTTCAAGGCGTCGGAAGTTGTCGAGTTATCCGACGACGAGACGCTACTAGGGCTAACCTGAGGGCATTCTAACGGCTCCCCGAAGACGGGCAGGGGTGCGTGCCAGTTGCTACCAGGCAAGCTGTCCGGGAAGTCGAGATAACCTCCTGCTTGGCTACCTCCGGCGGCGTTGTACACCTGCCAGGACGACTGTCGAAGGTCGAAATCAGCCCCAAAGCCTCGACCGTAAGCGTTTGTTGTGGGGACATTTGGCCAAAACATTTGCTCGTTTCCAGCCGGGTCTTTGTTCGGTTGGCGATGACTCGGGCCAATATTTCGTCCATCACCTACGGCTGAGACACCAGAGGGTACCGTTTGGGCTCTCGCGTTTGGAGTACTCGTATCAAACCCCGGGAAGTAGTCGTTATAAATGTTGTCCGCCTACGGAGGCAAGGGTGAGTATCGGCTTCGATGGCACTTCGACAGGTCGGGTCACGATGTTGCTTACCATGTAGGCCTCGTCCCCACTATCCGCGGCCATGTGCTGGAACCATTGCTGGTCGTCCATCGCCCGCTGCAGTCGTCGCTGAGACACCGGGTCGTTATAGATTCCGCACAACCGACAGGGGAGGTTGTCGACGAATCGCCAGTGCTCAGACTGCTGCAAGATCTCTTTATCACAACCTCTGTGGAGGTGAGACTCAGACGCAAAGATGTTGTCACTCGGGAGAGGATCGCCCCAGACAGGCTGGGGTACCATCGGGTTGATAAACATCTTGAATATCTACCCGATGCTGAGCTGGACTTCTTGTCTCGTGTCCCCCCCCTTTTTTTGGCCTTGCTCACCAGCCACAACCCCTCTCCCTCTTGGTCCTCACCGCCGCTCCTGTCGGCCTTCTGCGCGAGCTTTGGGTCGGCGAATGCCTTCGATTCCCTGCCCAATGTTCTTCCTAGCAAAGCCAGGTTGGGTACGCTTGCAGCAGAGCCTAGCGGTCAAGAACCGGTGTTCCTGGTAGCGATGCAGGTCTTGTGCGGCTTCCCGAACATGAGTCAAGAACCGTTCCCGCAAGCGTTACTGGGGGCGAGTTGTAGAAGCAGCTTTAGGGTGATATATCTAAGGGTAGAAGATGGGCGGTCGCTGCTAGGATGGGGAAAGGTGGTCAAATATGAACGAAGGCGTCGCGTATACTTTGCTGTATTCACCGTGCGCCGAGCGAAGTAAGAATACGGTCTTGATTCCCCGGCTTCTCTAAGCCAAGTATCTATACAGCGGCGAGCCTCAAGACTCGCACAGTCTGTCTCGAAATGGTCCGGGATTTCAGGGATGGGCGAAGAAACCGACGCGGCCAGCACGAAATCTCGTCGGGAGGGAAAAGGGTAGAGTTAATATCATTATTCCGGAGCGCACCTCTCTTCCGAGAAGCTTGTCCATTGTCTTTCCAGATACGGCCTACGACGTACGCCAGAGCGCCTCAAGTCCTCTCAGACACCGATGGTAAGTGGAGAGAACAAGGGACGGGAGTGGAGGTGCGGGAAGCAAGTCTCTCAAAAGGATCCCCAGATTGCCCAAAACGATTCACGATGCCGCCGACTTATGATAGGCAAACCGTCTTCCTCGTCATAGCCGAGGGGATCACGTGCCCTCCGGGAGGCATCGATGAGGGTTGTCAGAGCTATTCAAGGGGCATCCTAGCGTTGCCATAGTGGTTGCGGCTCTACCTGCAAGCATCTGCACAAAAGGGGAGAAGGGGGCAGGGGGGCGCGGGGGTTTATCTGCATCGACGGACAAACCGGCTCTATCAGGGGCCAGTATAGAATCCCATCGATACGATCCTTTGAGGAGGAAGTACACAGAGCGCTAGCACACAGAGCGCAGCGCCGTAAGCACTATCTGCATACGACTTGGCAGCGTTGTCGCTCAATCTGCCAATACTAACGCGTTCAGGCGCTGTATCGAGAGACACGCCTCGGCCCACCAGGATGAGCAGACCCCGATAACCCAGTCCCTACTTTTCCGTGCCTGTTTGATGAAGACGTCAGGTCTCAATCTCGCGTTAGCTCTTTGGCACCTGCGAGCTAGAACACGGAACGCTGCGTGTTCCGAGTGGCTCTCTACATCCACGCCGCGCTTATCGACTCCCGTATCCTAACGCGGGTGCTGGTACCCCTTGAGGGATGCCCGCTGCTGAATGTCTGCTCGGACCGCCCCAGATCCACGACGATCTGGGAGCGACAAGGGCCTAGGTACGATAGTCTCGTAACTTCGGCAGCCGAGAAGCTAGGCGGAGATTTGTCTAGGGGGAAAAGGGGGGGGGGAGGCATGGAACCGTGAAATCTCTTCCTAGTATCTGCTCGTTGTCTCCCCAGCTGCTCGGCGATTATGGCTGCACTACTACCCCCCCGACCAGTGCGTAGTAGGGCGTATCGAGATTGCGACGTATAAATTCGATATGTGACCGAGATCTCAGATCCCTGGCCCCAGGGATATGGCGCGTGGTACGGCTCCCAGTAAGGCTGTTGCTACTTCGAGACGGCTGCAGGTGGGCCAGCACGGCAGGAATCTCTCCTGAAGCCCGAGAGCGGGGGCCGTAGAACCATTGCGGCGTCTAGAGAGGCTTCACTTTTCCTTGTGGCCTCCTTTTTCTTTCTTCCTTCTGGGTGGCTTATCGCGGGACTCGCAGCAGGGCTTCCCCCCTCTGTCCTACAAACATTACGTGCAGGATGAGATGGTTGGGCCGATCGCAAATCACGGCTCCCGGATAGCTCTGAAATGGGTCGTCGAAAGGGACCCTCCCCCCCCCTATCTTGCCAGCAGATCATCCCATCGACCCCCACGACTACGCTACAGCTAATAGACAAGCCGCCGCGTAGGTAAAATGTTTGTTTAAAGAGATGGATGGTGAAGGTTCCGTTGACCAGGTGGCCGGTACGTGAACATTCCTCTCGGTTTCTCTCTGCTCCGCAGCTTTGGTCAGGACCGTCCCGGCTTCTTCAGGAAATGCGATTCAAGATTTCACCGCATACCGTTCGCCGCGAGCCTGCGTTCGTATGACCTGCGAACAGAACGTATATGCAGTGCAGCCCAAGAGCCACTGCAGAGTTCACCGATCGTTCACGTAGTCCAGCAGCACACTCCCCCCTATCTCTCTCTCTCCCTTCTCCTCTCTCTATAGCCGTCGTGGACAGCCGTCGTTGCCAGGCCCGAGCGAGCGAGTGCACGATTCGTTTGAGACACAGCTGCCAACGTTGACAGACAACGACGGTTTGCGGTTCTGTGCGACCAACCAACCATCCCGCACCCCCCTTCTCCTCTCTGTCCTCTTGCCTCTGTCGAATCGAGCCTCCCGCAGGATCTGCCACAGCCCTCGGCGCTTTGATTTATGATGGTAATATTCCGGGCGGCTTGCCGTCGCGCATTCTCCAGGACGGGGACGAGGACGGGTAATTGGCTAGGATGCCCCCCTGATCCTGGCTAAGAGGTGTCTGTTTGGCGATGACGGGCGCCGAGGCAGAGAGTTGGCTTGCCTGGTGTGTGCGGGTGTGGGTGATGAGCTGGCGCGGCGAGCTTCGATCGTGAGAGCGAGTGCGCGTCGGTCTGGACAGCAATGCCCGAGGGCCGCGACGGCCCTCTCCCCTCCCTGGTGGTAAAAGATCGCGTTGCCCCAATGTACGCCTGCCCGCGGGAAGAATCCCGCCCGCCAAGTTGTCGTCTTCTTGCATACATCTGGGCATGCTGGACTGTGTGGATGCGCATGCGTGTACGGACATATGTACACGCATGCGCACATACCTACATGTGCGTTCTCTCCTGCCCCTACTCAGGCTAGGCGGAGGGAGGTAAGCAAGGAGCAAGTAGGAAGACAGGATGTCTACCGTAGATTTCCAGCAGCTGGTCCCATCCCAGATACCGTCTATGTTCGGGGTGGAGAGCAGGATAATTCACGCGGCGTGTCGAGCGAGCGCGCGTATGGCTCGCAGCTGGCTGCATGGTCTGTCGGTTTATTTACCGCCTACGCGTTCCTGGCTTTTTCTTTTTCTTGGCCATTATTCTCGCGGGCCACGTACCATATTTATCTGTCTACCTAACTTGCTACATACGCGCGTATATACATACATACGTGCATGCGTACCTCTCCGTTTCCGCCTAGGCGCCGGTCGGGCGGCGGGCGGAGTAATTTCACATCAAGAGGCGGCAGGACGACCCCCGAGCCACGTCGGCGGCACGGTGAGGCTTGTCGCGGTGCGGTCTATCACGACGCGCCAGGCTGGATTCGGGCGAAGGTTGCGTATTTATGATGGTTGTGGCTGTCGCGGTTTGAGAGCGAACACGAGACAACTTCCCCCTCCCCCCCCCTCTTCCGTTCTTCTCACCCTCCTGTCGACCTTTCCAAGTGCTTATCTTGCTCACTGCGAACTCGATGCTTTTTTCACTTTCATTTTTCGAGGGCGCCCTGTTTTCAACCTGCGGAGGCGCCATGCACACGGGCGCATTGTGGTAACTGGGTAGAAAAGGGGGAGACATGCAGGAAGAATCTATCGCCGACATCAGAGCGGGAAAAGGGGGAAAGGGGGGTAGGATAAGCCAGCCTGAAAGCTCAAGAAATAGAGCGGGAGAAATGCTACCCAAGAAAACTCCAGTATGATCATCTCGCGCCGTGTTGAATTTTCACGTGGCCAGTATCAAGGGTAAGACGAGTCGAGTCCGGCTCAGCGACTCAGCAACCCGCCCGCCAACGTTTCCGTTTCCCCATCCGGACGGTCCGGCAGTCGTAAGCGGCAGGCCACAGCGCTCGTCTCGCCGGGCAGATCTGCGCACATGGACGGCAAGTCATGCCACAAGAGTTACACACATAGGCCACGAGGCGGTAGCGTGTCAAGTACCAGAGCGTGGACGTAGGCGAGCCAGGAGGCAGATGCTGAAACGAGGTAGTGTAGTCGAGTGAGGTCTTTTCGACGACAATGCCCCGCGCTCGTTTGTTCTTCCCGCTCCTCTCCCTCCCGCCTCCCGAGTACGGTAGCCGGATCTACAGTCGGTAGGAGGTAGTAGTGGCACGGGGGTGGGAGAAGTAGGAGGGAATCCAAAGGTAAGCATCTATATGCGAGTGGCGATGTGCACGTGAAGGAGGAGACATTAAGGGGCTAATAAGGGGGGAGGGAAGGGGGGGAGGATGCGATTGATGCCAAGTCGCTCAAACGGCAGCGCGGACGCTAGGAGAGTAGCGTGACCGGGTCGCACGCTCGCTCCCTCCCGCAGGTCTCGGCGCGTACCGAATACTTCTCGCCTCTTCACGAGTACTTGCAGTAGAGGAGGTAGGGAGGTCAGAGGCAGATAGGAGGTAGGTATAGGTATTTATTGCCGTTGAGCAGCCAAGAGGAGCAGCCGAAGGAAGAGAGGCAGGTGTATATATGGGACGGGTGGTGGTATTCTGCCACCATGCAAGCTTGTCTTTATCCTATCTCTCTACTAGCTTCTCGTTCCACGCCTCGAATATAGGCACATGCAGCGCGTGTTACTCAAGCTTGATTTCGGAGACTGATTCTGGTGCCGAGCAGAGAGAGGTAGGCATATACTGAATATAGGGGTATGTATGTATGTACAGGTCAAGTGCCTATACATATCTGTACCTGATGGAGCAGCCTCCTTCGGTTAGCCAATCGGCAGCGAGCAGAGTCCCCCCTCCCCGGGCGGTGCCGACGCCAAGCCCTCGCATAAGATGTACCGGGGTGGTATGAATGCATAGATATATATGCATATACTATATGCGCGCGACGCAACGCGACGAGCTCGCAAGCGCCAGTAGGAATGCGACTCGGAGCGGCCGGAAATAAATCTATATTACAATTAGGCACGCCTAGACGAGAGGCTGGATAGAATACGTAAAAAATATGCGTGGAAATACATGCACCGAATGCCCGGCGAAACTAACTCGATCGAGGCGGACCGGCCTCGTGCCTGGCCGGGGGGCCCTGCAGGTGGCCCGTGACCCCGCGTCGCAGCGCCATCACCAGCAGATCTCCCCGACACCACGCGTCCTGCTGTCCACCTCTCCCTCGCCATATCGTCGTAGAACCTCATATCGCCGCTGACACGAGCAGCCGCGGCCGTCTTCAACGACAACCAGTCCCCCTAGAGCCGACACGTCTTCAACAGACATGCCTGCGCTGGGCCTCCCGCACACCTCCCGTTGGAACTCGCCGCCGTCTCTCGCGCCTTGAGCCGTCGACACCGCAGCCGCGCACTCCAGCCCGTTCGCCTGCCCGCCCGCCTTTACCCCGTCCCGCTGCTCCGCCGCCCCGGTGTCCTCCCGCCGGAGATTCGTACCTGTCGTCGGCTACCTGGGCCCTCCCCGACCGCTGGAACCCCGCCGCGTGTGGCCGATGGCGATCGCGCGCAGCGCCGCCGCCGCCGCCGCCTCGGCCGGGGACGACGAACCCCCCGTGCAGCCCGAGCCGGCGGCGCAGGCCCCCGACGCCGCGCCGCCGCCCCAGCCGCCGCTGCGCATCGCCGTCCTGCTGAACTCGTACCGGTCGCAGCTGATCCCGGCGCTGCGGGCCTCGTACGAGCGCAGCATCGGGGCGGTGGCGCCGGCGGGGACGCAGGTGGCCTTTTTCGAGCCGGCCAACGGCGTCGACCCCGGACCCGGCCCGGCCGACGCCAGCAGCAGCAGCAGCAGCAGCGAGGAACCGCCGCCGCCGCCGCCGCCGCGGTTCCCGGACCCGGCGCGCTTCGACCTCATCGTGCTCGGCGGCTCCAACGTCGACCCCCGCGCCTCGCCCCCCTGGGTCCTCGACGTCCACGACTTCCTCCGCCGCCTCGTCGCCGAGTACCCCGACAAGAAGCTCCTCGGCATCTGCTGGGGCCACCAGACGATCGCCCGCGTCTTCGGCGGAAAGGTCGTCGATGCCGCGCGCCCTGAGGTGAGCCAGCCCCCCCCCCCCCTTTTTTTTTTCCTTTCTCTTTGCGTTTCTGAAACACCCCCGGCCGAGGGCGCGTACAAGCGAGCGCGCTCGCTTTCGGCGCTGGGCGAGGTGCGCGGGTGGGCTTGGTGTCTTTCGTCGCGTGTTATGTCTACCTGTATGTATATATATGCGTGTGATGTGTGTGTGTGTGTGGATGTATGTGTGCAGGTACGCATGTTTAAGTCAGCGGGAAGTCCATCTCATCCCATCGCGCCTAGAGCCATATGCACGGGCACGATCGGACGACAAGCGGGCGCGCAGCGAAGCGAGAGTGAGAGAAAAAAACCTGGATTGCTAGCACCAGACTCCCTAACGTGTACCCCTTTTCCCCCAACGACGACGTCGCCCCACCAGCTAACCGCGTCCTCCGCCTCGCAGATCGGCGTAGGCACCGTGCACCTGACGGAAGCCGGGCGGCGCTTCTTCTTCCCGCCCCCCTCTCCCCTCTCCTCCCCCCCCTCCTCCTCCTCCTCCTCCTCCTCCTCCTCCTCCTCGCCCAGCTCCTCCTTCGGCGCTCCCCGCACCCTGCGCCTGCAGCAGCACCACCGGCGGGAAGTCGCAGCGGCGCCGGCGCCGCAGCCGGCCGGCTTCGCGGCGCTGGCGCGCGGCAACCAGTGCCTGCTGCACGAGCGCAACACGATCCTGACGTTCCAGGGCCACCCGGAGAAGGACGCGGCGACGGCGCGCCTGCGGCTGCACGACGCCGCGCGCTGGTTCGGCCTCGCGCCGCCCGGCGCCGCCGCCGCCGCCGACGCCGACCCCTGGGCCCGCCTCCGCGACCGCGTCGACCGCGACCACGACGGCCCCGCCGTCTGGCGCCGCGTCCTCGCCTGGGTCCGCGAGCCCCCCGCCCCGCCGCCCGACGCGCGCGCGTGCGCGGGTGGCGGCGCTGCTGCCGGGTTGGCCGCCGCTGATAAGGGGAGCAGGATCTGAGCGCGAGATTCGAGGGTTTTTTTTTTTAACTTTTCGGTTTGGTTTGGTTTGGTTTGGTTTATAAGGGGTGAGGGCGCGGGTCGCTGGGCCGCTGGGCGGCGGAAGCTGAGAGTCGCGCGACACCTCTTTGACGTCGACCCCCCTTCTCTCGACGTTGGATCGAGCGCCAGACGGGCGGGGGTATGCCCGGGTTCGCGGCTAAGGACGCGCGCGAGGAGGGTTATCTCGGACGGCGGGCCCGGAGCTGAGTGGTGGCGGGGGGGGTTGGGGTTGGGGTTGTATTGGTATAGAATGTCGACATAAGGGAGGGAGGCAGCGGTAGAGCGGGGAACTACATAATCGGGACAGCGAAGCGAAGTGAAGAATATAATAAGAATGTGTCGCGTAGAGGTTGCTCCTCTTCGTTACTTACCTCAGAAATAGGAGCTCCTATATATACGCTTCCGTTACCCCCTTTCCTTTAATTAGTTCTTAGATAAAATAAGACCTTTTCTCCTTTGCTCCTCCTTCCGTTACTCGTAAGATAGCTCCTCGCGCGCGCTCTCGCGTATACGTAGTTCTAGTTACGTGATAGAATGACAATAATAAGAGATTCGGTGGTGTCCCCTCCCTAGGCCCATTCCCCCCGTGCGGCGCGCAGTCAGCTCGGGCCTGCGCGCCGCGGGTGCATGTGTGCGTAAATGAGATCTACGTAGCCTTGCCAACGACGCGTCCAACGGCGACACGCGAGCCCTCCGCTCCGCGTCGTCTGGACAGATGCCCTCTCGGCCCTCTCGTCAGCTTAAGGGGGAGAAGGGGGCGCTGGGCGCGACGGCACGCTCTCTACCGACATGTCACGCCGCGATGGACTGCCGGAGCACCCGCAGACGGTGTTTTCGGTTTAATTTGTGTTCATAGACCGCTCTAACCTAGCCTAACCTAGTCTAATCTACAGCAGCGATGCCGTCCCCTCTGGCCGTGCGCGTCTACCCGCCGGCGCCGGAACAAGCCTCTTTTTCTCCGCCCGCGCGCAACCTATTATCGCCAAACACCGACGGCCGCCATCGGCCTCTGTCTTCGCTGCCCCTCTACTTCGGGGTTGGCTGCTCTAACGGCAACTCCTTTCTTTCTTTCCTTTTTTTTCTTTCGTACACATATGACTCGGTCACCCGAGGCGTGGTAAGAGGTGACCCGTGAGGTGGTGGTGGTGAAGTATGATTAGTGTACAGAGCCTAGACATCGAAAAACTCCGTCTCGCTCGTTTCCCCCCCTCCTCTGCGATATCAACATAATGCCCAGTGGGGCGCCGCGAACCGCCCGTCTAACCCGTATTATGTGTAGTAGCATCGAGAAGAACCGGCCGTGCCGATCGTCGATCGTCTATATGCACGAGAACTAGGAGATGTTTGTATCTGTGTTTGTGTGTGAAGCGAGATTGAGGGGACGGAGGGGGGCGTTCGTGGGAAGCTGTGTACTATCGTGTATGAAGATGAACAAGAGGGGCCAGAGACGAGTAGGAAAGCTTGTGTGTGCGTATGTGATGTGAATTCGCCGCGTTTGCAGTCCGGATTTCCCCGCGATTCATCTGATGTTCTCACGACTGAAAATTCAGAGAATCCCATCTGGTAGAGGTACAGGAAACCATACGGGACGAACAGATTCTCCCCACCCCGTGAGGGGTCCTCAACATGCCGCGCTATGCTTCGCAATGGATGGTGCAGTATGAAGGAATTAGAAAATGCAAACCACGCTGATGTCCTTTAGCCGTATTTCATGCCAAGGAAAGAAGAAAAAAAACCACTCCAGCGAGCTCCGCCCATGACCGAAGAGTGTCGTGACAAGGAAATTCGTGAATCACAACCAGACCGACAAGCGTCCCACAGCGCTAGCAGGAGAATCTCCCAGCAGCTGGGGCGTCCCTCAGATGAAACCCGCGTGCGACGCCTTTTCCCGCGTCCCTCTGCTCTCGAGCATGCCGATATTCGGCACATCAGCGCCGAAATCCATGACGAGTATCTTCGCGTCCTGCCCGGTGCTGACGATGCGTCGGTAGTCGCTCTTCGCGCTGAGAACCCAGCTGGCGTGCCAACCCGGGAAGTCCAGAAGTTGCTCGCCCGTCTCGATATCGAAGACTTTGATGTCGGTATCGTAACTGCCGCTGATGAGGCGGCCGCTGATGCTGTCGATGTGCAGACTACGTACGAGACTCTGGTGGGCCTCGATCTCCCGGATGCATTCACCCGTGTTCGCGTCCCATATGCGGATGGCCTTGTCGCTCCCAGCCGACGCCACGTATCGACCGTCCTCGGAAAACTGGCTGCAGGCAAGACCCTTAGAATGGCCTGCGAATTCCCGAATTACCTTCCCGCTATCGATGTTCCAGAGATTCACGGTAGAATCTCCGGAGCAGGAGACTAGGGAGTTCCCGCGTAGCTGCACGGCATTCACGGGGGCGGTATGGCCCTTCAACTGCTTAAGCAGAGCGCCGCTGGCACGGTCCCAGATGCAGATGCTGGCGTCCTTGGAGCACGTCACGATATGCTTTTTATCGAAGGCCAGATCGAGAACCGCCGCGGTATGGAACTGAAGGCGTCGAACAGGTCTGTAGCCCGACTGCACCTTGTAGACGATGCAAGTGGAGTCGGAAGAGCCGGTTACGAGGATCTCGTCGTCGAATTGGAGACAGAGGATCGAGGCCTTGTGATGTACGGGGAACGAGACCGTGACGGGCACGGAAGGTTTGATGCGTTGATTATGGGGGAAGAGCGCGTAGTGCGACGGATGACCAGTCTGGTCGAAGAAGATGTATTCGTCGTTGACGACTTCAGGCGGTCCGATGACGAGCAAACAATCCAGGCTGCGCATGTCCCAGATTCGGATGGTCTTGTCGCGGGAGCCTGTGATAATCTTGTTCCTGTTCGCAGGTTAGCGAGCCGAGTCGGCGAGGCGGGAAATAAAACAGGAGAAGGGTGCACGTACTCGTCGAATTGCAAGCAATAGATGCTGTCCATGTGCCCATTCAAGTAGACCGCACGCGCCTCCTTGCCTTTTTTCCAACGCCTATCCAATTCCTCGCGCGCTCTGTAGATCTGCTGCCAGTCGTTTCCGGGGCGAAGAAGCGGGGGTACGCCGGCGCCAGTTCCGGGCTGGATGCGACGGGTCGTCGCGCAAGTGTGTGTCTTCTCCCGGAGGAAGGATTGACGCCAGATGTGCTGGTCCTGGGCGAGATGGTGCCAGAACCGGCAAACCCTGCTCGCGGTGGCCAACTGGAAAGCATCCAAGTACGACATGATCTGAACCGCAAGCTCGGTGGGGAGTTGAGCTACGAAGTCCCTCCGGACGATCGACGCGCCCTGATCTATGGGGACGTCAATCTGCGAGGCAGATGCAAATGTGATGCCGATGCCGCTCTCGCGGTCATTGCCGTACTCGTCAGGGGCGATCAATTCGTGCTTATATCGGGCATAGTAGCTCATGTACTCGTTCTGCATGGCGGCAGCAGCCTTCGCAGCAGCACCGGTGTGCCGAGGGATGATCGGGGGCGCGAGGCCATGGCCGGGAACAGGAACGCCGGGAAACTCGGAGACGGCGGGGGAGTAGATCGTCTGCAGATGGCCGGGACCGCCGTGCGATGTTCGAGCATGCCGGAAACTGGCAGCCTGTCGCAGCCTATGCCAGGCCGAGTGCGATGTTACCGGTCGAGCATCGTGGTAGGCGGTGCCTGGCTCCGAAACCCGGCGGTCGCGGCGAACAATTCCCTTCAGGGACATCGAAGCCCGTCGGATTCTTCCCTTAAGCGAATCTCCAGACTTGGGCGACTCGATGTTCGCGTCCTCATGCTCCTCCCCCAACGCCAATTCGCCAAAGTTACGAGAGAGATCGTCGTTGCCCAGGGCGAGGGATTTCGGACGGCGTCTCCACGGCAGGGAATTTCCCACACTAACCTGTCGTCTCGCAGCGCTCGCGGTTGCCGATCCCGAGGGACCTCCAAGCGGCTCGCCCAATTCCAGCCCGGTATCGTGCGAATAGAAGCCCGCACTCGACGGCGCCGCAGGCCCGTGGGCCATTGCGGACGCGGGCGCGGCGTGAAGGGGGCCGCGGCTGGTTCTCGACGTGGCCATAGCGAATGCGCAGGAAGGTAGGCAAGTAACGAGCAAGAAAGAACCGCGTCCGAGGCGGCACCGACGGGTACTGGGGTGGGTAGGACGGAAAGAATAGGCGAACGATGTACGCGACGAGACGAAGGAGCGGAGAAGGAGAGCTCAGCGGACGAGATGCAGAGATGAGAAGAAACAAAACACAAAAAAAAATAGGCAAGAATGCAGTCAGTAGGTAAGTGAGGTGATAAAAAAAAAAGATCGCGGAGAATTAAGACGAGAAGGAAGGATAAGTCGCGAGTTGAGACGACAAAAGAGAAGAAGGTGAGAGGTTACGTAACCACGAATTGCTGGTGTTGGTGGTGTTGGTGGTGTTGGTGGTGTTGGTGGTGGTAGTTGTGGTGGTAGTTGGGGTGGTTCCGACGGTGAAGAGCGTGGAGGTGAGGATAGTCAGCAGGGGGGAGATGGAAGGGAAAAAAAAAAAAAAAAAAAGGGAAGAGATAAGTGGTCGCTGTCAGCTATTTCCGTCTGTTATTATTACTTGGAGCTGGCCTAGTAAATTGCAAGCGCGCGGGTGCGCGAAGGTACCCGGCAACCTGGACAATGGACACAGTACGGCCTAGCACAGTACTGGGTTACGGCACAGCACCAGGTTACAGCACAGCACCAGGTTACAGTGCAGTGCAGTACAGTGCCGCCTTCTATAACGACAGCAGGTCAGGTACCTAAAGTCACTTGGATGGCGCCGACCTCGCTACCATCTATTGTCCGGGGCACGTATCCATTAAGTAGGTAACTCTTCCACAATAGGCATTGCTCACTCCTATTCACCTCTTCTCTGCTATTCTCCTCTTCTCTCCCATTCTCCTCCTCCCCTTCTCTTTGTCCGTCCTCCCCTGACTCAGGCACGACCGCAGCAACGGACCGGCGACAAACACAAAGAAAGGAGAGAGAAGAGCGCGGCCGATCTACTCTAGCGTCAAACCGACGCAGCCAGTCCCGACTGGACGAATTTGGTGTTATTACAACTGGGGAAAAAAAACTCGGTGTGGTGGGAGCAGAGGTTGGATGGAACCAACCCGTCTGCACCCTGTCAGGTACCAACAACCCTACCGCTCGAAGCGACTTAGGGGCCGCGTCCCTTTTTTTTTTTTTTTTCAATCTTAGCGCATAGTCTACTCGTCTATCGTCTAGGGTATTTGAAATTCCCAGCGATCAACTCGTACGATGGCGCCCAGTCGAGAGAAGCGGTGCTTATGCGATGTATGTGGTCGTATAGGCAGCGCCCGCACTCCCGCTTACCTGACGTTAGCAGCAACCGAGCCAGCTGAACACAAGAAAGACAGACAAGACCAGAGCCGAGAGACAGAGACTGGGAGGGGCTGGAGATTACGGTCGGGGATGCCCGGCCACATACGGACGCAGGGAAGCACAGCGCCGCGCCCGAACCCTAGTTTGGTCTACTCTAACGGCCAGCACCTGCGTATGTATCTAAGTACCTACCTACCTCTCCTATCCAATGTTAGGTACCTAAGGTACATGTGTACCCAGATATCTGAGTACGTACCTCCAGTTGAACCATCGAGACGCGACTGGGCCGTTACGTGCGTAATGAATGGCAGATGACGGCATGGAATCCACCCCCCAGAACCAGTCAATAACACAAGGAACCTGTGCCTGGACACGCAAAGCACCTTCCCAGCCAGCTTTAGTCTCCGCATGCACGTGAAAAAGGACCCTTCTTTTAAGGTTCGCCCCCTTGTTTCATTGGACTGCGGGTGACCTGGACCTTCCGCCCCGACGGAATCTCGCCGATACCTGTTACTCTGCGGCATTCCCACCTTCCTAGCCAGCGAATCGGCACGTCTACGGTACGGCTCCGGGCCCATCCTCCATCTACAAGGCTACCGCCAGCGTAAGCTGCCTCCATAAATGCATACCTACCGCTGCGTCAACCATCACCGCCACCATTATTACCTGCGTACGCAACCTGGAACCCGTGTGTTCTATACCTAGATCTGTAGAAACCATCCTCTTCATGCCAGGCCTGGGGTCGATCGTGATCCGGGTAAACTGCCCACACACACGGCATAATAGCGCAGCGGCCGCCATTCGACGGACAGATCGTCTATACACGGCATAACCCGGCTAAGCATTGCACCAATTTCAAATCGCAGGTGTTAGCCGGGGGGGAACAGGCGACCGCGTTCCGTCTAGGTACCCCAAGCGAAGCAAGATACAGCGAGAGGCACAGAAATATCCATCGCCCCCGGGTCATCCGCCCGTCGCATGTCATGCTAGATCACCTTCGCGTCGCCCCGGAGCGGCGCCCGCTCCCCGGGTGACTTGCTAGACATGGGGCGTCACACATATTAGGCTGTCCGCCGGCATAATGCTATGTCTTGGCGGTTGACTCTGCCCGGGTTTGTCTCCCGTCCCGTGCATAGCCGTCGTGGTGGTTGCGCGGAGCCGGTTACAAAATGACACCTGGTGCGGCTACGTCCAGTAGTCAAGCTGGGTTCGACGTCCCAGCGGATCAATAACCCGTCTCTCGTTAGGCTTCACTAGCCGAAACCGGGTACCACCACATTGCCAGCATTACGCGTCATGCCACATGCCACCCCTAAAGCCTGTCTTCGTTGGAAGAGTCTACGTGTGGGGTGCGTGTCTAGACAGCAAGCACTCGAACAGGTTAACACTAGGGCAGTTGGTGATTACGAGCATACCAACGGCAGGATTCCTGGCCCGTCAAGAGGCGAGAGCGATTTATATTCAACCTGAGCCTGTCTCTGCTGGCAATATTTCGGGGGCCACGACCAGCGCTATCGATCATGGGAAGGCGACCGACCGGCCCGGGAGGCGCCTCGGTCCCGGCCGTCGTACGGATCGGGTAAAAACCTCGAGATCATCGGATTGGCCTCTTCGTCTAGCTGCTGCTGGTTGAAATCTCTGAATATCAGGCATGCTTCACGCCTAACGCCGAGTTTAGACAAGAGCTCCTGCTCTGTTCCGTTCTCGTCTGCCACACAGTCGGCTACGTCTGTCATGAAACTCGAGAAGTCCTCTGGTGGCGACTCGATGCATCGGCACATGATTTCAGCCGTGACTTCGATCCACGCGGCGATGAGAGTAGGGTTTAGGGAGCCCTGCATGTGCCGGAATTCGATTGTGTTTAACTGGCTCCGGCGCACCTTTCCTATGAAGTTCGAGGTCGCAGGCAGGAGTTCGGTGATGGCGACAGAGGCTCTGCGCAATTTTGTGACCTCGCCGACCAAGCTTGCGAGGTCGCTCACGGTCTCGGCGCGCCATAACCAGCGTATCTTGGGCTGTTCTCTATGGAGAGACCGTTGAACTTTTGGAGGGACGTTCTGGTCCATCTCGCGGACCCAGTTTCCCGTACCGGGCTTGTTGGTCCAGTCCGGGCACGTTAAAGGGCAGGCCGTTGCCATGTTCGTCCCTTTCTGCAACAGCGCAGCGTATTTCGTCGCATCCTGCCGCCATGTCGCATGTAGCCTCATCAATTTCTCCTCCGCTACCCACATGAGAGTCAGGATCCTCTTCACGGTTACGAGGTCGTATTCCGCTCCGCTAATTCCCCAGTGCACGTGAGTAGCACAGCGACTCGATCGATCTGCCGTGTCCTTGCCCACGTTGATACTGACCGCGTAATTCGCGCGCAGCACCTTGCAGACGGTATCGAGGTCTGACTTGGCAATATCGAAATCTCGGTACTTGTGTGCCTTGCTGACAAACTCAAGGCCCAGCCAAAAATAGCCCGCCTGCGCCTCGGGCTTCACCGTCATCCGTCGGCCATTCGCCGCCGGATCTGTCCATATCATAGTCTCCTCCGGCACGATAGCATTCTGTTTGTAGGAGCTATAGCGAAATTCGTCAAAGTCGCCTAAACCTGGTTCCTCATCTTCGGACTCCGGGATCTCGACATCTTCGGGGTGAGCTCTCCTTCGATAGCTTGTTATTATTCCGGCATCGGTCAATTTCTTGGCAATCTCGCGTCCGAAATACTGTAATCTCTTCGTGTGGACTTCGTGTGGGCCATCTCCGTCGTCGGTTAAGTCGCCTGGTTCCTCCTGTATCGGATGCGGAACTCGACGCTGCTGCTCGCCTTTCTCGAGCCTCAGGGGGTCTGTCGTGCCGGACCCCCTGAAGAGCATCAAGAATTCGAGCTCGAACCCGAAAGTTGCCGTGTCCCGAAACTTGCCCGCCGCAGAGATGGCCATAATGAACAGCTTATCTTCATACTAAGCATGTCTCACAATCGCTGTCCCCGAGCCCGAGCCTACTCGCCTTCCCGATGTCTACGTCCTCTATGATAGTATCGAAATTGTTACTTCTCATATCTACGTAGGACCTCAGACCGTAAGGGACATTTCGACTGCCAGACGATAGTCTTATTTGTCTTTCATGGCGCCCTAACGAGAATGGCATGGACTAGGAGGGCGCGCGCCATTGGTAACCGTCTCGTCTGCGATTTTTTTTCATCGCGCTCCGTCCCATCACATACCACAACTTGGGACCTATGAGGCTGCCGTCCGAAATATCGATATCGCTAAGAAGGTTCGGAGGTGCTTCATTAGGCCCAACGCCTTACAGGTGAAAATGGCTTCGACCTTCGAATAATAATTTTCTCAACCAACCGGGAGTCTCTCTAGGCACGTCGCGGGCCGATAGCCTCTCGGCATACGGGCTACACACTAATACCCGCCTCACCTATCGACATCTGAATTCGGAGACTTGTCGGGGTGGTAAGAGAATATCGAAAATATGCGTTCACGGGGAGGCCGATGTATGACATGTCAGTAGACTGGTTGTGATATGAACACACTAAACTAACCACCAGAGCTTGCATGTGCCACATTCTATGGTCCTCCTATTGAACCTGCGAGGTACCAATCCTTTACAATCCTCGAGGAGAAAATTTCCCAGCCCGTTTGTTATTATGTGGCGTCGAATTTCCGCTATTATTCCCGAGTCCGGCGGTCAAACCCTTCATATTCTGGAAGCCGGACAGGCATGGAAAGCCACGGCCGGACTTATTCTTTCTTACATACAGCAGCTGAAAGTAACAAGTATGACTGAGAAGCTCTACAGAGCCTCGAATCTCCTAGACTACTCTGCGTGTTACAACCAAGCCCTGAAGGCGACGCCCTCGGATTCCCAGCTACTAGAGCTAGCCTATCCAACATGTCCTACCTTGGCGGCGACAGGCGACGATGCTGTCGTCTCGATATCGTGTCCTGCTTATTTTCGGGGGTCACACTTGGCACCACCGCCGGCTTATCCAAGCACATGGGAGGTTTTCCCACCAGGTTTTCGTAGCATCCGCGATTACGGACGAGTCAGCAAGGTAATGTAATATTTACAACCACCTATCAACTATTAATGCACAAGCTGGTTGTATTTCTGGCGCGAGGTGCGTCTATTGGAATGGGTATCCGCAAATCCCCTATCACATCTCGATGCCCGAGTCATCGGGACTCAGCTCACTCGTCGCCCAACCAGCGGTGACCTCTCAATATATTGACCCCCGGACACTGTCTGGTCATATGCTCATGGCGAGCAATCAATAAAGGCCTTACCGCCGAGCCCTTCGCTCTTATAGGGACCAGTTGGGGTGTCAGGCTACGAACTGTTGGTTCAATCTTACCTGGTGGCTATCCTATCGCCGACCCCGTTTGCGTCGAACAGATGACACGCCTAGACCTCGTGAAGCGGCCTATGACGAAGGAGATTTACAACCTGGCCCATCCAGTCTGCTCTCTGTATATTACTCTCTGCCGAGTCGGTACCTCGGCCGAGTGGAAGTACGAAGCGAGAGGAGGCATACTCGGCATTTCGTATTCCGCATCGAGACGTTATTGGGATGGTGAAGGCCTGGCCATTTTGACAGGAATTGTTTCTGGTTTTTTTTTTTTCGACTTGGAGCCCGAGGGAGTGTAGACACTTATCACCCACCACTTGAGTGTAGGTGCAGGTATTACACAGCATCCTGCAGGACGACTGCCTTTACCCCTATTTTCTTTTTTTTTCGGCTTCTTTCTTTTCCCCAGGGATTAAGGGAATAACGTTGTTCCATCTACGCCTGCACGCATCCATCATTGGGCCTTTAGGCCGGCCATCTACAAATGTGCTGGATGGGGTCGAGCCGGCATTCAAGAGTTCGAGTGGACCAATTGGGAGAAACGACCACACACTTGACCGCTTGTTCTGACCACTATCTACGTGCTCGACGGCACGCACATTTTCAATTTTTTTCCTGTTTTCCCTCGGTCGGACTACCTCTAATAAACACTATCCCGCCTGTCGGGTACCTATTGGAGCGGAGAAAATAAGCGAATATTGGCGAATAAGGAAGGGAATATGGCGCCGCGGCATACGGTGCTCCCGTTGGCGTACCGGGCCTTCTTTCTCGTGATCGAGCCGATCTCTGCGCTCGCGGGGGCATATTATGCACATTTCCGGAAGGCGGACTACCTGGCGCTTACGGCGCACTCAGACGCAGCCGCGGCTCCCGACGGGGCGGCGTCGGTGGCGCTGTCGCAGCTGGCCAACATGTACCTGCTGTTCGCACTGAACGAGGCGCTCGTGCTGCGGGCGACGGGAGACGTGCAGGTGTGGCGGACGGTGCTCGCGGTGCTGCTGCTCGCGGACTTCGGACACCTGTGGGCGGTCGGCGGCGCCGGCGCCGGCGGCGGTGGCGTGGACGCCCTCCGGATCTACTGGGACGTGGCAGGGTGGAACGTGATGGACTGGGGGAACGTGCCGTTCGTGTACCTGGGGGCGGCGCTGCGCGTCGCGTTCCTCGCCGGCGTCGGGATGGGGATGCCGGCGAGGAGCAACAAACCCAGGGCGGCTAAAAAGTGAGGGGTGGGCGTGGGAATGGAGACGGGGACGGAAACAGGCAAAGGAGAAATTGAGAAGCAGAGGGAAAAGGGTTACAGAGTGGATGGGAGACGGCAATGGTGGGTCGGCCCGCGCTCGCCTCGGCTTTACCATAAGTTACCTACCGCGTTCATCTGGAACGAGGCGACCTGGCTAGCCCGAGCAAGGAGGAGAAGAGGGCCATCGCATCTGGGCTGGGTTCTGGCGAGCCGACGTCGCCAATTAATATACCTCGTTACTCCTCTCCCTCTGGCGATTCGCCCTCACGCCCACAACAAAAAGCATGTCTACGCATATCCATCATAGTGGGTTCAGAACCACGAGAAGTCACCGCCAGGTACCAAGGTGATTTGCCATAACTGTCTGCATTCTGCCCGATATTCCGAGCGCCAGGAGGAGACAGCAGAGCATACAAGAGAGAAAGCGACGCGGGAGAGAGGGCGGCGGAGGTTATCGCCAAAAGAGAAAAAAAAATTCCCACACAGCGATAAATGAATTGTCGGCACTTCTCGGTGGGATGAAAGACCGTGTTAAGCGATAGGGATACCCCTGGGTGTTAGGAGGGGGGGCGTCGCCGTCGGGAGGGGGGTGAATCCGACTGGCGGAAGATTCAACCACCACAGCAGATGGTCAAGTAATCTGTCTATACCCACCCCTACGTATGCTGGGGTAGGAGGTCGGCTCTTATATAGGTTCTGTACCGCAGGTCTGGAACGGAGGGCTGTCGTCGTCTTCTCGGCTTAGTGAGGCCAAGGTAAGGTAGGCAGAATCTCGGTCTCTATTCTACCAGCAGGGCCGACATTCCCCACCTGTCGAGCGCTCCGAACGCGCAGGGCGGGCTTATCGCCTTATCGCGGGCCAGCGAGACATCCAACTGCTACACTATGCAAGGGGCCAGACATCCTCCCGTCCGACTCCTAACGACGGCTGCACCAAGACCAGACGAATACACCGAGACCAGCACACCGAGATTAATAGGTACCCCGACAGGAGCACGCCGCCGCGGGTGCTGGGAGGGCGGTGGTCTCCGAACCGGGTAGACGGATAAAAGGGGATAGAGGGATATCTCGCATAAAACGCCGATCGTCTATCGTATACCTACAGGCCCTACGCAAAAAGGGACGCGTCTGACCTAAGGCTAAGTGGGGGGTTGGAGGGGCGAGAAACGAGGGGCGTGCGAAAGCTCGTTGGCCTCGACTACCTACCTATATTCCACAATACCTACCCCTCCATCGCTATCGGCTTCCGAATTCTCCCCGTGGGAGATAAAAGTAATCCCATTTTCCCATTTTCCCATTTTCCCTCTCTCTCCTCCCCCCTCTCTCTCTAACCTCACATACCTGCCCCCTTCCCCTCCCCTCCTCTCCTCTCAGGCCTAGCTCCAACCCCGAGGAAACACCCGGCACTTGCCTATCCACCATGTCTCAGCAGCGCGACCAGTATGAGGGCTTCCAGGTCGAGTCGCCCGAGACCTGGACCCAGTTCCGCAAGAACAAGTTCGACACGAAGCCCTTCGGCGACCACGACGTCGAGATCAAGATTGAGTGCTGCGGCGTGTGCTCGAGCGACATCCACACCATCAGCGGCGGCTGGGGCGCCCAGCGCTTCCCGCTCACCGTCGGCCACGAGATCGTCGGCAAGGCCCTGCGCGTCGGCCCCAAGGTTACCCTGATCCAGCCGGGCCAGCGTGTCGGCGTCGGCGCCCAGTCTTGGTCCTGCCTCGACTGCCGCCAGTGCAAGAACGACAACGAGACCTACTGCGCCAAGCAGCTCGACACCTACGGCGCCGTCTGGCCCGACACCGGCATCGTCACTCAGGGCGGCTACTCCTCCCACGTGAGGACCCACGAGCACTGGTACGTCCATCCCCGCTGATTGCCACTCCGAAAACAGTATGCGCAACGCGCGCTGCATATATTCAATCAACCTATACACCGTGCCCATGCCCACGTATACGCTTCGTGGCTTGAGCCGACAGAAGACAACCCTTCCTGACTAGTCGGCGCTTCCGCATAGGGTCTTCCCGATCCCGGACGCGATACCGAGCCACCTCGCGGCGCCGATGCTGTGCGCGGGGATCACGAGTTACAGCCCGCTCGTGCGCAACGGTGCTGGGCCGGGCAAGAAGGTGGCCGTGGTGGGGCTTGGCGGGCTCGGCCACTTCGCCGTGCTGTTCGCGAAGGCGCTCGGGGCCGAGACGTGGGTGATCTCGCGGACGCACAGCAAGGAGGCGGACGCGCGCGCGATGGGCGCCGACGGCTTCCTCGCGACCCAGGACGAGGGCTGGAACCGCGACCACCGCATGACCTTCGACCTCATCATCAGCACCGCCAACAGCTTCGGCGACGGCTTCGACCTGTCCGCCTACCTCGCCATCCTCGACGTCCACGGCAAGTGGATCTCGGTCGGGCTCCCCGAGGAGTCCACGCTCAACATCAAGCCCCAGGACCTCATCGACAACGGCTGCCTCATCGGCTCCTCCCACCTCGGCAGCCGCCGCGAGATGCTCGAGATGCTCGAGCTCGCCGCCGACAAGGGCATCAAGTCCTGGGTCGAGACGGTGCCGCTGAGCGCCGAGAACCTCGCCGCCACCTTGAAGCGCCTCCACAGCGGCGACGTCCGGTACCGCTTCACCATGACCGACTACGACAAGGTCTTCGGCGCGTGAGGGGTGTGTGTGCGCGTGTGTGTTGAGTCATGAATAAAAAGCAAGTCATGGTGGGGTAGGGGAGGCGAGAGGGTGTACAGATGGGATAGGACGGATGGGAATGAGAGGAATGGCGTGAATCGTGGAGTGCGGTGTGAGTTTCTGGAATCGTTTACGCATCCGCGTTAGGCGCTAGAGAAGAGAGAGACGGACGTCGATACCTGGGTTTGAAATAGAAATGTCGAGAGAGAGTATATATATGCGAAAGGAGAGAAAATTGAAATTAGAATACACCTATCTGTTTTCTTAGGCCGTCCTAGTAGAGACCTAGGCCGAGTGATGCGATGTCCATAACCCTCAAGGGGGGATCGATAGATATAAAGCAGTGGAGGATGCGGGCCCTCCTTTTCTCTTTTCTCCTTTTCCCCCCCTCGCGCACTGCGCGACGTACCCGTCCCTGTTGCTGCTTCGCTAGTTCTGTCGGTGTCGCGCTCGTGTTATGCCGCCTGGGCGGCCGCGCAGACCCTCTCATTTCTTCTTCCCCTTCTCCTCCTATGATACGGCCCTACTTCTCAGTGGGTAGGGGGCGATAAGGGAAGCCGCGACGTCGACGCCCGGCCCGTGGAAGGGGAGCGGATGTCGTGCCCACGGCGACGAGGCGCCGAGTGAGCTCTGAGGATGAGAGAGAAAGAGAAGCTAGAGAAGCTAGAAAGATTGTTGGGACGCATCCCACGGGGGCGGAGTCAGCCTTGGTATCCAGGTTCTCCTCCTTCACCATACGATCGACGGCGTATTCGCCATTTCGGATGCGTGTAAGCACGCCGTCATCTTATGTAATTGCCCGAGTAATCGCTTTACACGTAGCTTCGGTCCCCTCCCCGTGGGGACTATCGTCGAATATGTACGTAGGTAGGTATATATTACACTAATTTTAGCATCGCCAACTGCCCGTGCCCTCCCCTCCCGCCCTGGTCCCGAACTCCGCCTCGAGATATTTACGCCATACTAAGGAAATCCCTCCATTGTACGCCTGTGTGTTGTGAGCTCGGTCGTTAGAGGCCGGGGCACCTCCCGCCCGTCGAGTTCCGTCGGGGCCAGCAGCGGAGTGTGAACGTGCTTCGGGTCTCCCGTCACGCTCCAACCGCTGAGCTCCGACATCTGTGACATATGTCGGTTACCCCCATGGTACGAGTCTGAGAGCGGTGGCGACTGTGCTTGTTGTTCGTGCGTGAGTTGGTGTTGGTTGGGAGAATAGGGTGAGAAGCTGTGACTCGGGTGTCCGGAACTTGGGAATGCGGGGCTAGAAGGACCAGTTTGGATCCCATCTGGCCATCGCGCCATGCCGGGAGAGCACACTGCTTCGTGGTCAGCCTCGTTCCATCACGTATAAGCTGGTGAGCGTATATGGAATGGAAACTCACATCCTTGGGGGCCGTAATGTTTGTCTGCCTCGTCGACTTCCTTCTCGTGCTTTCTACTCCTTGCTAGCCAGCCTAATCTGTAGGCCAGAATGACGAGCAGGATCACAACTAGCGCCGTACATCCGAGGGCAATGCCTAATATCGCACCCAGGGGAAGGGAGGAGGACTCCGGGGATTCGGAGGGCTCTGGCGTAGGTATAGGTGTAGGTGTAGGTGTAGGTGTAGGCGTAGGCGTAGGCGTCGCCGATTCCGCGATGCCGAGAAATACTTGGGCGTCTTCGGTATTGTTACTTAACGTTGCTGGGAGGAGGCTCCCTCTTGGGCATCCCTGGCTCTGACACGGGTTGATCGGGGCCGCACAGCAGCCTAGGAAGGGTTGCGAGCCTACGCAAGTAAACCACCTGTTGCTACCGCCCGGTGCATCGCAGCTCTGTGCCGGAATGCGGTCGTATTGAGCGGATGAGAAGCTCGCCGCGGCCAGAGCTGTCTGAGGACATACACCACTCCCGTCGGCGCAGGGGTCGATGGTACAGCACCCGATGAAGCGGACCCTAGCTGTATTACACACGTAGAAATGGCCTCTAGCCGGGCATGAGAGCCCAAGTTCGACTCGGGATGAGGCCATCGCGGGAAAGTGGTACGGCACAGTCGGCAGAAAGGATTAAACGTAGGTATTAGAGATTAAGTACCAGCTACACCAAGCCTCCCTCCGAGAGAGGAGGTTGAAAAGAGGAGGGAGAAAAGGGAAAGAAGGAAAAACACAACTGCTCGGTTGGTATCTTGTGGGGCGCTGTTGGCAAGACCAACAGCCTTAACAGATATAACTCGTCATGTTTTGCCCAGCCAGGGATGCGCCGATCTATGCCCGACGCGTACGGTGCGCTCTCGAGCAGCACCTACTTAGCAGAGCCTCTCAGCGGTAGACCCGTAGGGGGTTCGTAGGACAACTCGCGAGTGGAGAGAGGAGTCTATAATCCGACCTGACCCGCTAGTCCTCGCTGGCAGGTTACGACTGCGGTTGCGCCCAAAGTTGTTCCCGTAGCCGTGAGCAAAGACAAGTTCGTAGTGAAGAGAAGAGAGTGATCCCAATTTGGACATACCCACCATGTCTGATTGGCTGAAGCTGAGAGGCGCAGCGTATGTGTAGGCGATGTTGGACGGCAACCCTTGCTGACGGGGGCTGCGGTTGGGTCTGATCTGCCATTCAGGTCTGAGCGTGTCTTGCCGGGATACGTGAGCGAGCAGGAAGCCATTTCGGCCCTGGACCGCCTCCATATTACACGAGTGCAGACAGTGCCTATCATGGTGCCGAGCTGGACTCGGGGGAAGGCCGGGACCGTTACAGATGACAGGCGAGGTCCGTCGATGCAGGTTCAGTGAGACGGCAGCCTACCTACCTCTAGAGGGATACACGACTAGAAAGCTATCCAAAATTGTGTGTAGATGATGCAGGCTGCTGGTTCTTCTATAGTGATAGCGAGTATAACGACAGCAGATGTCTGATTATAGTATGCATCAGTGAAGTCGGCATCGCCGCGCAGGCAGGAATAACATAGAGAAGTAACCAGCCAAGGGACCGCGCATTCTTACATAATGGAATTTGGAGTCCGCATCACCCAAGATACCTAGGTACTTACTACGGAGTACGGAGCACAGGTGAGGCGCGGGAATAGATTTATCCGGATTCTCCCGTACCTAGGTACGATCACCCAACCAATCATATGCCTTACCACCAGATGTGTACCCTGTGTGGTCCGAGCGCCGTCGCCCACAATCCGATGCGAATTTTGGGAAATTATCCCCCTCCGCTCTAAATTGTGGATTGGAGATTTTGTATTTTCTCGACCGGCACCGTCTCGCAACCTCAACACTACACCTGCTACTCACTAACACCCACCACCGCCGGCCCCTTGTGACTCTCGACCCTCATCTATTCGAGAAAGCCGCAGCCATGAGTGCCTCTCTGAACAAGATCGCGCCCAACAGCCCGTCGCGGCAGAATCCCTCTGAGCTCGAGACCAGCATCGCCGGTGCTCTCTATGATCTCGAGACCAACACAGCCGACCTCAAGGCCGCCCTCCGACCGCTGCAATTCGTCTCCGCCCGAGAGGTGAGAAGCCAATGACTCCTCTGCCCCCCTCCCTCCCATTATTATACCCTCCTAGTTCCCCGTGGCCTGTTCCCGACCGCTTGACACCGGCTCTCTGCCTCCGCGCGTCGACTGTCTCCCAGCCGACGGCATACTCAGTCCGAGCATGCACCTTCTCGCTATAAGCCGCCCGTCCGCGGATCGCCACGACGGGCCGGATACGAGAGACTCGCGACGTCTCCATGCAGCTAGCTTGTGTGGGAAGAGACAGGAAGACAGCGGGAGAGGGAGAGGATAAGATGGAGAAAAGAGAGAGACAGACTTGTGGAATAGGACGGGAAGCGGTCCAAGGAACACAGCTGCTTAAATGTGTCCTGGAGCTCGCCTGCTGACTTTTGGTCTGGATTAGATCGAAGTTGGCCACGGCAAGAAGGCAATTGTCATCTTTGTCCCCGTCCCATCCCTGCAGGGCTTCCACCGTGTCCAGCAGCGGTAAGTCATCCCTGAGAAAAAAGATAGCCGCAATTGAGGCTCTTCCGTAAGCATCGATGCTGACCGGCGCTTGCTGCCTCCGATACAGTCTAACCCGCGAGCTCGAGAAGAAGTTCTCCGACCGCCACGTCCTGATCCTGGCCTCGCGCCGCATCCTGCCGCGGCCCAAGCGGTCGGCCCGCTCGCGCAACACCCTTAAGCAGAAGCGACCGCGCTCCCGTACCCTGACCGCCGTCCACGACGCCATCCTCGCTGACCTCGTCTACCCCGTCGAGATCGTCGGCAAGCGTCTGCGCACCAAGGAGGACAACAGCAAGCTCCTCAAGATCATCCTCGACGAGAAGGAGCGCGGCGGCGTCGACTACCGACTGGACACCTACTCCGAGGTCTACCGCAAGCTGACCGGCCGGACCGTCACCTTCGAGTTCCCCCAGTCCGGCGCTACCGAGTACTAGAGCCGAGCGGGTGTTCGCGGGCAGCGTGCGGGCGGGCTAGGGTGATCGCATTGGCAATCACCTTTCATCATTGATTGGTATGGCATACGGCATGGCAATCCGGGTGGGCCAAAAAGGGTGTGGCACGGCGTCTAGATAGCTTGTGGAACAATTGACAAGCCGGTTTTCTGATGACAATTAATACCCATTGCGTTCATCCTTCTTCAACTCAAACATCGTCTCACGTGTGAAATTTGATTCTCTTCTCGTTTACCCTATCTTCCCTCTCTCTCCACGTAGTAGCAGTACTCTAGTAGGGGTATCGTAGATTCCTCTTATCCTTTTCTCTTTCTCTTTTTTTTTTCAAAAAAAAAAAAAACCTTCTCAGTTCAACTAAGCTAGGCCGCCGCCTCCTGGCTGATGCGTCCGATGCCGATAGCGCACCAGTACGCGAGCTCCTTCTTCTCGCGCGAGTCCTTCTCCTTGCCGCCGCTAGCGCCGGTGCCGCCGCCGCCGCCGCCGCCGACCTGGTCCTGGGAGACGTCGCCCTCCCACTCGAGGCGGACGAACATGGGGATCTCGAGCACGTCCTCGTCCTCGCGCAGCGGCGCGGCCTCGGGCGCCGCCGCCGCCGCCGCCGCCGGCTGCTCGGGCTCCGCCTCGGACTCGGACTCGGTGCCGGCGCCCGCCGCCCACTGCTTGCGCGACAGCGCCGGCGACGACGGCAGCGAGTACGAGAACGACGACGCCGACCCGGGCCTCGCGCCCGCGCCCGCGCCCGCGCCCGGCCCCCGCAGCGACGCCGGCACCACCTCCACCACGATGCTGACCCAGTTGCGGCCGCGCTCCCAGACCTTTCCCGCCTCCGCCTGGTGCGGGCCGCCGGGGCCCGCGCCCGCGCCCGTGCCGCCGCCGCCGCCGCTCTCGTCGCCCCGGTGGCGCCGCCGCGCCCCCTCCCGGTCGCCCTCCTTGAGCACGTCGTCGAGGTACATGTCGGTGTCGGTGTTGGCGTCGATGTGGAACTCGGGGCACAGGACGGTGACCTTGGACGCGAAGCGGCCCGGCGTCGCGGCCGGCGTCGCCAGCGTCACCTTGATGTCCTCGAAGATGGGGTTCTTGAACGTGAGGAGGAACTGGGCCGGCTGCAGCGGCTGGAGGAGCCCGCCGGGACCGGAGGCCTCCGTCGCGCCCGCCGCTGCTGCCGCCGCCGCCGGGTTGAGTGGCTTGATCGAGATCGACGGGATGTAGTTGTTGGCCACGAGGCGGATGCGCCACCGCGTGTTGCCCACCTTGGACTCGGGCTTGCTGATGATGTGCCGGCAGACCGGACACCGCTTCGACCGCTTCGTGCGCAGCAGGTACGGGATCGGCCACAGCTCGTCGGTGAAGCGCGCGCCCTCCTCCACCTGCCACCGCGCCTGCTCGCCCGTGACGGTGCCGCGCCAGCCGCCGCGCCGCAGCCTCGCGACGGCGGCGCCCTCGTCGAGGTCCGCGGCGCGGAAGCCCTCGCCCGCGCCCTCGGCCTCCCGCATCGCGCTCGCCTTGGCCTTCGGCTTGAGCCCGCCGCCGCCGCCGAGCCCGCCGAGGCCGTTGCCCGAGTACAGGTTCATGATGCGCGAGAGCGCGCCCGGGGAGCTGAGGCCGTAGTCGCCGATGCCGGCGAGGCTCGAGCTCGACGTGCCCGTGTTGGTCTGGCTCGCGTAGAAAGACTTCATGGCGGCGAACCGGGCCTTGACGGTCTCCGGCGCGGCCGCGGCGGCGTCACTGCTAGTACTATTCTTCCGGGGGATGATGTCCTCGGAGGGCGGGTGCTTCGCGTGGTCCTCGCCGTGGCGCAGCTTGGACAGCTGGGAGAAGATGCCCTGCGGCTTGTCGAACTTGACGCCGATCTCGGCCGAGTTCCAGTTGCAGTACGAGCAGGTGAGGATCCACGGCCCGGACGGGGCGGTGGCGGTGGCACCCGCAGCGGCCTCCGGGGTCAGGAGGGAGGAGGATTCGGGCGGCGGCGACTCGAGCGCCTGGACGGCGAGCGGACCTATGCATATAGGGCACTGGAAGCAACTACGCGTACATCTATGTCTGTTAGCCCGGCGCCACGCCTCGGTGTAGGTGTATATGTATATGTGTATGTATATATAGACGTAGCAGGGATTTGCAGCGGCATCACGCATACCTATTCCCTTCAGTCTTCAGACTGCTGCTTCCCACTTCAAAGAGACAGTTCGGACAGTATATCGTTACGAGCTCCTCGGCGACGCAGCGCGGGCAGCGAATCTGGTGGCACACGTCGCAGTATAGCAGGTACTCGAGGGGATAGAGGCTGTAGTTGGATCTCGCGGCCCGCGGATCGAAGGTGCGCTCATCGTCGTCGGGAAGGTCGTTGGGGGACGCGGGGGACGCGGACTCGTCGGCGGGGCGGCCCTGGCTCGTGGATTCGTGGCAGGGGCATTGTATGTACGTGTAGGGTGTGAAAGATGGTGCCATTTAGACCTCTTCGGACGTCATGTTTTTCCTATCTAGTATCCGTGCAGCACATACGCCTGGGCTTCTTCGAGACGGGATGGGAGGAGAGGCGATTCCGAGCTGTTCGGCTCGCTGGGCTGTACGTAACCTAGGCAAGTCGAGTTGGTGGTTGTAGACCGTGGGAATACACCTTGGATTCGATTCGTGATGCTCCCAGGCAGGGTAAGTTTAGAGGTGGGCCTAGATAATCGGCTTATCAGTAGACATTAAATAAAAAAATCAGAGGCACACCTCTAACACCTGGACACAGGTGCCCGCCGTGGGACCAGCTGTCTGGACCGTGGGCATGCGCTCAAGTACCTAGGTACTTCCCTACACAGGAAGATTGATAGTTGAATATCTATATAAGACACATAGTCTCTATCGATAATTGCAGCCTCAGTAAATGCATAAGTGGGTAGGCAAGGTGGGAACTGATCTGATTCTTGTTCTTGACCAACAACACTTTTCTCATCTTACCACCACCGCATCTTCTCCTAACTACAGGGTCTGTATGGATCCCCGAATCCGACGAGTCAGCGCATCCCCCACCCTGCGAGGGCATCGAGTCGAACCGTATCCCGCCCAGCATTGGCTGACGGCGGCTATTTTGCACACAAGTGCGCCGGGGGTCTCTACCGTCAGTCCCGGGTGGGGGTGGTCGTGTCGATATTCCAGTCTGTTATTCCCTCTTGTTCCCGGTTTCTTTCCACGTTTCTCACCAGCCTCGTCTTCTTGCATGCGGAATCGGGCGGCCAGAGTGCCTGGCTAAAACTTAAGTCGAGATTAGACTTAGGAATGTCTCTTGTCTAGCGCTCCGCGATGACCCTAGCCCTCCTAGGCCGGTTAGTTGTCCCCGTCATTGCGTCGAACCATTGCGATGATAGTTCCTGTCGAGCACTCGGCGGGCGCTGGTGGATTTCTTATGCCGCTTTAGTATAAGCCGGCATTGATACGATGCTCCGGTCCGCGGTGCTGCCTCCCACTTCCGCTGTTCATGTACCTGTATGTGAAGGGTACGTAATATATACTACTAAGCCCAGGTACGCAGCAATGGAACCTGCCCGACGCCTAAAATACTTCGGCATAGTTCAGACTAGATGAATACACCTACCACGTACACGTTGGCCGGCACACGTCCGTTCCGAGGAGGACATGCGGACAAGGTTATGAAACGGATCCAGGGATGCAAACCCGTGATTCCGCGCCGAAGTCTGCATGTATGATGGCCAGGCTTGCAATCCCAGAGGTTCCCAGCCGTTTGGCAGCATTGTTGTTGCCAGACTCGCAGTGCTGCTGCTAGCACACACTTAGGTGGCGGCCGGCTTGCTCACTAGACAAGGATCTAAAGCCCTACTAATAACGTGCAATAACGGGTGGTGTCTCGGTACGAATGGTGGCTCACACGCGTAGGTGGGTGGACGACTTAAAGACGCTTAACATGGTGATAGCCGGTTACGCCCAACGCCACGGTCGACGCTAGCATAGTACGCTGGCGTTCTTAGTCCTCGACCGAGAAGCAACTTACACGGTAAGGGGGTTTAAGGGATTCTTACATTTACGAAGCCGTGAATGAAATTCCAGCCGCCCTACACCCCCCACATCTCTCCCCTCCTCGCCCTCCAGAAACGCTAAGGTGTCTGGAATGTTAGATGTTTTCGCCTCGGCTGAAGTGTACATGTCCGAGCTCGAGGACACGCTTAGCGTCATGACGGGATTGTAGGTGCGGAGACGTCTTCGGAACCTATACCTAGCACATTAGGTCTTGGTCAGAGCGAGCTCCCAGAGTCGACTTGAGCTCTCGACCGCACAGATTTCCTGACCCAAAATGACGATATCAGATCGACAATTATACAGGATACCCTCCCTTTCAACGGTCCCCGTCGCGGAAAGCCGTCATCATCCGACCAGTGCCCTTTCTGCACACAATATGGACGAGACTTTTACGCAAGAGCTGTCTCTCTATAATGGTGTTTCGAACCGATCGCGTGGCTGGAAGACGAAGGGGTCGGATGGGGTGTTGCGACGGCCTCGCGGCTCGAGTGTCAGAAGATGGGATGGCGCCGCAATGTCAAGTAACCCGTGGGACAACCTACGAAGGGTGCGTTTACCACTTTCCTTCCCCGTACACCATGCGCTCATACGCTCACCTATATAATATAGGACCCCGAGTTGTGGCACCGGGACGGCAACTGTTACGTTCATCTCTACGGCCAAGGCCGGAGCCGCAGGGGCCCTAGTTTCAAGGTCCGCTTCTCTATGCTTCTGGAGACGGCCTGTCATCCATTGGCTGACCAATTTATGGCCCGCGAGGTTGCGAAGCCCGTAAACTATGGCCGAGACGACGGTGGTGAACTGGCGAGGCGGAGTCTCATTGAGCTCTTCATCCCCGCGCCGCCTCAGTTAGACGAGCGACAGGCATTCGAATACCACCTGTCGATTCGCAATCTTTTCGCCTTTGTCTTCCGCAGGTCTATGGTCGGAGAGAACCTGGGGACTACCCTGATCGCTCTTATGCGTAGTATGCGTGAATTTCGCAACGACAGTGTGGATAACATCAGAGACATGATGGATTACCTAGATGAAGAAGGATACTTGAACCTAGAAAGAAGCCCAACTCACGCCCTAGCCATTCTTCATTTTGCAGAAGCCTTCCAGCTGACGGACCTCTATATCACTGCCTTTGCGCACTGTTGCGGTATGAGCGATCAGTTGTTTACTATCCCCGAATATAAGGTCAGTCGCACGCGCTCCATACCTCGATACTCCGGGTTAACAGGATCAGCACGTGTCCCCCACTACTCGAAAGCTCATCCGACGAGCTCAAGTTGAGATGAATCTTAAATTAGGGCGGATTTCGAGCATGATAGCAAGTTTTCTTCGTGATGAGCTATCCGAGGCGCACCTTGGTTTATATTCGGGTGCGCAGATGCACCTTCAACAATTCCGATCTCTATTACAAGATTATTACGCTGCCAAATTTGGCTCATACCCACCGCCGTCAATCGATCCCCGAACCACGATATTTGAAGCAGAAGTATTCCGGATAATGAGCGACGATTTCAAAGCTCTCATGGAGTACCTAGTCGATGAGACGCTCGGCACGACCCATAGCGACCCATTTTTGGCGCAAGGGGGGATTTGGACGCGGCAGATCATCAGATCGTTCGACACGAGACACGGGTTCACCACACTAATACATACTCTTCCCCGTCTTCCAAAGGTATCGCAAGAGAGCAGCCCTAAGAGGATCGCATGGCTAGGCAGACAAACGAAGCTAAAGCCGAGACAGCGAGAAATCACACTAGATGCCCTACTTACTGCTGCGAACCACAAGGACGAGTTGCTAAAGAACGGGTTAGTGAGGGCATATCGCCGATTTGAGGAAGACTCGATCGACCCTCCAGCGAAAGGGGACAGGATCGAAAATCTGGGGCCCATAGACGGCAGGAAAGTCCGCTGGGTCCTGATATATGCGATGTATCAGGCACTGAGACAAGCCTCTGAAATCCCGCCTGGGGTTAAGGATGCGTCGAGGGCGCCGTATCATCTTTGCATTTCTACGACCGACATACCACCTTGGAGCAAGGAGCCGTCTTTATATAGTCTGACCCTACGGCGGCCGGACCGCTTAAATCTTGGGGTTTCGGCATTGACGACAACAGATGTAAGCTCTAGTGAACGGTCCAATTCTCCGCAGCGCAGCTTCGAGATCAAACCAGACATCGACTATTTCAGCGCCGCACGCCGTGAAGACGCAGCAGGCGAGACTCGGGGCGGAAACACGCGGCTGCGTAAGACTAAGAGCTGGACGGAGAGTCTCACGAAGAGTCTTCCCTTTAACCTACCGAGGCGACGCTCGTCGTCTCGGCTAGCTAAACAGTTCGACAGGGAAACAAGACCGGGAGCAGCCTCGAAGGTGCAGCACGTCGAGATCATCGTCCAAGATTATGGAAACGGGATGCAGGACTCCACAGCGGAACCAGCCGAACTGCCTCCACCGCCACGGTCGGCGACATCGATGGGATTCTGCACAGCGATCACCGAGGAAGACCTGGCGTCGGCGTCGCCTTCACGCTACTCGAGCAACGGCGACCTCAGAAGCTCCGCAGCAGGCGGCACCGAGACACTGTGCACGTTCATCTCCGGGATCCCGTCGGAAACTACCCTGTGTCTCCCGCAGAGCAGAACCTCCTGGAGCGACGAGGCCCACGAGTCCGTACAGCTCTGCTACACCAACATCAGCGCCACCGCGACCACTACAACGCAGCAGTCACCGAGCCCGGAAGGCGACCGCGATCTCCCGCACGACGAAGCAGCCCGACCAACTACTACTACTACTACGATGACGACGACGATAGAACAACCCATTCCCCCGAAGGAGAAGCCCGTCAAACCGGCGGACGTGGCGCTGCCGATCGTGATGCCGTCGCCGCGGAGCCCGACGGCCTGGGACCAGGTGCAAGCGACGATGGAGGTGGAGGCGCAGAGCTGGCGGACGACCAGCGCCGTATACGACGTGATGCCCGAGTGGGAGCAGTACTCGGACCTCGGCGGGCTCACCGAGCTAGTGCCGTCGCGCACGACCAAACCCTCGTCGTCGCCGGCCGCCTCCTCGTATTCCCCTTCTTTAATCCTCCCACTCGCCTGGAGGAATAGTGGAGGCGGTGGTGCCGGGGCGACCTAGTTTGGCGGAGATTTATTTACATTAGGTGTTCGGGCTCGTAGGCCTTCGGGGGATTTTTTTTTTTTGGCTACAGGAGAGTTACGCATATACCTACCTACCGCACCTATTCTTTTTTCTTCTCAACCATTTATGAGCGTGTCGGACGGGCAGGAAAATCAGTACGGTATCTGCATTTTTTTGTATATACGATTCACCAGCGACTGTAACTACATTAAGCCGACCACCCACCCATTTATTAACCAAGCGGCCACGGCGCAGGTATATGGGGTAACATGAGTATTGATGTTAGGAGGTGGTATTTAAAAGAAGCATTATATGAACGGCCTATATTGCGGGCCACGTGCTAGCGTAATTCGACCACTTCTTCCACCGTTGTTCCTCGTTCGTCGTTCCTCATTATACACGATGTATTACCCTCACACAAGGCACGCTCGTACAAATTCAAAACTAAGACGCTCTCTTGGCCACTCAACGACTAACCAAATAGAGAGTTGATTTTTTTATTCGGACTTGACAGATACGGCGGTCGACGCCGCCGTCAGGCCCTCCACAATCTCGCCGCCCAGGACGTAGATGAGGTAGGTAGGGAAGACGAGCCACAGGCCACTGCACATACGCGCGCACGCATCGTGATATGGTTAGCCAACAAGGATATACTTTTCACATCGACAGGAGGGGCGACTTACTTCGGGATGATCCACAGCAAGACTAGGTCTCGGGGAGGATTGTGGCCGATGTTATCGAAGCCGGAGAAATACTCGTTGAGCCCTGTCCGTCCAGGAGAAGACTCGCGTTAGTAAATGCCTACCTCCTACCAATTGGCATGCGACGGTGAGGGAACAACCGAGAAATGGCAGCAAAAAAATAAAAAATAAAAATCAAACCCAAGAAGGGAAGAAACTGACAGTACAGCACAGTCTTGCTTAGCGTCATGACGGCGGCGCTAAACGCGACGAGGACGGCGATGGCAGCGGGGCGGCCAGCCAGGGCGCGAGCGCGCGGGGTCGCGTCGGAGGAGGAGGAGGGGGAGGAAGAGGAGGCGAGGTAGATCCACAGGTAGGCGAGGTAGAAGGCAGTCTCGAGAACGTTGAGGAGGCTCTGGGCGGCGGTGAAGCCGGTGTGGGCGTGGAAGGCCTTCCAGCCGTAGATGTGGTCGACTTCGCCGTAGAGGCGGTAGGGCACCCACAGCGGCCAGTGCAGCGAGCCGCCCTCCATGCTCCACGGCCGCAGCAGCACGTACGCCGAGTCCCAGGTGACGAGCGGCAGCGACACGGCGAGCCAGAGCAGCGTCAGCCGGCTCGGCGCGTGGGCCCACGGCGCGGGCCCGCGCGACGACGACGGCGACGACGACCCGGCGCTAGCCCGGCTCACGCTGCCGGCTCGGCTGCTGCTGGCCGTCGTGCCACCCGACTTGCGGCTGCCGCCGCTGTGGGCGGGCGCGGGCGTCGACGGCGCCTTGCTGGCGGAGCGGGTGGTGACCATGGTGGCGGCTGGCTTGATCGAGTCGGTTTCCCCGAGTTGGTGTTTTTTTTCCCTTTCTCGCTCTCTTATTTTGTTGGCGAGGAGTTCGCTTTGCTACGTGTCTGTTTCTCCACCGCGCTGCGAACGGATGGGTATATATCCAACAACGGTAGATAGCTAGATGTGTGCCGAAGCTGGATTGGCCGGCGATTGCACTCGGCGACGTGTTGAGAAGAAAGTAGTCAATTACGAAAGAAGAAGTAGGTTGTTACAGGCAAGTTCGTCTTGCCGGAGTTCCCGCGCTGAACCTGCTGGCGAAGAGGGTGCGGGGAACCATCAAACTGCGACACGGGCGGGAGAGGAGAGGAGGGGGGCGGTGGCAGAGTTCGGTGGTGTGAGAGGGAGGGAGAGAGGGAGAGAGATGAGATGGTGTCGATTTATTATTACCTACCAGATTGGCCGACCGCATCGGATGCCACACGGTCCCGGCCCTACCTCGATAACTACATAAAAAGAACCGAAGACGATAGATAGAGGGGTACCTGAACAAGACCTCAAATTGACATCAATTCATAGGTGCCAATTCCCTACGACAAGTTCCTTTTCCAGCCCTCTACCCGAAGTATGTATCAACCGCCAACTACCTGCCTAAGCATGATATGCCAAGCCCGGGGTAAGATGAACACATGTCTGCCTTAGGTAGGCAGGCTGAAGCTGAGGTGGTATTGGTGTCCTCCCTCTTACATACATGTGCATGCTCGGTAGTTGTATGTAGTTGTCTACGTGGGTATATAGTTAGATGCATATCGCGTTTACCAGCTGTCGTCTCGTCTTCATCGCATGGAATAAATGTTTCGTCAGAGCGCTTCGATACGATTCTCCCCATTGCGTCAGCGGGGGGAGTGTGAGTATGTGGTTGCAGATTGTTATATACATCTGAGTTCATCGTACCTAGATGTGCAGACGTTGGTAGATTGAGGACGACAGCATGGTTTTTTTTTTTTGAAGAGCAAGGTAGGTACGGCAAAATATCCTCAAAATATCCTCGCCTGCTATCCCTTGTTTCCACCGATGTGCTACAAGCAACAGGAACATGCACAATCCACAATGGGCCAGGCGTACAAAATGCCCAGTCTAACTACCCGCAGACCTACCTTGAGTATCAGCACATCGAGAAGTAGGAAAGGGGCTAGACAGGTAGGTAAGGAGTAGGCAGGTAGTCAATTACCTACCACGTCGAGCCAATCCCTACTCGGCCCTAAGCTTCACGACTTGACGCCCCTCATCGCGCTCTCCACCAGCATCCGGACATACCACCGGTGCAGGAACGCGATCGTCGGCGGGATGGGGTGTTCGGCACCCTCCGCGAAAGTCCCGCCGCTGCTGAACAGCGCCGACTTGAGGCTGAACTCGGCCTGCTGGGCGACCGGGTCGATCTTGGCGCTGATCACCACCAGGCCGTCCGAGTTCCGCAGGCCGGGCTGCAGCGGCGAGCCTCCGCAGCGGACGATCACCTCAGTCTTCTCGCGATTCACCACCTCGAAGTGGTTCGAGAACTTCTGGCCCTTCTCGTACTTGGCTACGGCTAGGTCCGCTACGTGCCACAGGTGGTCCTCCGTTCCCGGCGGGTGGTCGTACCGCTCGTGGAACCTGCTCTGCGCCCAAAAGCCTAGATAGAGTCCCGCACTGTCAGTGACATTCGCAACTTCGGTCCCCCGAGTCCGGCGCTGAAGAGCGTAGGGAGGCAACGGGGAGTAAACTGCGGAGACAGAGCAGAAGGAGTTGCCGCACCCCAGCGGCTCCACACGCCACGACAAAACTCCAGCGTCAGGACCTCCTCGTTGTCGCGGAGGTCGGGTCGGATCTTTCGCAGCGGCACGCGCTTGATGACGACGTCCTGGAGCGCGGGGTTGCCCTTCGGGTTATACTTGGCCCAGGTCTTCGTCCGGAACATGGGGTCGTCCTTGGCGAGGTCGACGAGGGTGGTGCTGGCGGCCAAATAGGCCATGCCCGTGCCCAGGCCAGCCACGCTGCCCGCCACGCCCCAAGCGGTCGTCAATAGTGCCGTCCTGAAGATCCCCATATTAACGGGACACGCGTATGCGATACGTTGAGGAGGAGGAAAGGAGAGAAAAGGGGGGACGAGGACAAACGGAGGATTCACGTAGTAGAGTCCGCTTCGCTTAGCCTTCTCAGACACGCGCGTGTGACAAGCTGGGGGTCGGTCACTGGGTTGGATCACCGGGATCGGAAACTAGGCCGTCTAGCTCAACAAAACCGGTTGTCTGCATACGAGACCGTGGTAGGGTGGCTGAAGACCATCGAGGAAATTCGACACACATTGGATACCAACGGAGAGCGTGGGTAGACAGATCGGGGGTTGAGCTAGTGCAAGGATGGCCTTCGTCAACAAATCACTTACAGATTACGTCGGAAACACACTACGTGGTTGTCTCTGTATGCCCACTCACCTTCTAACGCTCTACCCGCTCTAACTGCATTCGACGAGTATACGGCTTCAGCGTCTTGAGAGAGCCGAGATCTCGCAACTACGTAGGTACGTATATTTTGGATGGAAGAGCAGCACTAAGGCGTAGGTACCATATTAAATACATACGGAGGATGCAGCCTGGTGCAGCCTCTCCTTATTGTATAAGACGGAAAAAACGATGCGTAGGTATAGGGAGGGACAGAGAGAGTCCATTTTACGCAGGCAGGCATATACGCGTACCACCAAACCGCGATGCACCGAGGGGCGACCATCGCGGATGGTAGAGTTGGCAGCAAGCACAAGTCATTCTAGCACGCAAATATGACCGACAGCAAGTGGGCGAATAGAAATCGGTTGATTAATCGTGCCAAGTTTTAAAAGTGTGAGGGAAAAGAAGGAGAAAAAAAGGGAGAGGAGACGCCGATGAGGCGAGAAAAATATGAAGATAGTACATAGGTACACGTCCACTCCGATTTCGTAAAGATAACGATAAGGTCACATGGATAGAAGTATCCAGATTTCGGTCACGTGCCTACCATAAACGGTATGCCCCGTTTACGGGATGGAGGAAAAGTCGATTGTACCTACGTATATTTCTTTCTTTCATCTCGAGGGCCTGATAAAATTTCTACACTACAACAACAACCGACGATGAATCCCGTCGAGCATCACCAGAACTATCTACCTCAGCGATATGGACCACGTACGGCCTACCCCCAGAAGACCTCTCCGAGGACCACGTAAGCGACCAGGCCATCAACGAGCCTGCATTCCATACTAGGCTCTCTCTCTCGCGCAACGTACGAGCCGACAGGCCAGTGCCTCGTCTATCTCTCCTCTATTCTGCTCTAGCCGATATCTCGTCGATATCTCCCCGACTTCTCTCCCCGTCTGCGTCTCAGCGACGCGAGCCCAGCTGGCCTCTGCTTGCCAACCCACAATTTGCCTACCTCTCGCGACTCTTCAATGCGCAGGAGCGTTAACTTGTTTTACAACTATTCGCAGTGGAAGAATGAACCCGAGGCCTAGACAGCCGGTCCGATCCACCCTGCTGCCGTAGAACGAGTGCGGTAGCAGGACTAATGAGGACAGACACACATGGACACATACATAACACATGCTCATACACATTCACCACCCGCACATTGCAGTTCTCTCTTCTTCCTTTGGTTATGAAAAATTTTCAACATTCGCCAAGCTACCTTCGTCGATGCTTGGTTTCCTTACCAACTCTAACCTCTATATTTATATTAAGGGGTCCCCGGTGAGCCGTCATCCTGCCCGCTATCGAAGCCGCTGATGAATTCCTTGCGCGCCTTGTCCAGGTTGCTTTGGAAAGTCCCATCCTTAATCGCGATCGTAGCCTTGTCAAAGTCGTGCGCGAAAAGCTGGTCCCGGAGCGAAGTGCTTGGGAACCCGTTATAGGAGACGAGCGCGCCGTAGAACCACCTGCCCGTGTGGTTCTCGATGTTATCGTCGTCCGCGTTGCCGAAGCGGAACGTGTGTGTGCTGAGTCCGTCCTTGTGGTATACCATCTTAGGATGCGTGCCCTCCCAGCGGACGCTGCTCGCCGCCTTCGTCTCATAGTCGCCATGTTGCGACGCGGCCACGTACTTGGCCTCGTCGTTCTGGACGAACACGACGATGTGCTCCCAGTCGTGCGTATGGCCGAGATCCAAGGGGAAATTGGCGATGGCCACGTCCTTCTCAAAGTAGTAGTCGTACATGTATGCGCACCAGCCGTTATTGCACCGCGCCCGCGAGTATACGTTGTTGTTGCTGAGGTCCGAGGCGTCTCTGCAGCCCGAGGAGAGACCGGCGTTGTTGTGCGGCAGACCCGGGTTTATGTTGCCGTTCGCGTCGATGGCCGGCGTGTTGTAGCAGCCGTCTGTGTCGAAATCCATCGCCGGTTGCCACCTATAGAGTTGAGCATCTACCGTCTCGCTTGACCACGATGGGGGATCCGGAACCACTTACTTCTTGTCATTGGCCGTAGCTCTCTCAGCCAGGGCCTGCGGCGGGTCACGAGCCACGAGCTTGAACAGTTCTTCGATGGGCATGCCGTTCACGGCCGGGATGGCGGTGGCCATCAGTAGGGCCAGCCCCGTAGCGACGAAGCTCTTCCCGGAAGGCATTCTCGACTGATAGAATCGCGACGCCTTTAATTTAGAGTCGGAAGAACGAGAATAGGCTCTGGGTATATACCTATGCTTGTGGGTGGCTCGGCCTGTTAAGCAGCATCGTGAAGGGCACCGTCCATCCCATTTATACTCTTCTCTCACTCTTTCTGGATATACCTAGATCAACACGCCATGTGCCTGGCTTCTCCGAATCCCCCTCACTTAATGGAGAGCCCAGCTGTGGAGTGTAGAGTATTGGACTGAAACTAACATGAGCAGGGGTCTCACCAGGGGTCTCACCAGGGGCTTACATCGGTCGCCTTCCTTTCTGGGGCATCGCATGTGCGTCAGCGTCACCCTCGTCCCCCTCGACTGCGCCTGGCATCTTTTTTTATTCCATTCCCGTTTGAAACCAGTTGCATGCCCGCCAAGTATCCAACATGCACATTTTATTTACTATATTCCTATCACCTCTGCAACGTGCCGGCGCCGCGATCAGAACTAATCATTAGCCACATCACGGGGTGCACCAGTATAGGCACATTGTCCTGTCGAATACACCTGGCTGCTTTGCGCTGCCCTCTCCCCCGTCCTCGGTGCCCGTCTGTCTTTTATATCGTTGGGGAACTTCGTAGCGGAAACCGAAGTCGAAGAGGACAGGGAGACACCGCCACCCAGTAGTAGCCTTTCTTAATATACCTACGACCGTCGAAGCCCAAGACTGGCGTCACCAACAGCGGCATTGCCGATTTCCCTTGTGGCTTAGTGAAACCTCCGACTATACTGTCGATACAGAGTCTACAGATCAGCCCAACTAGTCCCCTGAACCTCACCCCAAAGCGGGTCGCGGCTTCCTAAAGATTCTATTGGCTCTTTCCTACGACCTTACTCCACTAGTTGGTTGGGGTGAGATCCTTTTGATTACTTGAGCCTCTACCACCGCTACTACCACCAAGTCAACTGCACCACTAAACTACCACTACTAAACCACCACCACTAAACCACTACTACAACCACCACTACCACCACCGATTAATTAATTGTTTATTGAATACTTCTAGGGCAACTTTTAATCGCGAAAAAGAATAAATTAAGTGCACGTTCGTACGGTGGTTAGAAAGGAGAATTTAGTAACCCTTGTACGAAAAGTTTAGGTGGCAGGGATAAAGTTTGGTTGACAGGGAAAAAGCTCGGCAAAATCGCCTAATCCGGTTAGACGTTGGGGTGAGGTACAGGGGACTAGTTGGGCTGATCTGAGACCTCTCGATACAGGTCTCGTTCAAATCGCCAGCCAGGCCCTGGTCACCAAGTCATGTCGCGCGGCCCTCAATCCGGATCGGCTCGTCACCTCGTTCGGCCTCCTTCCCTTTCCGGATCCAATACCGGACCGCCCTATATCCTGGGGGACCCTACCCAGCCGCCACTATGTAACTATATAGGCTTTCTCTGTTTCTCCTCCTCGTCCTCGTCCTCCCCTTCCAAGCCAGCGCCGTCGGCGGGTACCCGTTGCGTGCGTCCCCCGTCCCAACCACCAACGCAGGTAGGGTTACGCAGGCCGGTCTAAGCATCATGAGAGACGTAACGTCACTTTTTTTTCCCCCTCCCCCTCTGTCTCTTCTACTTTGTCGCTTCATTGGCTGTCCTGCTCCACGTGCGGCGACCTACGAAGGTCTATAGCGGCTTCTCGACTCGCCCACCCCGTCCCAGAGCCAGAGCAATCTGGCGTCGTCAAGCGCGGGCGTGAGCCGGCGATAGGTGAATTACGCATGTCGCGACGTCGACGGGAGCCGCTGGGCCCCGACATTGCTATTGGGCAGACGGCCAGCACGTGCGTGCTAAACGATGCTACTACACTGTCCGCGAGCTAAGCTTACCGGCATGGCTTGGAGGGGAGCCCGCTTCGGGACGTCGTCCCTTTCACATGGTCGAGCGCACGCGTGTTTCTTTGCTCGGGCGGGCCTTATGGCTAGGCTTCCCCCTTAGATGGGTCTCGCGCTGGCTAATAGGGGGCGGCTGGTTGGAGTCCCGGCGTCGACATGTGGACTCAGTAGGAGAGGGAGGCAGGGAGCGGCTATCGGCACACCGAAGGTAGCATCGGCCAAGCGGGCGCGACACAGCCAATAACGAGGCGAGCACTCGGCTTGTGCCTCCCGCCTAGCACCCCGGCAGGCTCTCCTCTTCAACACATGTCGCGGGAGAAATGCGGGATGGGTGCGGCCCCCGTCGTAGATGCAGGTGCCATTGGAGGCTGGACGAACGCCGCGGCGCGCGCGCCGAGACAAGAGACCCCGGGGCGGGGGGTGGGTGTCGGCGTGTATGTTGAGGTAAGGCGAGGTGGGCTGCCCCTGATAACCAACGACCAGGTGTATCCGGTGGCAGCAGTCGTATTATGCTCAGACTTTGCATGCATCGCCTCAACCCTGAGACCTCATTTGCGGAATTTCCAGTCAGTTTACTCTGGCTTAGGTAGTTATTCCGTCCCGACCGGGTACCCAACCGCCTCTCTCGGACACGGGAGAACCGCCGATTCAGTGCGGGCAAAGTGAATTAGCCGACACAACCAGCCAAGACAACGCACGCGGGCCGGCCCGGGGACGGCCGTGTACGGGGAGGAAGAAGCTGTCTGGATAAGCGAAATCTGGTGGCTTTGGCGCGGGCGGGACGGGAAGGTAGTCAACATCGGTAGACCGACCCATCGCTGCGCCGCTTTCAGCTCTCAGCTTCTCGGCTCTCGTAGCCCTCTATGAGTACTACGTTGACCCAATCGCCCCCTTTCCCTTTATTTTTTCCCCCACAGCACGATATCTCCTCTCTATCCGCACCCACGCACGTAGATAAGAAGCAGCGCCGGATACCCGGGCTTCTCTAGCCACACCCCCTCCGTCCACCCCAGCGCGCCCCATCCGATCGTCTTCACACCTGAAATAGCCTCTTCGCTTCGTCGCTAGTCGTTCGCCCTCCTCGCCTCGCTCCCCTAGACACATCTCCGCATGCCCCAGCCGTAGCCCGAGACGAAAGCAACGTGATATATATATAACAACTTCGCCCACGCACTCCCCTGCCCTTTCCTTTTCCTATTCCTTTCCTTTTCCTATTCCTTTCCTTTTCCTATTCCTTTCCTTTTCCTATTCCTTTCCTTTTCCTATTCCTTTCCTTTTCCTATTCCTTTCCTTTTCCTATTCCTTTCCTTTTCCTATTCCTTTCCTTTTCCTATTCCTTTCCTTTTCCTATTCCTTTACCCCTCCCTAACCCCCCCTATCCGTGCCCCTAGACCGCTACTCGCCCAACCGGACCTAACTCACAACCAGCGCAGCCACTCTATCTATTAGACACCCATCGGTACGTACGCGCCGACTGAGAACGCGAGGTTTCGAGCCGGCACAGCCAGCTCGTTCGTTCTCTTCACATACCTTCGCCCGACGACGAACGCGCGCCCGGGACAAGCGCACCTGTCTACCTCGCCCACTCGCGCGCTTTCCTCGCGCGCTTTATCTTACCTACCGTGGGACAGAATTCGCTTGCACGTTGTGGAAACTACGCAACGACAGCGGTGGTAGCAGGGTATGAAGTATTGACGTATATATTCACGCTGGGCGTTAGTCGCCCCAGCGGCGTGCTAGCGAGCGCCCCGATCTCTCTCTCTCTGTCTCTGCCCTCCCAGCACGTCCGCGTTGTCTACGTAGAATTGCCAATCTCCCTGCCGAGCTCGAGCTTCGACGACGATACCCGCTACGTCGAGCAGAGGCTCCTCGTCGGGCGCCGGCTCGAGCGAGGGGAGGGTAACCCGGTTTCTTGCGTAGGGGCTCTCGTTCGTGATCATGCCGTTCACGGCCGTATGCGTCATTATCACTGCCGTCGTCCCTCCCCTACCACTTCCTCTTCCTCTGCCCCTCTCCATTACCGGACTCCGCGTACTTAGTGTCGCGAGGAACTCGTCGTGGTCTGCCGTTGCCGCTGCCGGGCTCTCGTGGTGAGAGTGACCCTAGTAATCTTCCTTCCCCTTCCCCTGTCCGCGTGAGCCCGTAAACGCCGTGTATATGCCGTCGGAAAAGTCCTCTGCGCGAGAGGAGACAAAAGAAACGAAAAAGAAGAGAGATATCGCCCTGTCGTCCGATGCCGGGTCTATATACAGTCATGTCCGACCTGACAAAGCAGAGAGTACCGGCCGGGGGTGTGGTCGCGGAGCTTAGCGCCTGTGTGAAGTCCGCGCTTCCCGGAAGTAGTTGTACTGCATGGGGTCATACTCTTGGGAACCCGGGTCCTCTTCCTGCGGCACGCCGCCGTAACCCCGCGGCCCGCCTCCCAACATTCCCACGCCCCCCGGCGTTCTCATCGGCCGTTCCGCGCTGCGATCTCGCGCGCTAGGCGCAGCTATGGGCATCGCCGCCGCATTTGCTACCAAATTGGAACCGCTATCATTTCCGAGGCTGTACAAAGCGCCGCGGGATCGGCTGGCCTCTGGCTGCGAGTATGGGCTCCCCATCGGCTGGCTATATCCGCCCGGATAGGTCATGCCAGTGTCAGAGCCTGGGGAGAAAGTCCTGCCCATCGCGCTAGGGCTGTCCACCCTCGGAATGGTAGGTATCGTCGGGCTCGCCGATCGCGAAGGAGGGTCACTACCATTCCAAGCGCTACCAGGCGTGCCCGGGCGCACGACGTCGTTGGAGCGGCCGAAAATATCGCCGCCGCCGTGTTCCGACGCAAATTCGGCCCGGGTTTTGTAATATTCGAAGTCGAGCCTAGATTCGGGTACGATTTCGAAGCCGGGGATCCCCGCCGTCTTCCCAGGCTTACCGGAATGCATTGGGTTCATCACGTAAGCGTCCGAGTAGCCGGACGTGGACATGGTATCTCCCGAGTAGGCCTCGCGGCCGTCCGACAGACGGCCCTTGTAGATGGAAGCTAGGATGTTCTGGGCCTTGGCGTGGACCATCGGGGTGATGAGAGGTTTGTAGAGGGCGGGATGGCCGAACCGGTGAGCGAGACCCGCCGATCGTAAGGGGTCCTTCTGCAAAGTCCCTTCCGGATGCTTCCGGACATTTCGCGTCGAGTAGAAGTGAATCTTGTCGTCGAATGTATACGAACAGTAGATCTTGAAGAATATCATGATGAACGGTAGCGGAACGGACGCGAAGGCCATGGTATGGAGCCCGTCGCCGTGCACCCAGGCAATGAGGAAGATCACCAGGTTGGAAAGGATAGTGCCGAAGACGAACCGGTTGAACAGCACGCGCCAGAACATGCCGCCGGACTCGGTTTTTGTGACGAAAATATACAAGAGCAGGTACTTCTTGAGCCAGACGTCGATAGAGAAATACAGGGCCGCAGCGGGAAGGACGAGTGGCTGGAGACCGGCAAAACACAAGGCCACGGTGGAGTAGAAGAGGAAGTAATTGTAGTAGCTGGCGTAATCGAAGGCCGGAGGGGCCGTGAGCTCGATCATCTCGCGCGGTGTGGGACTAGAGAACTTGCGCATGAAAAAGCTGTAGATCAAGGTCCACAGTTGAGCTAAATCGATGGCGGCGCCCAGGTTCCGCTGCAGCAGCCAGGTGACCCAGAAAGAGGAGATGTCGCACAGAGAGATGAACAACGTGACGCTGAAACTGGACACGGTATCCCAGGCCTTCGCCGGGTTCTCGGCAACGGACGAAACAAGGTTCCATATAGTGCCGAAGAGGCAGAAGACGATCAGATTGTTGAAAACGAAGAAGGCGTATAGCTTTGCGACGACGTGACGCTCACGACCCGTCTTCGTGTGGTCGCCAGCTCTTATAGATAGTCGCCGAAAGATGATGGGCAGAACCAGGTAGACTAGAGACATGATAGCAGGAGACGCGACACCCTGGACGATGGACCAGAAACCGGTATTGCCAGAAAGCTGCTCCTGAAATTTGGGCCAGATCAACCCTAAGTTACTCAAATTGACCAAGAATATGGCAATCATGGCGCTGGGCGCAATCCAGACAATGGTCAGGGCGGCAATCCAAACGTTGATGATGATCCTCCTCCAACTTCGATCTCCCGGGGTCAGAGGCATGTTGTCCCAGATAATATCATTCGGCCTCGGGGCTAGGACGATGGTGGCTCCGTGAGGCTTCTTCTTGCGCAAGACGTATGCGATACTATGGGCCTCGGAGATGTCGTCGTAGCTGGCGAAGCCGTAACACAGCGTTTGGCGCTTGTCGATGTTAGCCCGAGTCTCCTTGACTTCTACTTCGAGCTCCCTAATCCGCTGGGTGAGGTACTCGATGGCATCGACCTTCTGGCCCTTGGGATAAGTGCTGTACGACGGGTCCTTCTTGGAAGGATAGCACACTGGCCGCGCGGGCGGTAAGTTCTGCGGGTCGTGGAGATATTTCGCTAGTACTTTCTCGAGCTTTCGAACGGTGTGGTCATGCTGATGAATTAAGTCGGGCAGGTCCCTCACGTTGCGAGCGGCAGCGGTCTTAGCGAAGGAAGCGTGGGGGACCACGTCGTCGATAATTCTGGCGATTCCTTCGTCGTTCGAGTACTTCTTGGGGAGATCGTTCAACTATGGCTGCGTAAGTGGTGAGCAATCATTAGATGGCGAGGGAGACGAACCATCAGCGTCCGGGCAGACAGGCTTTGCTGGTATTCTTTGCTCTCGAAGTATAAACGTCTCAGCTGCAGCACGCGCTTATAGTTCCACCAGAGAAACCCCATAATTATGATGTTGAAAGCATAAGCCGCTGTCACGGTGGCCCAGATGGGTTGATCGTTAACATTGGAGGGGGTGAGTCTCATGAACCATTTCTGATTTTCGGACGTGTCGCTGTTCAAGACGTAGTATACAGGCAAGAGAATGGCGCAGCCGACGATGCCGAGGGAGATGAAGATGTTGCGGCACATCCGGGTGAAGCGCAGGAAGATGGCAGCATCCATGCCCGCGTGAGCGATCAGGTCTTTCTCGGTCGTGGTCCACAGCGGCGGGAGCCAGGCGAAGTATCCCTTGCCGATAGGGGGCGGCGCATGTTCGTCATCGGCGTGTTTAAGCTTGGGCGCGTAGACGACAGTATTGTAAGGTCGGACGAAGGAAAAGGAGATGGCTATGAAAGCAGTAAATCCTATGGACGTGCCCAAGGCGGACCATATTGCACCATCGGTAAGCTATGCACAACCACACCCGAGTTAGCGATCACAGCCAGCAGTTGAGATAGGCCGGTGTCGTTTACCGTCTGCTTGAAGGGGTTTCTCAGCAGCTTGAGCAACTCTTGGACGGGATCGACCCCTCCTTGCCTAGATACCAAGTGCTGCAAATGGGTTCTGAGAGTGTCCATCTTGGCAGGGGAGAGAGGCCCGTTCAGGGCGGGTCAGACTCTGAGGCGGTTCGCAACGAACGTCGGTCTGCCGAGTCTGGAGTGCCCCGCAAGGATAATCGACTTCGAAGACGTATACCACGCTACGAGGAAAGCATTCGCGATGTCGATAAGGCGGATGATGGTCTTTAAAAAAAGGATCGAGCGAATAAGGGTGCTTGTTAGCGTCTTGTGCTTTGCTTTGCCAGATGCTCTTCTTTTTTTTTTTTCGGCGTACGAGGGGGACAAGCTGTTGTCAGTGAACAAAGGCGACAAGCGTCGAGGGTGTTGTAGAGGTCGGGTGATACAAAGCGAGCGACGCGGCGACGGACTGAGGTCGAAGAACGAATAGATGGCACAGGCGGAGAAAGAGGAAGACGGTGACGAGGGCAAGTACGGCCACGGCGGTGATGTCTGGCGAGGAGGAGGTCAGATCATATTAGATCTGATGGTAGCTGTGTGGAGATGGGGGCTGTCCAGAACAGACCAGAACCAAGACCGAGAGAGAGAGAGAGAGAGAGAGAGAGAGAGAGAACTGGATCGGCGTGTGTGGGTATCGCGGCAGGTCGGCCGGGTGGATATGCACAATTACTTGCCTGATCTACATGCACGTAGGTATGTGTATGTGCGTACGTATAGCAGAGGAGCAGGAGAAGAGGGGGAAGATGGCGACGAAGTTCCAGTAGGGTGTATAGAAACGAGGGCATACACCACCACTCACGCACCGTGTAGAAGAGGGGAGCAGGAGCGGGAGCTCGAGGAAAAGAACGTGGTGCAATGAGGGAGAAAGCGAGAGAGGGCTACGGGGAACTCCAGCGGCACCCAGACCGGCTCGACTTGGCCTGGGGTGGATATATCTCGGGTCCAGTGGTCGTCGGGGGCGGGCGACGAGAGACAGCCGGGACACGTCGAGGTTGATCAAGTTGACCTGGTGGTCGAGGGTGCCGCCGGCTCGGTCGCTGGACGGGGACTGGCGAGTTTTGGGGGGAGGGAATCGGCAGCTAAGTGCACGCAAGGAGGTACCTAAGTACCTAGCCAGAGGGGGTCAGCAGCCGGGCTGGTCCCGATCCGCGGATCCCTCTGGATGCCAGTACTGACAGATTGCCAATCAGTCTACCTAAGTACATCCACGATGTACCTCCCACCTCCCTAGGCCTGGGGCGGCCGGGTACCTCGACGCGCATTGATTCTCAGGTACCTCACCGACTCCCTGAGAAGTACCTGATTAGGGCAGCCGCCGTTAGAACGGCCCGGCTCTAGGGCTTGTAGAGCGGGAATGAGGGCAAACCAGAGGCAGGTTACTTCATACCTGTGCTCCCCGCGGCAGCGCGCGCAACCATACAGGTACCTACCATACATAAGCACAATCCGCGCATTTTATCCATCCTATATTATGCGGATATTCTATCGGTGAACTCACCCGGTCTCGAATAATGACATCTCACACAGTGCGATGTAATTTCACACCTGGCCTTTACCTGTGGCCACGAGGAATCACCATCGGCCGGAGCATGATGAAGTCGGCCACCCCGTGCCCTACCCTACCCGAGGCGCCTCCCAACACCGACACGACGCCTTCTGCGCGCGAGAGAGGCCTAGAATGATAGTGCGACGTCTTCCACCGGGTGTGTTCCCGCGACGGGTCTAAAAACAACCCGCGGAGGCATGGCGGCATGGCATTGCCTCATGTACCCAACGCCCCAACCATCCGTCCAGGGGATGTGTGTGTCCAAGAGGTACCTAAGGTACCTAACCCTACGTGGGTACCCCATATCTAAATCTAAGAGGATGTTTCAGCGTTGGTACCCCTAAACGAGTCAGGTTAGGGGCCTTCCCAGGCAAGGAGAGGATGGCAGCTGTGGGAAAATTCCAGAGTCTTTGGCCTCCCTCCCCCCTCTTCTCCCTCCTTTTTTTTCTCTCTCTTTTAACAAAATTCTTCAGATCTGGATATGGCCGAAGACTCGCTTTGGAGATACCTACCATATCCAATAATAGGTCGACGTGAGATGCAAACTCAACCTATCTGTTTCAAGTGCGACGTTTCAAGACGCCGCTGTAGAGCGCGATTAGCCTACGTGGTTAGGTATAACAGCACACGGAACTCCTGATTTTACCACACCCTCGAAAAGAATCCTCTCTCTTTTAGGGGTTTTCTGGTTTGCCCTCCCCCCCCTTACATGCTACCTGCATATATGGACAGCGTCCGCAGGCCAGGGACTAACATCCAACCACGACCCCAGAAGCCGGCCTGCCACCCACCCAGGATTCTATTTTTGACCAGGGGTGCTCATGAAAATAGGCTAGCAGCAGGTTAGCCCTGGAGTGCGCGCAAGACTGCCGCGTAACCAATGGACGACGGTGAAGCTGGTCAAGCAGACCAAGCGGGGTCATTCCAGAATACGAGCTCGGGGGAATCTGTTACTACTCTACGTAGTAGACGAGAAGAGCCTGGTCCATCATGAGGCGTGTACTCATACGTGTGTGCAGAGATCGCGGTGTCCTCGGGAGGCATGCAAGACATTTCTGCCCCCAACGGGCGTGGAGAGGACCCGTGAGCAAGTCATCGATCGTAAGATATCACGCCGGCTGGAAATACCTCTGTGCCCCGTGGTATATTCTCGTCGAAGGATAGATAATGTAGATATGATGGTTGCATTACCTGCCACCTTGCTTTCCGCATCGCACATTCACATAAACGGTTTCCGGTCGCTATAACGCGTGCTGGTTGGAGTCTTGGGGAGCATGCGCATGCATACATTCCAACGAACCAAGACGCACACATCCCCTCCAACAACAACGTCTAAGTCGACACAGTAGCTACATAACTCACAACTCTCTCGCGCCAGCGGCCGGATAGATTAGGTATGTGTTAGCACCTAAAATAGCTACCTCAGAGGCATATCCATCCCCACATGCATATGTCCAGTACCTGATAACTAAGCGCTCGGTATGGAGTGCCTTAACCACCCTGCGCGTGCCTACATACCTAGGTATATTAATATCTATGTCCAGATATGCTACGTACTATGAGGGAGTCGGCGTCTCCAATCCGCGACCCAGCATTCCGGGAACAGGGGACGCTTCTCCCTCACAGAACCTCATCCTTGGCGATGCATGAATATCGGTCTTCCAAGACTTCTCTGCTTTTCTATAATAGCTAGTAAGCCTGCTCGGGCGCCTACTACCTGGGTACGTAGGAGTTAGCGCCTGACGAAATCCAGTCTCTGCTATACCTACGTTTGGTGTTCCCGCGGCCACGGACGATTGCCCCCCCGGCCAGACAGCATCGGCCTTCTCATTCCTTCCATCCCCGGTCGCCGGCCGAAGCGCGCCCTGCCCAAGCGCCAAGGAGATCACCCGGTTCGAGCTCCTCTCGCCCCCAACTGGCCGCCTGGCTATTGCCAACCTACTGCGCAGCTCGCGAGGACCGTAGCATAATGCAGCAGGGCGACCAACTCGATCCGAGAGCTATGACTTTCCTGGCACCCCCACGCCCTCAGCTCGGCTTACAGGTCTCTGGGTCACGTAAATAGCCCCACGGCGTGAAGGAGAACGACAAGTTCCAGCAGCGCACGCGAGGCGCCGGGCCCGGGAAGGATTCGGGCTGTTCGCAACTCGACCTCGTAAACGGGAGCGAGAGGAAGGGTACTAGCATGTGCGCGCAAATACCAAACAGATACTAGGTACGTGGCGCCGTTAGACTTGATCGACGCCGACGTCTGCCTAGAACCGCGAATACGAATACAAGCCTGCGTAAGGCTGCCAGCGCGGCAGATCATCCCTTACACATGCGTCAGGGAATCAGGGAAACCTCCCGACCTTCGGGAGAAATAATAGGTAGGTATCTATTCCCTTATCTCCTAGTTTCCGGGCAGCTACCCAGTCAGGACCTCGCTCCCTCTGACGTATCAACGCCCGCGCAAGTTTTTGGTCGGATACGAGGGTTATGGGCGATCTTTTCTCTATTCTGCGGGAAGCCCTCTAACCAGCAGGTACCTACCAGGAAACGAAGCGAGCTAGCACGGATTCTCGCGCTGCGCAAAGCCGTCGCGTAGGGAAAAGGAATAAAAAACGAACATCATCGCTTCATACCATAAACCTATCTAAGGCTACGTCAAGCGCCCATCCCCGGATCCAAGTCGATACCAACCAACCTACCTACCAGCTACATACCGAGGCACGCGCGATAACCCGTCAGAGAGGGCCTGCCTCGCCCCGTGCGTGCCCCGTTCCCGCGAGATCAGCGCACTGACCTGCACGCCTCTAAGTAGGTGGGTAGTTCGCGCCAGACGGCCCCAGTCCCGACCTCGCGGCACCCGCGCTCCCGCGGCCGCAGCCCCGGGATTTGGCCGCGCACGCCAGCAAAGCCGCTTGTTCCTACGCGACATCGTCCCCTTGCTTGTTTCCCTCTGCGTAGCCCCGGCCGGCAAGGCACCAGCAGAGACACCCCCGGGGAAACCTGCGAGTGTGCGCAGGTCGCGCGCGCGCCGGCTTGCCTCTCGGCGCTCGGCCAGACGACGGACCGCCAGCTGCGCGCGCGCGCGTCCGGTGTCCCGGCTCGGCTGGGCCGACGCTGACCCCCGCCCCCGCGGCGCCGCGTAGCCGTCGATGGCGCCTGCAGCACGCGCGGGTCGCCGCCCGCCGCATACCATCGCCCCCCCCGGTACGACGCGCCTCTCTTCGACCTCGCCCCCGCCGCCGGCGACGTGGAGCGACGTTGGAGGACGCTCAGGTGCGTGCGTGCGTGCGTGCGTGCGTGCGTATATATGCATGCATATCTGCAGTCGCCCCTATCGCGCGGGCGGGGGAGGTGGCGGTGGGCGCATTGCGCGCGCCGATCGATGAAAGGGGGCTCCCGACTACCTATTTACCTCTACCCACCTCTACGTACGACCGGCCTATGATATCTACTGTCCGCCCATTCTGTAGAGAATAACCGTGATATGGTAGCTAACGCGATTGACTTCCCTCGTTGCTGAACCCCCCCCTCTTCTCCTTTATCGCGCCAATGACGTCCGCCGCGCGCGCACCCGCGTATAGCGGACGTAACTCCAACGCCCGCCCCATTGGCTCCCCCGGCCTCACGCCGTATGTAACCCTACCACTTACCTCCTCCTACCTCCCTCTTCTGGAGGTATGTAAGAGGTAGGGTAGGTTAGGTAGGTATGCATTTATGTGCGTCCGCATGCGCGACAATCTGGTACCTCACACACAGTTTGGGGGGGGGGGGGGCACGAAAGCACGGAGTCTAGCTGCCCGCCGGAGCTCTTTCCGTATCTTAGACTGAAAAAAAATGAAAAGAAAAAAAGAGCACGTCGCTGTTAAATCTAGAGGTAGATCTGCGTAGACCACGAGGTCTGGGTGCTAGGCAGGTAGGTACGTAGGTAGGTAGGATAAGGGGTACTCGGATAGGGGGGTTCTAGTATATATGTACACGGAATCGTAAACATAGTTTTTTTAAGGAAACAAAAAATGGACTCCGTCCCTCCCTTTTTCCCCTTTCCCCTTCCGCTTACCTACCCCCTCCCCCCGATCCCGAGCAAGGAGAAAAGGGTAGAGAAGAAGGACCGGAAGAACACTGTTGCTCAGGCCCTCCTACTCCCAGATGTGGGGAGAGGTTAGGTTATAAATATCGAGAAACCCGTAATTGACCAAGCTACAAAGAAATGTCCCAAATTGAGAACAGCCTATAAAAAAAAAGGACGAAGCAGATTTTCTTCCCGTTTCTATCCCTCACCCTAAGCGTGCCTTCTTAATCGGCAGCTCCTTGGCTTCGAGTTTTTCTGGCCGTCTTGCCCACGGGTGGCGGCGCCTTCTTGTCCTTCTTAGGACGGCCAGCCTTCTTCGCCGCGCCGTTGGTAGCGGCCGAAGTAGCAGCAGCCACAGCTCCGTTGGTCTTACGCTTCTTCTCGGGCCGCGCTTCTTTTCGGGGCTCCTCGGCCGCGTCTCCATCCGACGCCTCGCCGTCGCTCGACTTGCGCTTTTCTCCCGCGCCAGCTTCCGCCTTGTCAGGCTCCGCAGTGGCTACGGCACCCGCCGCGGGGCCGTCGGTCTTGGGCGCATCCTTCTCCGCGTCTTTCGCGGGAGCAGTGCTAGCTGCGTCGGCGGGCGCGGGCGACGCGGCGGCCGGCAGGTCCTGGTCGCGCACTTCTTCGACCGTAACCGGCTGCGGCGCGCTCCGAACCTCGCCGTTTGTGTGGGATGGCGCAGCGGTATCTGTAGTCTCGGCAGACGTGGGTTGCGGGGCTTCGGCGGGCGCAGGATCAGCCGGCTGCTCTGGCTGAGGAGCCGATTTGTCAGCTTCGTCCGTCTCCTTGGCTGGCTCCTCTTTCGCAGTGCTGTCGACTTGCGCCGCAGGCTCGGAGCTGGGCGCCGCGGCCGCAGCAGCGTCAGCAGCGATCTCGGTCGCAGTCGACAGCTCTGCAGAATCGACTTGGGTATTCGTTGCCCCTTTCACGTCCGATTGCAGTGTGGAATGCGACTCGGGCGCTGCCCCTTGTCCGATTGCGCCTAGTCCTCGCCACGTTAGCGCACTGTGCCGCTTGTTTCTCGCGACCTCGTCGCGGCGCGGTCGAGAGCGCGCGAAATGACACGACTTCTCCGCCTCGCCGGAGAAAAGGCGGCGGACGCAAGCCGCGCAAACACAGGATATAATCAGAAGAATCAGTACCTTTTTCGATGCCGTTGGCGTTGTTTTCGGCCATGTCGATGACGTCAGGAGACCGAGGAGAGCAACGGGCACAGTGTAGACCGAACGGCTTATGTAAGGGTCCGGCGTGGACGATTGATGCGAATCCGGAATGATGAGGGTGCTGGGTGATGGTGGAGATGGGATGTGGAGGGTTGCGAGGATTTCGCGATGCAGCAGGGTGCTGACAGGAGACGAGGAAGAAAAAAAGAGAAAGAAGTTGAGAAAGGGAGGACTCGAGGTGAGGTCGGTCAAGCTTCCACTTGATCCAGCTCGCAATCCGTAGCACCGACGAATCAGGAGTCGCAGCGGGACGGGAAAACTATGAATCCAAGACGAAGCTTCATCCATGCTACACTGCCATCGCTGCATTGAGCTTCCCCGAGGTTCTTCCCCCGGATCCTCTGCGCTAGGTAGTTGGAAGAGCGCACACAGACCACGGACGAACCTGGACTAGCTACCTACTAGCTAGGCGAGACAAGGGGGAGGGGGGGGAACAGGGGAGGGGAGAGACAAGGGACGATAAGGGCTGGGAGAGAAGGGGGAGGAGGGGGGAGACTAGGGAACACTTGCAGCCGACTTACCAATAAGGGGGGGCTGCAGACGGGATGGGCGACTGTGTTGTGTACTGAGGCTGTAAAACTAGGGCAGATCTGGCAGATTCGCAGTCGTGGTGGTGGGAGGGGAGGTGATTTAAGAGGTTACCTGGTCGAGGTACCTCCGCCTGATGTATGTACTCGTAGGTACGTAGGGTCAGGAATGTGGTATTGGAGTGTGGCTGGTGGGACGTCGACATGTTGGGTACCGTGCCTAGGCAGCCCGGCATGCCTGGTAGACGAGCACCTCGGGAACCTAACCTCCGCTGCGTTTAGCTGGAGGTAGCTCTGCGGCAGCAACCTTGAAGCGCCGTAGGTGCTCAAGGTGGTAAGCAAGCAAGCTGGCCCGGCGCACCAGACGGTTTCTCTTCGCAGCCAGGGGAGAGTGCACAAATACCAGGTGGCAGGAGGTCAGGTAGCGGATTACCTCAAGCTTAGATCTAACTAACCTGTCCCCGCCCCGTCGACGAGGCGAGCTGCTTACCCGACGGAGAGTTGGGCGTAGATGAGGGGACGAGGGGACTAGAGAACCATCAACCAAGACGGGAAGAAGAAAAAAGAAAAAAGCAAAGAGACGCGAACGCTATGTCATCCTGTCGATCTTGGCCCCTTTCCCTTGCTTCTCTCTGCTTATTCTTTTTTTTCCTTCCTTCTTCCCTGTTTTGCATACGGTCGACATCCCCGCAATGCCGCGCATCGAGAAACGCGGGAGCTAGGCAGCGGGTGTCGACGAGTTGGCCAAACCGGAGTTTTTACTCGCGGGCGAGAGCTGGCTGGAGCTATCGACAGCGGATTCGCTCGCCGCGAGGCACCTTGGCTTAAATACCCAATTATCCAATGGGTGCGAGGCGTGCTATCGCCGCGAACGGCCGGCCAGGTTCTATTGGCGAGCGTCATCGGCCGTCAGACGAGCAGCTGTGGCGGAAGCTGAACGAGATGGGTTCGCAGGAGCGGGGGTGGGCGAGACCCTGCGAACCGCCAACATGGCTCGGACGACGGCGACGGCGAAGGCGACATGGGGCATCTCCCTCCTTTTGGCCTGGTCCATTTTCCAGGTCTTGCTCACGTTGTCGGCTCCGCGTGATCGTAATGCGACGAAGGCGACGAAGGCGATGATATGACGATGGGGACCGAGCAGGTGGCTGAGCAGGCAGACAGGCCGCAGGTCTGGTGGATTTCGCCGACGGGCGCCAACACGAAGTTCCTGGGCGGTACCGGGGTACGGTGCCTCGCTGCCCAGACGCTTGAATACCGACGGCGCAAAAGCGTTAGACTGCGCTATCGAGATGATACAACGGATGGACGTGCCCAGGTACCGGCAGCCTCAGACGAGCAGCCTAGGCCGCAAAAAAGCGATGCCGAGGAGCCGAGACGCTGGCCGCCAAGCGCCGAGCGGGGCCTGCCAAGCACGCCGAGAGGGCGCCGACGTGCGGGTCACGTGGCTGTGCGCGATAAGATTGGGTACCCGGGTACAACGTGCAGCCTGCTCGCGTCCGGTTGCGTCTCTGTGCGTCGTGGATGCCGTAAGTGCGTCTTCGCGTGCGGGGCCGCTGGCCGCCCCCCGTTCCTCGCCCTCGCCAGCCAATGGTGCGTCGTCTTGCGCCCATCCCCGACGTCAACGCGCTCCGTCTCCTCGGTCCTGTACGAAGGGCCAGCTACCCACCTCTTCTCGGCAGCCAGCACCTCGCGATAACACCACCCACCACCAGCCCACGCCCTCCCGAGCAGACTTCTCGAAGCCAAGCCCTAAGCGTTGAGCCGCCAAGGTCTTGGGCCTGCTAGGTGCTGCTTGGATTTGCTTGGTTCGTCTTGGTCTTTCTTGGGTCGGCCTGGGGCCAAGCCGCGTGATGCCGTCTGTCAGAATATCCAGGTCCTTTCTCTGCTGCCAGCCTCCGCCGCTGCCCGACCGACCTGGAGCCTCATCCTCGCTTTTGCGCACTTTGATATTCCTCGGCAGCAGGTCTGACGTTTTCTTCTTTCTTAGCATCGAATCCTTGCCCAATCTCCCACCCGTCGTAGGGCCAATCACACATGTCCCTCGCGTGCAATCGGCGCTAGACGCCAACCTATCTGGCTTGTTTCCTGCCCAGGCCTGGTAGTATGAGCCATGACGATGGCGATAAGTCTTCCTGGTCGCTTGGCGCCTATGATGGAATGTGGGAGAAGCTGGGTTCGGTCTCCGCTGGCCCCTACCGCAGAGCAAATCACTTGCCTCCGTTCAGATGTATAAACAGGCCCTACTCCCGTGCTAATCCGCACAACCGACGAAGGATCGGAGACCGACTAATTTTTTTTCTCCCTCTCTCTGCTCGTCTGCTGTTTTCTCTCTTCTCGAGATCCAGTCGAGTTGCAATCGACAGAAAAAAACCCCCCCCCCCTAATTGTGTTCTATGACGTCTCGTGTCTGCTAGACATTTTCCCGCCTATGAAGACCTCTATTCTGCGAAGACTCGTTTGCCCACGCCGACTTCGATTCAATGGCTGGCCAATTTGAGCGCCACCCATTCCTTCTGCCGGTCCAAGATGTTGCGAAGGCGCTGGAGGTAGACCTCGACAGAGGTCTGTCGTCCGCGCAGGTGACGCAACTCCAGGCAAAGTATCCGCCCAACGAGTTGGACGTGGGCGGAGCTATCCCTTGGTACAAGATCTTCCTTAAGCAGCTGTTCAATGCCATGATTCTGGTGAGTTGGCTCCCGCGTGGGCCCGAGGAGAAAAAGTAGTGGTGCAGAAGCTGACTCGCGCTTCTAGGTCTTGTTTTTTGCCATGGCTCTGAGTTTCGCCGTCCGGGATTGGGTAGAGGGTAGCGTTCTGCTTGCCGTCATCATTCTCAACGTCTCTATCGGATTTTACCAGGAGTATGGCGCGGAGAAGAAGATGGATGCCCTTAGAGCTCTCTCTGCCCCCAGCGCCATGGTGCTCCGTAACGGGAGGACCGAGGTCATCCCCAAGTACGTCTACGCCCTCGGAAACCGCAATTGATAGGATGGGGACGGTTCTAACACACCCACAGCGCCGAAGTCGTACCGGGCGACGTTATCATCCTGAAAATGGGTGACACCGTTCCTGCCGACCTCCGTCTCTTCGAAGCCATGAACCTCGCTGCTGACGAGCAATCTCTCACCGGGGAATCCGTAGCCGCTGAAAAGATTGTGGAGCATTTGGAAAACGAAGAACTGGGCATCGGCGACAGGATCAATATCGCTTATGGTACTACCACTGTCCGGAAGGGCCGTGGCCGTGGCGTCGTCATATCTACCGGCATGCAGACCGAAGTCGGCAAGATTGCTGCTTCGACTACTAGGAAGCACCCCAAGCCTGGCCGTTCCATGAATTACAAGAAGTATGGGGGGCGGCAAGTTGCCGTGGGTCTGACCAAGCGTATCTACGATTTTGTCGGCAAGTTCCTTGGTCTGACTGAAGGGACGCCCCTCCAGAGAAAGCTGTCGGGGTTGGCTTATATACTTTTTGCATGTGCCCTGCTGCTTGCCGTCATTGTCTTTGCTGTTAGCAAATTCGTCGTCCCTCCGGAAGTTGTCATTTACGCTATTAGCACGGGTATCGCCATCATTCCAGAGTCTCTCGTTGCGTAAGCTTTTCCCATGTTGCGTGCTATATATACCTTAATATTCTTACTGACATCGATGTCCCCTCTAGCGTTCTCACTATCACCATGGTTGTTGCCGTGACCGTCATGCGCAAAGCCAATGTCGTTGTCCGAGACTTGTCCGCCCTCGAGGCACTTGGCGGCGTCACCAATATCTGCTCTGACAAGACGGGCACTCTGACGCAAGGCGCTATGATAGTCCGAAAAGTATGGATTCCGTCCAAATTGATCTATACGGTCAAGGATTCCAAGCACCCAAGCGATCCGACCGAGGGGACGGTCACGGTCTCGGAGGCTGACGACCAAGTGCAAGAACCTGAGAAGCGAGATTTCGATCAGGAGCGCAGCGCGGCGGTCCTGAAATTCGACGTTCCGGACGAGAAGCTCAACCCTCCCAAGCCCCAGAAGGATGATGGGAAAGAGGCCACCATGACGCCCGAGCTACAAGCCTTCCTCCTTTCCGCGGCTCTGTGCAACCTGGCTACCGTTAGGCATGACCGAGAGGCCGGTCCCGACCAGCCCGAATGGAAAGTAACCGGCGAACCCACGGAGATTGCTCTGCAAGTATTCGCGTACCGTTTCCAGCGGGGCAAGAGGGTTATGGAAGCCGAAGGCTGGAAGCAAGTTGCCGAGTTCCCCTTTGATAGCAGCATCAAGCGCATGTCTGTGGTTTACAACGGCCCGGATATCGATCACAGCGTGATATTTACCAAGGGTGCCGTCGAACGGGTGCTCGACCTCTGCTCTACTGTCGGTATCGGGAGTGCCCAGGAGCCCATGACTGACGAATACAAAGAGCGAATCTTGAAGCAGATGAACACTTTTGCCAGCCACGGCCAGCGCGTTCTTGCTATCGCCACGCGACAATGGCAAGGGAGATACGAAAACAAGACTGCTCCCGCCAGCAGTGAAAGCGATGATGCCCTTCGCCAACGCGTGGAGACTGACCTTACGCTCTTGGGTTTGGCAGGAATCTATGACCCTCCGCGCAAAGAAACTACACCTGCCATTGCTGAATGTTCTTCCGCTGGTATCAAGGTTAGCAACCCCCCCAAAAATCTACCCTTCCCCGTAGCGCTACCCTTTTCATTCCTAGCTAGTATTCACGAGAGGATGCGAGACGTACTAACTACAAGCGTGATAGGTACATATGTTGACTGGAGATCATCCTGCGACCGCCGAGGCCATAGCCAAGGAGGTGGGCATCATCCCCAGGAACCTCGGCATCCTAGGCCAAGACGTGGCGAATGCGATCGTGCAGAAGGCGAGCGACTTCGATAAACTCACGGACGAAGAGATAGACGCTTTGCCCGAACTTCCCCTTGTCCTTGCCCGTTGCGCGCCGGATACCAAGACTCGCATGATCGAAGCTCTGCGCCGTCGGTCGGCTTTCATGGCTATGACAGGCGACGGCGTCAATGACGCGCCGTCTCTATCTCGCGCTGACGTCGGAATCGCTATGGGCTCCGGGTCTGATGTGGCTAAGTCCGCGGCCAAGATCGTGCTAACTGACGACAAATTCAACTCGATCGTCGCGGCTATCCGCGAGGGTCGACGCATGTTCGACAACATCCAGAAGTTCATCCTACACTTGCTCACGTCTAACGTGGGAGAGGTCATCTTGCTTATCTGCGGTCTAGGCTTCCAGGATGAATCGGGCATTTCGGTGTTCCCCATCTCCCCTCTCGAGATTCTCTGGATCAACATGCTCACGTCGTCTTTCCCCGCTTTCGGTCTCGGTCGTGAGCGAGCCTCCCGCGACGTGATGCGCAAGCCCCCGCACGACAGCAAGCGCGGTGTGTTCACCAACCAGATCATAATTGATATGCTCGTGTATGGGCTTCTCATGGGCATCTTATCACTGATGACCTTCGTCATCATCATCTACGGAGTAAACGACGGGCAGCTAGGACGTGATTGCAACTCTCACTTCACGGATCAGTGCGAAGCCGTGTTCCGAGCGCGAGCGACCGTATTCGCCGAGATCACCTGGCTCATTCTCATCAGCGCATGGGAGTTCAAGGACATGCGGCGGTCGATGTTCCGACTCAACCCTGACAACCACTCCAAGTTCGCCTTCTTCCAAGACCTCTACGAGAATAAGTTCTTGTTCTGGGCCGTGGTTATCGGGGCGGTCAGCGTGTTCCCTGTCGTGTACATCCCCGTGGTCAACACCAGCGTCTTCAAGCACAAGGGGATCAGCTGGGAGTGGAGTCTGGCTGTCGCGGCGACCATCATCTTCGTCGCCGGCATGGAGCTCTGGAAGCTGACCAAGCGCCACTTCAGGCTTCTCGAGGATGCTGCCGTGGTTCGGGGCGCCTTCTCGCAAGGTAGCGAGGAACACGGGAGGAAGTTCCCCCACACGATGAGCTTCAGCAGCTTGAAGAGTTGGCGCAGTATCGGGAGGAGGGACACTGGCGAGACCCGCGCCAGCACGAGAGAGAAGAAGGACACGAGCGCCGTATAAGGGCGAGAGCGCCGTCACGAGAATACTGGGCCGGATAGCTCTATATCTGAGGTCGGCAAGTTGAGAGCTCTATTCGGCCTGCGGGCCGGAAGAGTCGAGGCGAGCATTGCTCATTTACATTTACGCAAGCGATCGAGGGTCGCTGTTCCGTGACAGCGAACCCTGTTGAGTTCTTAGAGGGGGCAAGATGTTGTTCTTTTCCAGGTCGATCCAAAAATTCATTTGCCTGCCACAGGCACATTTGGCGATGGTTAACGTGATACGACTAGGTTGGGAGGGGTGTAATGATAGATAGGGTAGGTAGGTGGTAGGTGGCCTTGTATGAGAAGAGATCATATACAGTTTCTTCTACCTGCAAGGGGCTTATAGGAATGAATTATTAGGGAAAATGGTTTTAGAATGAGTCTCGATAGTATAAATAAGGATCGATTCTGCTTTTATCGCCTGGATTGAATCGTGATGCCATGTTGAATAGAAATTGAGTAGTATTCCAATACTGCAAATCCTTACAAAACGGTATAGGCAGCTGGGCGGTAGGTACCGGGGCATCTGCCTCAGGTGTTTAATCACCCGGAAGAACGCAATTATAGGTACCTGAGGTTAGGGACAGGTGTCTGATGTAAAGGCTAGGTACCTGGAACGTAGCGTGTTGATGCGCCTAAGGACCTCAGGTATCTGACCTCCTGGTACCACTGCATCCCGCGTGTGCTGTTACCTGAGGTACACGTAGCTTCGGTGGCCCTTCTATGCTTGCCTAGGTACCTGAGGTACCTAACCCTAGTGGGTGCCCCTCGACCCATCCCATTGAAGCATCCCGTTGAGGCATCACGCGTCATGCCCCGTAGAGAGGTACCTAAACCTAAGTGAGACCCTGCGAGGTACCTGCGTGTCCAATTCTCGAAAGCCACGCCACGATTCATGGCTCTCAATTATCCATCACCAACTTCAGTCCACTCCTTTATTCCACCCACCATACACGCAGCATCTGCTTTTCCATTCAGGCATACGCATAATTCCTTTCGATTCTCTCCTCGCGACGCCTCTCTACCTCCGAATCCAAGACAACCGCACCAATGGCTCCAGCGAACCCCGTCGCAACCAAGGACAAATACTCGGTCATCCTGCCGACCTACAATGAGCGCCGAAACCTGCCCATCATCACCTGGCTGCTCAACCGCACCTTTACCGAGAAGTGCGTCCCTCTCTACTCTCTAGTTATGCCACTGCCCTACCCTCGACCCTCGATGCCATTTTCTTATTCCTCCCGATCCTTGGCCAGAGGGAACTAACCGCAGCGACACAACAGCAACCTCGACTGGGAACTCGTGATCGTCGACGACGGCTCGCCCGATGGGACGCAGAAGGTAGCAGAGCAGCTGGTCAAGGCATACGCGCCACATGTGATACTCAAGACACGCTCGGGAAAGCTGGGACTGGGCACCGCCTACGTGCACGGGCTGCAGTTCGTGACGGGCAACTTCGTCATCATCATGGATGCCGACTTCAGCCACCACCCCAAGTTCATCCCGCAGATGATCGCGCGACAGCGGGAGGGCGGCTACGACATCGTCACGGGGACGCGGTATGCCGGCGACGGCGGCGTGTACGGCTGGGATCTGAAGCGCAAGTTCGTCAGCCGCGGCGCGAACCTGTTCGCCGACACCGTGCTGCGCCCTGGCGTCAGCGACCTCACCGGAAGCTTCCGCCTCTACCGCCGCGCAGTCCTGCAGCGCGTCATCGAGCGCACCGAGAGTAAGGGTTACACATTCCAGATGGAGATGATGGTCCGTGCCAAGGCCATGGGCTTCAGCGTCGCCGAGGTGCCCATCTCCTTCGTCGACCGCCTCTACGGCGAGTCCAAGCTCGGTGGTGACGAGATCGTCGAGTACGCCAAGGGAGTCCTGAGCCTGTGGCTAAAGGTCTGATGGGCATAACTGCGAAGACAGGGCATGGTAGCATAGTATGTGTACCCAGGAATGAAGGTACTTTTGAGTTGGTTCGGTGTTGGGCGGCTTCCCTTGGCCGTGTGTACAATACCGTCAATGCTTAAACGTAATACAGGTTAACGAACGATCGCGAAGGCGGTTCCGTGGAGTTGACAGGCGACTCGCCGTCCTGCCACTGCTTAAGGGATTTGGGAGCCTGTGGGGCTCGGTGAACTACGAACAGACTACGTCCCTAGTTTTCCTCCCTCTTCCCGCTGGCATTCTATTCGTGACAGATCTGTAACATAATCCCGACAACGCCGATGCTGTTATCTTTCAATCGATGCGATGTTCTCATAGCCCCCCTCTCGAGTCTAATGGTGCTGGTACGTCAAACGCCACCCATCACTTGCATCGTTGTCAGGCTGGCCGAGCCCTCTCCGGTACCAATACAAATACCAGGATCCGGGTATACTTTACATCATTACTTACCTACATTTGGGGTGAAAGCTGTCTGATCTAGTTCATAAGTAGACAGGGAGCGGCAACTTACGAGATATCTAGTGTCAAGTACTGTCAATATTTCTTTCTGGTGAGGGCCCACCTTTGTGCCTCGACCTTATTTCACAGCATCTCCCAATCTGAGTCTGACTCGTCGCCCGGCCTATTCCGCCGCCGAATGGTCGTGGGTGTCTTCCTGCTGGGCCAGTCGTACGTGTCTCCGTGGCCGGGGGACATGAAGGGTTGTCGCCAGTCAACGCGACCGCGGTCAGGGTACTCAAAGTAGCCGGTTCTATGGTGCCGGTGGAGGCTAAACCAGGTGATATCGTCGCGCGGGATGCCGAGGACGGTGAGCGGCTGCCGCCTCCCGCGGAGCATGTCCTCGAGGCCGGCGCGGTACTCGGCGGCGGGCGTGTCCCGGCTCCAGATAAGCATACGTTCGACAATAGAAATCCAGCGCCTATACAATCTACATGTTAGCTCAGACATCGAAAATACGATAGAAGCGGAGAGAGAATCGAATCGAGGGAAGGCGAAAAGAGGAAGGGCAAGAGGCAAGGAAAAGGAGAGGGGGGGGGGGGGGGGGGGTTAACTTACCATATATGATCAGCATCCAACGTGCCCTGCATGATGCGGACCTCGAGGGTCTGGGTAAGACTTCCGGGCCCCTGTTCGGGAGCGTTAGAGCGAGAGGCGCCGGAGACGCGGAAGCGGACATGCCCGTAGATCTCGCGGCCGCTGAGGGCTCGGGCGAGCCCTGTGATGGTGTCGAACTGCCAGATCTCAGTGGCGAAGTCGGTGAGGAAGCTGGAGAGGAAATCCACATCGATCGACAACGGCAAGTGCTGCTCCAGGATGGCGTTGTAGTACCGCGACAGGTGCGGGTCGCGCGTCCTCAGGTTCGACAGCACGGGCGAGCCGGTGCCCTGCAGCAGCGCGTGGGCGAGCGGCGACTCCGAGCGTATCGGCCGGCAGTAGCGCGTCTCGTGAGATCGGTCCCATCGGTGCAGCGTCTCAAGACTCTGCTCGAGCAGCACCCAGAGGGTTGCGAACTAGGCAGATTATCCGGTTAGCAAATCTTTCTTCAGAGAAAAAAAACGACATAAGGGAAGGGGTAGGGGGTAGATGATTCTTACCTTCTTAAGATGTAGCAACGTCCAGCCTGCTTCTTGTCCAAAGTGGACGTGGAGGCCGGTTCCTACTTGTTTCATCGGCTTGTGGATTCGATATACGTCTCGGAGGCCGGCACACTGTTACCCAGGGTTAGCTAATTGAATGTCTAGTATAGCATAGGGGACGAAAACAGTACGGAAGTCAAAGGAAAAGGGGAGGAGAGAGACAGTAGAAACTCTGGGATATTATACTTACCGCATTCCGCAGGGCAACCCGAGTTGTCGGGTTGTTATAGTCGAGAGGCGGCGATCGCAGCTCGCCGTTGAACCACTTATACGCGTCCTCCATACTCTCGGACGTCATGCCTTCGGCGAAGGAATATACCTGGGGCAGCGCCTCGTCCGTCGAGACGCTCGCGTCGGTGATGCAGGTCCAGTGGAGGTAGGCGGGGTCTATGCCGGGGAGGGCGACGGCGATAGGGTCGACCTCGTCCTCGATCTCCCTCTGGTGCTTCATCACCTCGTCCACGACCGTGCGCTTGGATAGGGTCTCGAACTGGGCGCAGGTCGCCGCGCGCTCGCTGTCGTTGAAGCCGTGGAGGAACTGCGGTATCTTGGTTTGGGCGATGCGCTCGATGGTGCCGTCGCGGGTGTCGTACATGCCCAGGCCGTGGTCGTCGTGGAACTGGCGGAAGGAGGCGGCGAGCATGCCGGCCGCCGTGGCGACGGTGTCGTCGGGGCTCATGCCGGGGATCCGCTGCGCGTGGGCGGCCCAGCCGTCGAGCACGGCCGCGTTGGGATCGTCCTGGGGGTCGGCGGCCTCCAGGTTATCCCACCAGTTGACCCCGTCGAAGGCGGGGTCGGGCATGAAGCCTCCCTCCTCCGACTTGACGGCCACGATGCCGTTGCGCCGCAGCGTGTCGACAATCATGTTGCGGACGGAGACGTCGAAGGCGCCCGAGCCCGACGGGTAGCGCGCCAGCCTCTGCGCGAGCGCCCGGCCGTCCTCCGGGTGCGGGTCCGGGCCCCCCAGGACGCCCGGCGACACGGCGAGCAGGAACTCGAACTCGACGCCGACCGTGGTCCGGTTGCGGGTGCCGGGGGCCAGCGGGGGGTCGTCGGGGTTCGCGGTGGTGCGCGGGTCGAGCGCCCGCTGGTACGGGTCGTCCCCTTCCTCGTCCGAGCTCCAGTCCGGCTCGATCGACCGGTAGTGGTCCTCGTGGGGCTCGCCCGCCAGCAGCGCGCACATCGCGAACTCCTCGTTGGGCGTCAGGCGGTTGCCCGGGCCCGGCGGGTACGGCCGGTGCCGTATGTACGGGCTGGCCGCGCCGCCGCGGGAATTGCGCGTCCCTGAGGCCCAACGGACCTGCCGGCCGCCTCCTCCCCTCTGACTCATGTTTCACCTTCCGAACGGCGTGCCGGAAGCGAGGCGGAGAGAGACGCTGCTGGGTACTGCTGGAAATTGCTTGTGGCTCGCTCGCAACGACTCAACCAAGGTACGCCGCGGCCTTCTCGCCCAACCCGAGCGCGCGCCCGACGCCTCGAGCCTCGCATAGTTATAGGGGCGAGCGGCGCCGGGCGCGAAGGAAAATACAACGCCATTGTGCGGTGCTTCTCCTGAGCCCAGGCCGCAATAGCCCACAAAGGGGGAGTTGGCGGCGGGAAGGGGTTGCCTCCTGCGGGCCATGATAAACTAGAACTACTGATTGGGCTCTCTCTTAACTAGCTTTTTCTCCATTAGCTGGTTCAGTTCTCTGGCTGTGGTTGACTAGGGTTACTGTGTTAGGTAGGTAGACAGCCGACTCAACGGTTTCAATAGATGTTGTGTGTGTAGGTTTACCTACCTACTGTGTTGCTGTGTCTTTGTCTGTCCTGGCCGCTGCTAACAGACCACGAGTCTCACTACTGGTTAAATCTGTTGTTTCCCACCTGGGCTGTTCCTAAAGTATTGGGAAAGGGTTTAGAAGCGTGGATACTGGCATTGCAACAACATTTCTTTGTTAGAGATATCTAAATGTATGGCTCTTCTACTACCTCTTGGGGTTGTTGTTGTTGGTCCCTGCTGACAAGCTCAGACAGAATCTAGTATTACCTACTTATGTGCTTATGTATCGCCCTATTTGCCTAGTTGCTATCATCTCGCTCTACGGGTCGTAATGGTACCAGATTTCCGCATGTCGGCGATGTTGCACATAAGAAAGGAGTTCCTCTCAGTCCAGTCCTGCTGTTATTGCTGATATCAATGTACCTAACTGAAGGTTGAAAGTGGGATCTGTTCTCGTTATGCCGATAGCCTTGATATATGCATCAGTACAACACCCGATAAGGCTTTTTATCGATTAAGCAGGTCAGGCTGATGGGATTTGCTGCCTTCCCCGAGACATCTGCTGCTTCATCTCTACCTACCTATTTATGTCGTCTTCCGCAACAACGTCGGCACCCCCCCTACCATTCCAACCTAGCCGTCCGCTTGACATGACTTGACAATGCGTGGACGCGGGGGATCCCGAGGCAGCAGGACACCTTCTGCACCCTGGAGTCGCCTGAAGCCGGTCGACCTGGATCCTCTCGAGTCCATCGGCCTACCCTCCAAGGGAGACAACAGGTGAGCTGCCCCAGCCCCCGGCACGGCACCTAGAGGCAACGAAGTCGCTGTTCCGTGGGCTCACTGGTCTGATGCAAGAGTGTATATGGGTCAGGTTGCTCGACTTCAAGACCCAAGAACGTTACTATACCAAGATCGTCGAGCGGTACATGACCTTCTGCTCCGATGCTGGTGAGCGCGACGAGCTCCTCCGCCGCTTCGCCTCGCTCGACATTTCGACCACCCCCGATAATGGGAACGGCGTCTTTGCCGCCCGATCTGCCGCCGATGCGCTGGCGCCGGGCGCGGCGAGCCCGCTGTCGCCCGTCGCCCCCGCTACGATCCCGAACAGCAGCAAGGGCCTGTCCGACGTCCTGTCCGCGCTCCGAAAGTTGCGGGAGGGCATCGTGGCCTCGAAGCGCGCTGATGATTTCGCCGTCCAGGCCTACCTTTTCTGCATCCGCCTCTCCGTCCTCGTCAAGCACCCCGAATCCTACCACCCCGCCATCCTCCACCTCCTGCGCCGGATACAGCCGCTGCACAGTATGACATCGGTCGAGATGGGTGAGGTCATCGGCTATCTCGTGCTGGACACGGCATGCCGGCGGAATGACTTGGCCGAGGCCTTCACGATGCGCCACCGATACCGGCTGCGGGACGCCAAGATCGACGCCGTCCTCGACGCCCTCGCGCACGACAACTACGTCGAGTTCAACCGCCTGAAGAAGAGGGTCGACGGACACAAGGCGAAGCTGCTCGAGTTTGCCGACGGCAACATGCGGAAGCACCTGCTGAAGTGCTTCGGGAGGGCATACCTGGGTGTCGATCTGGCGTTTCTGGAACGATGCGCCGACTCCGAATGGGCGAGTCTCACGGCGGAGGACGGCGTTGGGTGGGAGCTAGACGGCAGTAAGGTGATTATCAGGAGGGCCAAGGCCCGGTAGGCGAGGGGAGAATCCGGACGTACATTATCACTATAGAATGATAGGTTTTTGGTTCTCGGCACAACACTCCCGCCGCATTCGTTATCATCGCCATCCCCTTGTCGGTGGGTGGTGGGGCGATAGAGATAGAGAGAGACAGAGGCATAGACATCGAAAATATCGGAGTTTTTTTTTTGTCAATACGGCTACGTGCTCCACACGCGTGCCGTCTTCGACCCTGAGATTTGCGATACTGATTTCTACATCTCTTGCTTGCGTGGAAGTGTCTAGCTAAGAGGCAGTGTTGCTGGCCCGCAGCGCAGGCAGCTTACCCACGAACCGTTCCGTGCTCTTCCAGTTGAGGGCTCGCTGGTTTACGGAAACAACGAGATCATGACATCGTCGCGTTCTGATACAGCTCACCGCCCTGCTGCCTGGTACGAGTCTGGAGATCGCAATTGGGCATAATATTCCCTACGGGGATAACTATGGGGTGACGGAGCCAAGATCGCCATGCTGCCTGGCCAAGCCCAGCTAAGCCCAGCCCTACTGGTCTCATCTACGAACCCCCGTCCTACGTAGCATGGTGTGTACCACCCGGCTCTTCAAGACGCTACCTCTTATTCGGACCTGCTTCTCACGGCCTGTCTCAATGCGGCACAGCCGGGGGTCGTCGTGGTGTTCACGATGGGTGCCCATTGGTTGGGTAAGGGGTAAATCCCCAGCTCGCAAGTCCTGGATCACTCGCCAGCGCTAGGCGGAGCACGAGGGATTTGGCAATAAGGATTTATAGCAATTTAACCAGGATGAAAAATAGGGTCGCTATAGATGGGTCCTATCTCACCCGTAGGTGCGTGTTGTATATTTATAATCTTTCCTCTCCGTCGGTGGTCTGTATCAGGCCACATCCTCTCGTTTGTGATCAGTCGGGATTGTTGTTTAGTAGACGCCGTCTTTCCAACTGGCAGTCCTGAATCGGGCTGTATCGCTCTCTCTCGACGGCTATTTTCGCAGAAGGGTGTTTATTTCGTAGTTGGTTTCATTTTATTGCAGCCTACGATGGCGAGGATCACGATAAGTTTTCTGGCCCGTCTCCTGCTCGCGGCCCCAGCCGCGGTTACAGCTATAAATGTGGCAATTTTGAATCCAGGTTGGTGCTCTCCTCCCCCCGTCGAGGGCTTAGGATAGAGGATATACAGCCCCTATGCCTACCATAACGGCTTGTTCGCGACTTACCCAGCAAATTCTTAGATTCCGTCAGAAGGGCGGCGGCTCTTGTCGCCGAGGATCTCCTGAGCTTCTACAACGGAACCGCGGCGGGCGAGACCCCTGGAATCTTGCCCTACAGCGAATACTTTTGGTGGACGGGTGGCATCATGTGGAACACGCTGCTGGACTACCGCGCCCGTACCGGCGATGTGAAGTACGACGACCTCATTTCACAGGGCTTGCTCTTCCAGAGGGGACCGAACGACGACTACTTGCCTCTCAACTTCTCCGCCCAGATAGGCAACGATGACCAGGCGTTCTGGGCGCTCGCCGCGCTCGAAGCCGAGGAGATCGGGTTCCGCGATCCGCCGGCCAGCGAGGCACAGTGGCTAACGATGGCCAAGAACGTCTTCGAGTCGCAGTCGAGCACCGACCGACGAGCGGGTGGCAATTGCGAGAACGGCCTGCGATGGCAGATTCTCCCGTCCAACGCTGGCTACAATTACATTAATGGTTCGTGATTGTCATCGTCCTTTATGGTTGTGGGCGGTGTCCGCTTCGAGGCCTATCTTGACGGGAAGCTAACATTGTTACCTACTATTAGCTGCTTCGAACGTCGCCTACTTCAACCTCGGTGCCCGGCTAGCGCGCCTAACCGGCAACGAGACGTACCTGCGAGAGGCCGAAGACACTTACGATCTGCTCGTCAAACTTGGCTTAGTCACCGAGGACTTCGACGTCTACGATGGCGTCAATACGCCCTCGTGCGATAGAGTCAACGAGGCACGATTCTCATACAACGCCGGCCTACTCCTACAGGGTGTCGCCGCTCTCTACAATGAAGTAAGTCCCGGTCTACCTTTTCTCTCTTGTAATATAGCATCGCATTATGGTCTCGGCTAAGCTATTCATAGACGCGCGAGGAGGTCTGGCGCGAGCGCGTCGACGGGCTCACCACCAGGATACTAGAGGTCTTTTTCAAAGACGGCGTGCTCTCGGAGGCCGCGTGCGAGCCGACGCTGTGCACGGTCGACATGAGCTTCCTGAAGGGGATCACGCACCGGGCGCTGGCGGCGACGGCGGAACTCGCGCCGCACACGGCCGTCCGGATCCGGTCGGCGCTGCGGACGAGCGCGAAGGCGGCCGCGGTGCAGTGCACGGGCGGCGACAACAACCGCATGTGCGGCCTCTACTGGCTCGACAGCACGTGGGACAACACCGTCGGCGCCGGCAACGAGGCCAGCGTGCTCAGCGCGCTCGTCAGCGTCCTCACCAGAACAGCCCCCGTCGTCCCCGAACTCCCGAACAACGGTACCTCGGGCAACGAGACTGCTACGGATGGAGACAACACCCCCCTGTCCGCCGGCACCGTGGCATGGGCCGGCACGAGCGTTAGTCTGGCTGCGGGAGCGCTGCTGCTCGTGGGCCTACTTCTGTAAGAGATCGGATCTGTAGAAATACGGCTTCAGCCACCACGATATACATTCCTCAACATATAGAAAAGAATCACAAGAGTAATTAACCAATAGATCAATCAATACATAAATCTTGTGATGACGTTCTCAATTGTGACCAACTTGGGCGGGAAACGTGTGTGGTGGAGAGGCAACATGCCTAGTGATGACACTCGGCCTGCTTTGGGTTGAATTCAAGGGGGTTAGATCTATGTGTCCGGGTTCTAGGTTTGTTTTTGCGAGTAAGTATCTCCAAGGTAATCTGAAGATCTCAACGCAGGCTCGAATATATTGCGGAAAGGGGTAGATCAGTCCAACACACATTTAAAGCACAAGAGGCATATTTTAATACGGCCCAAATAACCCATATATTATATTGTTCTTAGAAGACAGTTTCGAAACCGGCTCAGCAACAAACCTCGTGTAGGGTCCCACCTACGAACCAGCGGATCATCGTCACTGATCTCAGTCGTGCCTCGCTCCGAACGGACTCTTCTTCTCGCCCAGCTTCCGCGCCCTGGAAAGTTCCTCCAGCAGCTCCTTGATCTCCTCTAGGCGCTTCTCGTTGGAGGCCAGCCACTCCTTGTCCTCGTCCAAGTACTTGCGCTGGCGATCTAGCCGCTTGTACGCGCGGTGCCGGCAGACGCTATTCCGGCACCAGCAGATCGACTTTTCCTCGACCTTCTCCAGGCCGCCGCAACGGTGCCCGGCCTCGAACTGGGCGCAGCGGACCACGTTCGGGCCCTCCTTGCAGCTGCACCCCAGCTTTACCGTGATCTCCCAGCACATCTTTTTGAGAGCGAATTTTGTGTAGCTTATAGATAAGAGAGAGAGAAGTAAGGCCTTGCTAGTCTGGAGGATCTGGCTCTGGATACAACTCGACACCCGTTACAGTTCCTTGGGGTCGCGGCTCCTTTTAATGGCACGGCTATAGTAGGGAAGGAAGACGCTTGGAGGCATATGGTTGATCTTGTTGTTCGCACTACAAAGACTATTGTTTCTGCTCTAAGCCGACTGTAGCATTGTTGCCATGCGTGGGGAGCACAGAAAGGGGATAAGGGGCACAAAGAAGCTTTGGGCAACTCGGGCCTGGCTACGTAGTGCCGTCTATTGTAGTCCTGGATGACAATGCCATCTTGTCAAACTACACAAACGCTCTCTTATATGTACGTGTCCGACAGCTGCCTCTCAGAACATCAACGTAAGTTGTCTTCTATGTCCCCACACTCTTCTCAAAGAATCGCTTAAGGTCATAGGTACATCCTATTATGAATGCTTTGGTAGACGCCTAATTTCTCGGCGATGACCTAGATACATCCACTGCACGCAAACTGTGTATCTCTACAGGAATGGCGTCTGAGAACGTGGATCGTACATATCGAGACGCGCCCCCAACTCGCGAGTATGCGTAGTTGATCATCGCGACTGAGGGCTCCCGCGAGCTCACATGCACTAATTATAGATAGGTATTCAAATGGGATACACAGCTCGAGCGCTCGTTCCGTCGTAGGTAAGCATTAAAATGTTTCTCTAAGGCCTGGTATCCGTTGCTGCTGTGTTGTCTATGTCCCAGTCTTCTGGCCTTGTTCGGCTAAGCACAAGGAGGGGAGATCTACACCTCGATCCCTTGCTTCTCATCCCACAGCCCCCTGTACGAAGCTAAGTCAGCTAGGGAGTTAAGGAAAGCGGCGATAGACTGCTTCACAGCTCACTGTAAGTTATGAGTATGGTAAGGCGTATCTCTTCGTATGTTGCAGGATGGAGGCTGTAAAGAGAAGGCACCGGCCCCGCCCTGACTACATAGGTAGTATTGAACTGGTATTCCTGCATGCCACCCTCTAAGCGCTGTGATCCTTTGATCCTTTCGCAAGCACTTCAACATTGTCGCGTTGTTGTCCGAGTTAAGTGGGAAGGCAGGGCCTTTGTTTGTAGAGATTCCCTTGCCCGATTCCACCTCTGCCTCTCTAGCATCCATCGGCGACGCACTCAAGGAAGATGTGAATCAGTTCGAGAACGTTTGGTTCGAATTCTAGGGCAGGGCATAAGAAGCCCTCATTAAAAGGAAGTCGGCCGATATAATACAGGATACGGCTGACTGTCTTCGTCTCACTGGTACACTTGGGGGCATTGCTGTCCTACCCTAGCGCACAAGTGTGTAATATTGCAGAAGGTGAAGGCGAGATTTGCAGCGGATTTGTTATCTTATCCCAACAAGTGAATCATTTGAGGAGGTGCGCAAAGCCCCAGATCTCTTTTCTACCCGTAGGAGTTGATTCGTCAAAGGACCGGCGGATGGAGATACGAAGTCGAACAGTGCGACAACGCCTGGGAGAGAGGCGAAAGGGCAAGGGAGGAGGAGGTGGGAGTGCAGAGTGGTTCTGCCGATCTTCGCCAAAGACACACACAACGGTGACCCGCACTGCCTAGCTGATGGTTGAATTCGAGTCGAATCATTAGAGATCCAGCCAATAGCCTAAGAAGAGAGAGCATGGCGCCACCGCCAACCCTCATTCTTAGGGGCCGTTTCGCAGCTAGAACCCGGTTCGGAAAGCCATCTCGAAGAACTCGCGTGGCTTGTGTCTCGTGTCGGGCGCCTGGGAGGGTTCACCGTGGGACTCGGGCAGCTCTCTCTGGCTTAACCTGGACTGTCACGACCTGGGCCTGGCCACATACACAGGACGTGTATTACGCAGCGTGGGCGGAGGACGAGGCGCATTGAATCACGGCCAGCTGTCAATTTAAAAAAAAAAAACACCGTGTGTTCGGTAGCGGAAGTCCAGATAGCGGACGCTTCCCACAGGTGGCAAGTCTTGTTGACGCATAATGTACGAAGCGAATCGTGAACACACAGTCCAACGACGAGGCGTGCTGGTCCCCGATTCCATCCATACCTGAGATTCCCTAGCCGAACTGCCGGCATTGTGGCTTCATCCGTCGACTATTGGATATCCAAGGGGGGGCGACGGGGGGCGAACGGAACTGCAGAATCAAGTTGTGGCCAGTCGTACGCAGCAATGCTTCCTTTCCTACGCCCAATTAGCATCGACGGTGCGGTTGTCCGGTACTGTCGGCCAGGGTCTATTGGTTCGAATAGGCTGTTCGATGCCGGCGGGACGGACAGGCTGGCGCCAGCAAATTGGGCAGCATGTGCTAGCAGAAACGTGGGCCAAGCCCTGCCCTGCCGAGCTCGACCATCAGCCCTATGTTCGAGATGTGTCACTTTCGCCATTCCCGACGCGTTCTAGTGTCTGGCCGCAGCGCGTGTTATCATCCATCCATACGTGAGCGGTCGCTGGCTTATAGCTGGCCTACCTACCGGGTATGTCCGTGTAGCGTTGGAAGCAGGGGGTCGCGCGACCGAGCCACACGAGCTTCTTCTGGTGAGGTATTAGTGAGGCACCCTGGGCTCCGAGCTTGCTCTAATATGTACGTAGGGACAAATGTGGACGACAACACAGCATGGTACCCACATCCAGCGAGAAGCTGAACAAAACACGATGCTGGACGTCGACAGGCGGGCCGCAGACAGGACCCGGTTCCTCCCCGGCCCATACATAGGCTGGGCACCATCGCAACCATTGACCCATTCGCCATCTCCATATAATCCCAGGAGGAGCCTCTTTTCTTGGCCTCGACTTTAATTTATCTCCCTCACCGTCCTTCTCTCGCCTCTCACAACTCTCTCCTCGATCCCCCGAGGGAGACGGCTTGCGAAGTCGTCCGCGGCATCTCCAAACGAAAAGTCAGAGAGAGAGCAAAAAATGACCCACCCAGATCTCGACTACTCCGGCCAGCGGCTGCCGCTGGTGGGCTCGCGAGTGGTCGAGTCTGAGGTGTCGGGACTCCGCGTCGTCCCCGGGCACCGCGGCCACGGCCACGATGGGGGCCAGCAAGAGAACGCGCCCGGCGATTCTCCCGAGTTCCTGAAGGTGACCTAACGCTTCCCCCCCCCGAGGTACATGCCTGCACGCTGCGTGGAACAGGACTAACTCGTTCTCTCAGACCGAAGCTGCTACCAATTTCGAGGTTCGCCCATCGTCCTGGCATCACACGTCTCGGCGTATCTGCCCACCCCTCCCTTACCCAGTGGCTGACCAGTAAATCTTAGTTGTTTTATGACCTGTGGTTCGTGGCCAACCTGAACGTGTTCACCAGCGTGCGTACTACTTCCTGTCTAGCCTGCGGATGGCGCCGAGAACTGACGACCTCCCGCTGCAGATACACGACATCTCCAACTTTGAGCGGTTCACCTCTTTCATCGGGTACATGGTGTAAGTGTGTGCGTCCCCGCCGCGCCGTTCCGACGCGGGCTAACCTCGCGTCTAGCCTGCTGTGGACGACGTGGCTGCTGACGACGCTCTACGACGTCCGGTTCACGGCGGACAGCGTGTGGGAGCGCTGCTGCAAGGCGGTGCACCTGGGGGTCATGATCGGGTTCGCCGAGATCGGCACCAACTTCGAGCCGGACAACCAGATCGTGTCCGTCTTCCGGACGATGGCGCTCTTCCTGGCCGTCTCCCGCTTCGTCCTCTTCCTGCAGTACGGCGTTGTCTTCCTCCAGATCCGCAAGTACGCCCACGGCAAGTGGCCCATGTTCCTAACCGCCACCCTCCACCTCTGCACTGCCGCCGTCTACTTCGGCGTCTCCTTCCGCTACAACCTCGGCAAGAGCAGCCGCGTCTTCCTCGTCTGGTACATCGGGGGCGTCGTCGAGATGGCCATGCACCTGTCCATCTCCCAGCTGTCCCACGTCCTGACCTTCGTCCACACGCACTTGGGGGAGCGCTTGAATCTTCTGACGCTGGTCATCCTCGGAGAAGGTGAGGGGAACACCTACGTTCTGGCGGCGTGAGGCGAAACTAATGAGGGTGCCATAGGCTGTATCATTCTCGCGAAGAGCGTGACTCTGCTCGTGAAGGACACCTATGTCAAGGATCACACGACAACCTTATGGAGTACGTCCAAACCACTCGACGTATATTCTGGCTGTAGCTGACGACGCCTCCTCTAGGTCCGTCCCTCATCGGTCTCGTCACGTCGGCTACTGCCTTGATCTACATAATCTTCCAGCTGTACTTCGACTGGATGCACGACGAGCACTCCATGTCGAAACGGCATCAAGTGTGGTGGTAAGTGACAGCCAGCATACCCCAAGGCCGCACCCTTTAGGCCTACGATTCCTGACTCGTGGGTGGCATGTAGGGCGGCTTTGCATTTGCCTTTCAACATCGCGCTCGTGCTCCTCCTCGAGGGCGCCAGCCAGTTCATCGTGTGGGCCCGGATCGCGGAGTCGACGCGGGCGGCGATCGCCAAGGTGGTGGAGGTGCAGTACACGCTCCCGGAGCGCTTCACGTCGCAGCAGATCTCGGACGCGCTCGCCGGCGTGGTCGAGCCGTTCCTGAAGAAGTACCAGCCCTACGACGTCCTCGAGACCTGGAACGACGTCCACGAGATATTCGACAACATCGCCGACATCCCCAACTCGTTCTGGGAGCAGAACCTGCCCTCCGACGACCCGCTGGCCGTGCAGTGGAGGGACGACTTGTCCGAGCTGGTAAACACCATGGTGAATGCCGTGTACAACGCCTTCGATATCAAACCAGAGGGCAGCAAGGACAAGGGGCCTAAGAGCGAGTACTGGCAATCCGAAGCTACCATGGAGATCGCCCGGAGGTTTATTCTTGTTGTAAGACAGCGCTGTCGTCTCTCTGCATCCTTTTCCTTTCGTCCGCCTTCGTCCGGGCCCAGACTAACTCATTCATTGCACCCATAGTACATCTACTCTTTCGCCTGCGCAGGCATCGTCATGCTCTTCATGACGATCATGCACGTCATCTCGAAGCGGAAGGGGTGGTCGCCCTTCAACATCTTCCGGACCGCCGTGTGCATCTCCATCGCCCTCATCCTGTCGCTGCTCACCGTGATCGCGGCCAACCGGGACGCCGTGATCAACAAGACCAAGGAGTACACCGCCTTCGTCGGCAGCGTCTGGATGCTGCCCGTCATCACCATCTTCTACTTCGTCGCCCTCGTCCTGACCCACGTCCCGCACCCGTCCGGGTTCTGCACCGGTGCGTATAAGCGGGGCGCGTATAAGGAGGTGGCGGCCCACAGGGAGAAGCCGGTGTCGGCGGCCGTGCCGCTGAGGATTCCCCTGGGGGAGTACGAGGGGGCCCGAGGACACAACATGGTATCGCCCCCTCCCGCGCCGCCCCAGTACGAGGAACACAGAGTCCGGCCCATATCCGGAAACCCTAGTGGTGGGAATCGGCACTATCCGGCCAACCGACACCGAGAGGCCCGTAGGGAGCAACGGCGATAGCCTCCCGGCGAGACGGCGACGGTGACTCTGAGACGGAGTAGTACCATTGACACACGTGATGCCGAAGCCCTGCGAGTGGGCGGGCTTGTGGAAGTTGAGGGCCCCTAATACTTGGTTTTGAGCGGGAGGGTTTCGAGCATGGCGTTGGAGGATTGAGGCAATGCGGGCAGTTCACGCACCTAGACCATATTAGAGACAGATGTCCGTAAGCTAGACCGATGTACTTCTCTTGCGTTCTCGTGAGATACTTTCGGGGGGCCCGAGTTTTGAGCAGAGTGATCGGAGAGGGAAGTTTAGGTTATTATTCAGCGCCATTAGAAATACACCCTCATGATGCTCCTGCAAACTAAGGACCTCGTTTAAAGCCTCTTTTGATGTGTAGAGCATTATTAGTACTCTCCTGCCAAAAGCGGCTGATCAATCCAGTGAGACCTGAATGCGCCATCGACCCCCCTTTCCGCACCCGGGGCTTCTATGCGCCCTTCTTCCCGAGGTATACGGAAAGCAGAAGACCTCCTTCGTACGGGGCTGTCGTCGTCTTGAATCCGTTGGCGGGAGCTTCCAGGAAGTCCACTAGGTCCTTGTACCCCTTGGACGCGGCGATGACGTTGTCCGCAGCGACTATGGCCCCGACCTTCAGCCGTGGATGGACGAGACGAAGAGTCGGCAGAGCCAGAGGCGTCCAGACTACGAGGTGTTAGATCAACTCATCTCCCTACGTCCCCGTGAAGGAACGCTCACTGTCAAGCAACAGGAAGTCGATCTGCTCAGGCAGATCCGTCTTGAGGGTTTCGCGTAAGTCGCCCTCTCGCAGCTCGATCCATTTCTCGACGTCGTCTCCGGCGGCCCTCCAATGCTCCCGAGCTCGCGCCGCCTTGGTCGGCTCGTTCTCGGTCGCGATGACCTTGGCGCTCTGGGCGGGCGCCAGGCCCGCGTTCTGCCCCACGGCGAGGGCTAGGTATATCGTGCTCAGGCCGAAGGAGGTCCCGGCCTCGACGACGAAGCGGGCCCCCGTGGATCGGAGCAAGAGATACACCAAGGCGCACTTGTCGGGGTCCAGGGCCACGAACTTCTCCAACGCATCCGTGATCGGCCCGCTCGTGCTCACGAACGGGCTCTCGGAAAGAGCTTGCTTGTGCAGGTCCCGGAGCACTTGGAGCACTCGAGGGCTAGCGTCTATGGAGGCGAGCGTAGTCTAGATTATGGGGAATTCGGCCATGGTGGGTGGTATGTCGGTATACTCTTTGCTGACCGAGAGCAGGGATAGTAGGGGCATAGGAGCAAACTCGGCACGCTTTATATCTCGTGAACTACCCCGAAAGGTATACCGGCAATAGCGGGCGGGGATCCCAGACCTCGGCTCTCCGCCCCGGTACGGCCAAGACGGATATGACTTAGTATTAGTTAAGTCACATTCCACGTCTCCTGTATCGGCCGCCCGCAGATGGTCGTGAAAACTATTCCGTACACGTGAGATTCCATCATTTGCGTTTCCCCGATGTTTACCGGCGTAATCCGACTCACTCCGGATCTTTCTAGGTCTCTTAAGTCTACCGCAACTACAAGCAACTACACCTAATAACTAATGAAGTTTATCGTCTACAATTATTTCACAGGAGGCCTGTAACTCGAAAACCGATCTTACCTCCAGAGCTATTTGTATTGGGACAATGATAAACACATACGGTAATTAGATCGCCATATGTTAACATCGAATGTTATTCTGCGAGGCTTGCCGGTGGCTTCGTGATGTGCTATATCCCACGAACGGGCATCCAGTCCAACGATTACGTTCTAAGCTCTTGTGTTGAGACTGAAGGCTTTAGATATGTCAAGACCTCCCGTATTGCTTTGACCATAGAAATGCGGCGGCTAAAGGGATCGATCGTTCACCCTGGATGTTTGCCCCTCATGCGGAGTGAGATCCCACCGGTTGGTCCGGGTAGGAGGCGGTTCGAAATATTATATCCGGGTAATTGGTATGGGATTCGTCATATAAGTATGCGTCAATATGAGGCTAGTGTTCGTCGTTCGAGAGACATCCTCTCAACTGATTGCAATATTAGTACGCTGTCAATTGCCCGGGCCGCACATGTCTATACTTCGAATGCTCTTATGGGCGCGCATCGTTAGCAAAGTCATGTTAGCGGGATCACAACCAAAGGGGACGCTCGTTACTCTTGGGTCTCTTCTCATATCCCTGCCCGTGGTGTTGGCTAATGTTTCCTCCACATTTGCAGTCGTTGATCCTCCGAGTCACCCCGACGTGCCTCCACCGGACCTGCCTACCAGCTGCTACGTAAATTCGTTCGGCTCCCCAATTTTAGAGATTCATTCCTTTTATTCCACCCAGGATGATGGCGTAGCGGTTAGGTTCAATTTCTCAACTAGCATCGACGCCGTCAAGTTTGATTGTTCAGGTCACGCCAGTGGAATAGGGGAGAGGACTGTGAGAGGCGACTGCGATGTTGTCGAGGGCGACAGTCATCACACTTCCGAATTCACGTTCGATATTTCGACCCGCAGCGTCGATGTCTACCAAACCTGGACATGCAATGACAACAAGGCGTGAGCAGAGAAGCCCATACAAGTTAACCGACTCCCGAATACTGACCTCGGTTGGTGTGTAAGATTCGGCGACTTCGCCGGTACCGGAACCGGAGTGCTGCCTCTCGAGTGCGACGGGGAGACTTGCCGAGGGGGCGGTGTCAGACTTCTCATGGCCCTGCTTAAGCCCGTGGCCTTTACGCCGTACATACCGCCGCCACCGGATGGACACGATACTCCGGGCTGCGCCTCGGCGGCTCCCGCTTGGGACATTTCGCACTTCGAGTGGCGCATGGGGGGCAGGGGATGGCAAAACCCCGTCATTCCTGTGAACATCACGTTTATCAGCGCCGCCGCCCACATCAAGATCAACATGACGAATCGTGCCAACGGCCAGGACTACTCCTGTGACGTCTCGCCCCTCGATAGCAGATTGGCCAACATCACCGAGTTCCCGTACGACAACCCGTCGCCAGGCCCGATATGGGTTGAGTGCGAGGCCCGGTCGCCCGATCGCAACTACATGACTCGGACGAACTTCCAAATCGATACCGTCGCCAGGACGCTCTCGATCGACCAGACATGGTACTGCGACGACGAAGACGTGGCATCTCCGTACGTTGACTCCTCCCACCCTCTAGGCGGGGCCCTCTTCCGGGCTGTACGTCCCCCTCCTCCCAAGCTCCAGCTAACGGCTCCGTCTTTCCAGGGTCCAGAGGGTCGCCACGGGGACCGTCGCGTTGCCTGAGCTGGAGTGCCAGGAGCGGGAGGTCTTCGTGCCAGATGACCACACGGCGTTCACGGGGGAGCCGGTGATCAACGGCAGCACGTGCGGCGCGGCGGCGGGGGGCTTCGCGGTGGCGGCGGGGGCGGAAACGCGGAACGAGATGGCGCCGTACGCGCTGGCGCTGCCGCGGCCGGGAGCCGAGAGCTGCACGCTGACCTCGTTCGACCCGGGGCGCCAGCGCTTCGAGCTGGACCTGTACTTCAAGCTGGCGTGGTGGTACTTCAGCGGCGAGACGCGGTACGTGGACGCAGACGACGGGCGGCCCGCCGGCGGGCTGTCCTGGGTCGCGTACTACGCGGCGGGCGGCGCGCGCCCCGTCCGCTGCGACGGCTGGGACTCGCGCCTCAACCCCAACGGCACCACCTACGACCCGCGCTACTGGTTCGCCTGCCTGCCGCACCCCGACGACCCCGCCGCCCGCGGCGCCCGCGCCAACTTCGACCCCGACGCCCGCGCCGTCACGCTCCAGGTCGCCTGGGCCTGCGCCGACAAGAGCCCCGGCCGCCCGTGAGTAGCTCCCCTCTCCCCCTGAGGCACAATACCCCGCGCCCGATATGACCACTTGGATATGCACACGTGCGTGGCTGCGCTGACTCGCCTCCTCCGCAGCATCGCGTTCAACGCGACGGGGCGCCTGGTGCTTCCGGACCTAGCGTGCGAGCACTCGCACTCGGAGCTGGGCGGGAACTCGTCCGACGAGACACGCTGCGAGTACCCGAAGGAGTGGGACAACGGCAAGGCCGCGCTCCCGCTCGAGGACATCCGGTGGGCGATTGAAGAGGCTCTGCCGGCATAAGATATCGGGGCGGCAATCGGCGACGGGAGTGTTTGTGCTCTTGCCGTACGTCGTAGACGGCGTAAGAGACGTTCCGAGTTATTGCTGAGATGAATGAAGCTGTCTAATCTAGAAACGATTCGTGCGATTGCCTTCCCCTTGTTACCTATGTAGTTGGACTGCGGCGCCTACTCGGTATATTCCTCTGGCTTACTACCCAGCGTAGGCATCTAGATACCTGAGGTCTTGAAGGCAGGTTGGCGCGAGCAAAATGAACGCATTTTCTGGAGTTCTGTGAGCAACTCTACAGCAAGTAGAGCTGCCTTGCCTTCGCAAGACATCGGAGGGAAATTCAATTGGGAGTGAGCACGGCTCACACCTCAAAGCTGAAGAATGGAATGGGAAACCTCCCTATGTCAGAGGCACAGGAATTTTGAAAACTCTGGGAACGGCATCGATGTGTGCGTGGGGTGTTTTGCCCTCGTAGTTGGTTCGTCGGATAGGTTCCGAAAGTGTCCCAAGATTGTGCGATTAGCGGGTTAGTTAGGGCATCCCTCCCTGTTCTGTCCGCCTGACATGGCGGCCTGTATGGAGTCGCCCAGCTTCTCCCCACTCGTCTAATTTCTTGCCGTCTTGAACCGCCGCCTAGTATCGACAATAAACTCTACGCTGCCACGGCGAAATGCATGCGCCAAGTTGATGCCCGACTAGTAATAGGGAGTAGTCGTTAGTTGGTAAGTAATATGCATGAGCCCGAGGCTCTGCCTAGAGTCGCTGGTTGAGCAGTGTTCGCGATAGATGCCCGCCTGTCTTGAGATATACCTAATAGCCTGCTTAGCCCATCATCTCAAATCACCCCTTCATGCCGCTGCCGTGAACGTGGGACCTGGGTCGACTCTGGTTAACCAAGCCGAACCGTCTGCCTTGGGGGGCCTAGATCGATATCCAATGTTAGAACAACCGTGTCGACCTAATCGCATTTCACTAGTCCTAGCCGAGCCTCCTAAGCGTTGCACGGGCTCCGAGCGACTCGGAGCGCTCTCATGGAAGGGCCAATTTATTGCATTGAGCGAAACGATATAGGTGGGAAGCCTGTCTCTCTGTTCACCTCTCTGCTAGCCACGAACAAGATATATACTCCGAACCTCATTTGTGCTGTGCTGATTTCCAGGTAGTTCATCTAGTGCCAGTCGTTAACCATCATTAAAGATTATACTCATATGTACAGAAAAAAAAATGGTATCATCCGGTGTAATAATGTAGCCCTTTCTAAACATAAAGTTCTTTTTTTTTTCTTTCCCTTATGCTGATGGGTCCTTTTGCTAGCATGGCGCACGTTCATATTCTGTGCTTCCGACCACCCGTAGGATGGGCGCACTAATCCGCAACGACCCGTGAGCATTCCGCGTGCCCGGCCGAGACTGTCAACTTGGCCGCGCTTACGTTTATTTCGTAGGCAACTCGTACATTTTCGGGGGCACGGCGCTAAGTTCGGAGGGCGGGTGGTCGTCGCGCAGCCGCAGGTCTCCGCGAGAGTACGGCGGTATTTGGTGCTCCCTTAGGAACAAGGCCTTGGATGACCTCCTGCGGCGCCATAAAAACCAAGCCAAAGTTGCTACGAGGATGACGGCAACGGCCGCGCCCACGCCGACGCCTGCGGCTTGGCCCGCGGTGAGGGACGAAGACTCTTGAGCCGGCGGCCTCTCGGAATCGCTACCCGGCGTGGTGGTAGCCGCGATCGTAGAGCTGGTCGTCGCGGTCTGTGCTTACGGGTCAGCAAGGCGCTGCGAGCGAGGAAGAAAAGCGGTAGGAACGGACCGGCGTCGTGTACATCAAGGCTAGCGCGAACAGGTGCTCGTTGGTGCTGCGGACTCGCGACTCGGCGGCGATAGTATTGGCCGCGAAGGCGGTCCGCGTGACGACTATATTGCCGCTGGCAGCGTGCCGCGACTGGCAACGGAATTGGATGGCGTGCGGCCCGGTATGTAGAGACTGAGGTAGGCAGCTAAAGCTATAGGCACTACGAAGCAGATCCGGGGTTAGTTCTGGAGGGTTTCAACGGGCGTTTCGGCATACGTAGGACAACACGTCACCGGTGCGTTGAAGTCCGGCCCCCGACAAGCAGAGGTGTACTGGGGAGGGCATCCGGTGGCCTCGTAGGTGACGGCGGAAGCCCACGGAGTCGGGAGGCAGTCAGTAATCTGCGAGGGCCCCCCGAGCACTGTTCGCGCATCTCTCGGCGCTTGATAATCCCATATCCAGTAGTCGTTTATCCGCAAACAGGCCTGGTCGGGGGGAGCCCAACCGGCGGATATGGTCGGGGTTGCCATAGCTCGAGCGGTAGAGTCGAATTCGAGTCGGTCTAGGCGATGATGAGCGACGACTATCTGGTGTGGTGCAGTGTGGCATAGTATGGCAGTATGTGTGGAGCAGAGAGAAAGGAAGAGAGGGGAGACAGGAGAAAGGGAGAGGGCGACGGTTTTGATGTGGATTGATGTGTTGATGTGGATGGATGGCCGGTAAGCGCTATGCCTCCGCCCCTGCACGCTGGGCCACGCGCTCTGGTGTAGTTGATAAGTCTTGACACGCGCAGCCAAGAAGACTTGGCTCCCAGTCGACCACGGGTGTTGCGCACCGCCTCCGGGACGCCGAAGGGAGCGATCGAGGGCGAAGGCGTAGTTAGAACGGGCGGGCGGAGGATGGCGAGATTCGCTGATTACACGGCGAGACGGGCGTGGGCGGCCACGAGGGCATCCATCCTGCGTGGTAATATGCCGTAGACACGATATAGATATGTATCGCAGGCCGGGGAGAAGGGGAAATTCGCCATGGGTAGGTAGCTAGGCCCTCTTGTGTACCTGCAGGAATATAGATAATCTTAAGGTGAGGGTGGATCCGATTCTCTACCCGCTCACTAGGGGCAGGCAGGCAAATCCCCCTTAGTCGGAATTGGTCAGGGCCGAAACGAAGCAAGTATGTGAGGCAAGTAGGTAGACAGCTAGGTATGTAGACAGCATCGGCAGCGGGAGCGCGGTGATGAGGCCTGAATGGGGTTGATCAGCGTAGAGGCGAGAGAGGAAGAGTGTGGGTTGCAACGCAGCCAGCCGCGACAGGAGGTAATAGTAGATAGTACCTATAGACATTGCCACCACCAACACCACCACCCTTCTACCAGCCTTTAGTTAGCCTTCCTCTGCAGGATCGATCTCGCCTACCCGCTGCGTGCACGCTGCATTCGATAGGAGGTAGGTAAACATTGATGCTCAAAGAAGATGGGTTGGATGTAGGTCAAATCCGTTGTGATTAAGTACCTGCTAAGTTACTTGACATAAGCGCCCCGACCTTACTTACCCCTTACAGGTACCGAATCCTTCAGGGCGCGGCCGGGCTTGGCCCATCCTACGCGCCCTTGGCGCCAAGCCTACATCATTGCACCTTTTATACACCTGTATCCAGGAGGTAGGTACCTATCTAGGTACCTAACCCTACCTGTAAGCGTGCCCGCTCAGGGCCTCTCAGGCTGCGCACCTCCGGTACATATAGGTAATTAGGTAATGCCCTTCTCGCCATCCACCCGTCCATCCACCATCTTTCACTCTTTTCTCTCCCCCTTCTTCTGCATCCTCCCACCGCGGCAGCCACACATCCGGAAACAATCTAGAAACCCGTCCGTCTCGACCGATGGTTGCTTGAGCCCCCTTAGACGCCATGACGAACAGTGTAGCATTGGCAGCGGCGGCCGTCTTCCCGTAACCGTGTCAACGTGCCTGGTCGCCCCGTGGCTGATCTGCCAGGCTACGGAAGCCCGCGAAGTGTCCTCGTGTTGAGGCGGCATTCCGAGAAGACCCAACCCGGGATGGCTCTCGCCGGTGGACAGAAGAGACTGGACGAATGAGCGAGCGGCTTTCGTTGTGGCGACCAGTCTTGCAGCACCGCACTCAACGCGGACCGCATGGTGGAGAACACAGCACCCGCACCGAATCTCTGAGACATACTCTCCCTTTCTCGTCCCAGTCGATGCGCTCCGCCGTCCCTTGCGCTACGTGAAGACTATAGTATAGACATATCAGGTAATCCGACAGCCGACGACCTGCTGTTTCGATAAGATCGATTTCACCGTTGCCTATTCGAGACCCAAGATTCGAGTCCCACATGTCATCATCCTCGTATAAGCAAACCACAGGGGCTTGGCAGACAACTTGACAACGATACGGTACTACGACCAATCAATCGACTCGACGAAGAGCACAGGATGTGAGGCTCGCCGGCGAATCGGCCGTTGACCAAGGGAACGCGCGCGCTCGTTCAATTGACTGCCATAAGAGGGCGCCCATCCAAGCCGGAGAATCGGGCAAACTCTCGAGCCAGGCTTTCCGCCTCTAGCGGACTGCTGTTGCACATCGATGTGCGTGAGGGTGGACAGGGTGAAGGGCAGAGGGAACAGAACATCCGATCAAAGCTGACGCGCAGTGGCCCGGGCCGCCAACTCCGCCTAATAAGATGAGATCAGCTCTAGGACGAGCTGTAGTGAATCACCTTGTATTAGCAAACCCGACGGTGAGATCGACGCAGGCCGCGCGCTGCTAGCCGTTCGAAGCCGACGCATTCCCCACGCGTTGGGTATGTAGATCCATGGATAAGACATGTTCATGTGCGTGTATGTGCACCCAAGCCAGTGGCGCCCAGGGCTGCCCGTTGGTTACATTAGGCGTGTCCGACCCGGGAGACGCGGCGTCTGCGTCCGCCATTGGCCCTTACCCTCGACTCCTCCCGGGGCGTAATCCTCATTTGATGTCCCGACTCCCCGTCGGGGTAGTTGTCGACGTCGATCGAGGCCTTCTCGTCCGAGCCGGAAAGAAATCCCCTTCGTCGAAGTACGGGCATGGTCACAACGGAAACTACGCAAGGGGGTGGCACGCTTAGCGACAGCGTAGACCTGTATTAGAATACTAAACGAGGATCGTAGAGCGGTCGTTGCTTCTTCGGCTCAGTGATTCCCGTATGTAATGAGTTATCCTATCATAGGAGCGGAGGGGAGATAGAAATTATGCGGGGATGAGAAGATAAACTGAGGACTGTGGCGATTATCCTTCAGCCTCAAGTTGTTATTTTATAGCCAAGGGTGTCGTCGTTTTCTTGTGTTGTTGCTCCCCCTATACACTATTATCAGATTGAGTCGAACCTGCAATCCCCCCACCAACTTCGTCCCCCTTATGCCCTTGCCATGGAGAGGCACCGTTGCCACTGTGTCCGTGATAATGAACCAGACAGCTACTGCGGGGATATCTTGGGGTAGGACATGTCACTCGACTAATAAGCTAGGGCACCCCTTTACGGGCCACCCCTTTACGGACTACCGCGTTAGGACCTACGAACGCGCCTTTTAACGCGACGCCCTTACTTAAATAACCTATAATTTCTCGGTTAGTTTTAATCTTTAGTAATTCCTTTTGCCATTAATCTCTTCCTAATTTCTTACTAATTAAGATAGTATCTTTAAAAGAATAATAAATCCGTACGTAAGCCGCTATTCGGAAAATAATATGCGGTATTAGTATCCGATAAGCTACCCGTTTATATAGCGTCCCTCGATCTTACCTATTACGTCGTTTCGCCGGTAGATTAACGAAATAAGAGCTAAATAAGAATCGGTAAGCTTTATTACCGATCTTAAAAGCTAAATTAACTCGTTAGGTTATTTCGTAAGCTAGGTTAAGCTTCGCGCCGGCTTTTATTTAATTTAGGTTTATAACCGAACGCTTATTAAATCCCGACGGCGGCTCTAAAAAGCTAGGGAAGTACTAGCATTACCGTTTTTTAAAGCGAAACCCGGAGGTTAAGGCTTCTACGGTTAAGATCGTCGATTATAAGTAGATTAAAGGCGCTACGGCGGTAAATATTAACCTCTTTTTCGACCGATTAAAAGCTCCCGAATTATTAGCCATTTCTCCCGAGCGCTTCTTTAACGCCGACGAGATAGGCATCGTATAAGGCGTTACCGGTAATTACTAGGTAATTTCCGAAGCTAATACCTATATAGTACTTAAGAAAGGCGTCGAAAAAGGTTAATAAATTATTACTCTTAAGTATATAGGCTTCGGCGGAAAGCCTCTTCTTCCTTTAATACTTTTTAGGGATATCGACGTTTAGGTTTAATAATTTCCTAACGATTCTTATAATCTTTAGGAGAATTAACGGTTCTAAGCGTTATTTAAAAGATAAATTAATAATAATATCGCGTTAAGTTAACTTATAAATATCTTTATTCCTTATATTCGGGCTTATTTCGGTAATAAATAAGTCGTTTTAATTTACGACGGCTATAAATCGTATACCTACGACGCCTTTCTTACGTATTATCTTTAAAATAAAATATAGTTCGTTTTTTATTAGCCTTACTATAATTACGTCGTATAGGTTTTAAATATTAGGATATTCGGGTTATTAAAAAAACGGCTTAAAAGCCTCCTTAAAAAGAGCTAAAGTACGAATTTAAACCTATATCCTATTAAGGTCGATATATTAAAGATATACCGATAGGCTAGGATCGATATAATAACTTCTCGAATTATTAAAAGAGCTTAAAAAACCTTTAGGATTTATCCTAGAAATCGTAAGAAGCCGTTATCGTCGAGATTCGTAATTATAAAGGATAAGAGTATTCCTAGATCTCGGCCGAAACGGTCGAAGGTATCGGAAGTTATCGAAAGGCCGAAAATACCTAATTTCCTAACGTTATTAGCTCTAAAGTACGTTAATATACCCTTAAACGGCTAGGAATTACGAAATATTATTTAACGGTTTATCCTTATTAATTCTAGGGCTAAGGTCGTATCTTAGCGGTTATTTATTCGGAAAACTAACGGTACCTTCGACCGGTAGGCTAATAAAATCGTAACTCTTAAAACCTAGCTTTAATATAAAATCGTTAAAAACGATAAAGCCATTATTAAGATACGGAAGAAGGTATACCTAGCGCTAGGGAAGCGCTTCGTTCGTATAGCGGATATACGGCGGGTAAAAAGGTCGTTAAAAAATAAGGTAATATATAAGGACGAAGCAAGCGATGAGGAGGTACCTAGAGAGGTTAAAATAACGCTAGAAACGCCTAAAAACGAGGTATCGTAAGCGGAGGACTATATCGAAGTTATAACGCCGGAATTAAAGGATTTTAATTAATTTTAGTAATATAAATAGCTTTAATTATTAACGTAGTAGTTACTAGGTAATGCTTAATTTAGGTAGCCCGTAAAGAGGTAGCTCGTAAAGCGGTAACCTAACTTAGTGAACATTACCTTACTCTATAGGCATCGCGATACTATCCTAGCAAAACTTATACCGTAAACTATATCCGCCTTCAACCTAACTATTCAAATCCGATAATGATCACGCCGCTGTTTATTATCAAAATGCCGACGGAGCGCAGCAGATATTGATCTACCCTTTATTATTCTTGCCTTAGTAAGGAGGATATGTTTAATGGTCATATTAACATTTGTCGCGTAAAACGTAGACGCCCACATTCACGCTTTGCGTATATAGGCTTATAAGGGCTGATACCGTACGTAATAACACTCTATATCTCAAGGTAGCAATAGTTGAGATTCCTCACCGAAGTTATGTAACGGCACAAGGGCGAAAAGCCTTGTGAGGGTGCGTGTATGCGTTTCTTTTCTGTCCTGGAACGAGTTACAGATTTCCGGGGGTCCAATCCATTATAAACCTGATCTCAACCCATCATATCAAGAAGGAAAGAAAATAAACACTTCATACTGTTAGAGACTTTTCTGAGAATTATCCCATCAACGAAGTGTGAAGTGGAGGTCTCCGCGAGAACCGCAAACACCAGCCATGCCATATCCCCCCTCGTTAGAGGAACGTTTACGAGCGTAGCTGTTTACCAGATGTACGAATGCTCCAGTCAAGTCCAACAGTGCGAGAAATACCATGCCCACCTATCTGCTCAAGCATTTATCTACTTTTACCGAAGTCAGCGTCTCTTACTTGCACTACAACTATAGCTCTGAGAATGAAGGCCCGAGAGTAGCCTGTCACCTCGTACGCTTGCGATAGGCCTAGAGCGTAAACTTGGATCGCTATAGTGACCCGCCTGGAACAATACGTTGAAGGGGCTATGCTGACCGGCTTCAAGTGGAATTCAAATCGGCGAGACTCGGCAGCTGTGCAGCGCGATGTTATGTCACCAAAGTTCCACCGTAAGTGTTTGGCCCACGAACGGCAGAGCCGGTAGCGGGGTCAATTCTATTATGATACAGATTACCGTTAGAATCGTGCAACTGAAAGAGCGGGAAGAAACAACCGTCGCCTTCACCAGCCTTACTCTCAACGCTGCAATCACGCTATAGCAAGAGCGTTAGATGTCGAAATAGACACCTGGATTATGCACCTTCGGGAACTAGCAGTCCCGGCGCTGCTGTGACAACTTGCGAACTTCACCTTTGCGAGCTGGGCCAATCATCGCCTCAAGTGGGCCTTGACCGTCTGGATCCGGTGTCTAGATTGGAAGGATTCAGACTTGGACTTCTAGGACTTTGCTGCTTCATGGCAGCACAGGTCAAGCTTGAGCGGGTAAATTATACGGACGTGGCTATTTGAAGCGGGTACTCCGAGGACATCTTGGCTCCCCAGCGTACGTGACGCAAGATGACATGTTAGACGGTGCCGCAAACGAATGCAAGACCCTCTGGGATGTCGAGAACTAGGAGAAGACGGGGGCGGGAAGGCTATCATTAATATCCAGCCGAAGAGGAGCCAATATCATAGGTGGGCCGACGTTGTTATTCGGGCCAGCTTTTTACAAATCGTTACCTACTGTTAAGATTCTCCTCCCAATCATACGCAAGACAAACCCACGATGCCGATATATGTTCCTGACCGTGTCAATGGATAACGATGCGGTCTACATAGGTACAAGCAGGACTGAGGTGCAGCCATGCTATTATTGACCATCAGTCGGGGCTTGCCTATAAGCAGGACATGCCTACCCTATCACGACGATGGCTACTCAACCAGCAATGGTTGTCCGCATTGCAAGCTTGGCTCCGGTCCTAAGCCCCCCAGTGCAGGACGAGCCGTAGAGGCTAGACGGTGCGGCTAACCACTGCCATGTTCTATTCCGGGTCCGTAGTCCTAGTCGCCGGGGCAGGGTTACGGTGGTGGCTCCGCACGTGGGCGTCGTTTATTAATAGGAACACTAGACAACGCCAAGGGACTTGGCACAAAAACAAAATAGGCGTGGAGTGAAGGCGATACCTGACTGGACGAGGGCTCGACGCCCTAGCCACATAGTACTAACAAATACTGCTTCCTAATATCACCACTAGGCTTCACTAGCACTAGTAACGAGTGAGCTCGGTCTTTCTGTGCTGGCCTATCGTATATGGGCGAGCCGGCCGTGCAATGGGCCCACCCCCGGCATCCCGACCTCCATCGTAAAGCCATGCTAGGACCGGGGGGGATAGACTGCACGGTGGGTCTGTGATGGACACAGCATGCGGTTCCTAGCTAGCAGGCTCATGCGCCTCACTTCTCCGCCTTCTCGGCTCTTGGTTTAGCGCTGCATATCCTCGCTGCCTTGACCAGTGAGCCTTTGGGGGGGGGGGGGCTTTCTGTGTCCCATGCTCAGCCGCGCTGTGTACGATGGCATGTCAGCGGGCGGACACAGGCTATGGTGTGTTGCGGGTGCTTGGCTGGTAGCCTCATGGCGGACGGGCAGCACCATCGCGAGCGGGAGAACTTGTATAAGAGTCCTCGAGGACCGCAACCATGGAGAGACACAATCCCATCATCACCCGCCCTCACCATCCTCATCAAGAGCCTCGCCTCTCCAACCATAATCACTTATCCTCGGTCTCCCCGACTCACTCTTAACTCACTTTCGTCCACTACTCCCACACCCAAACACACCACCACAACCACCACCATGTCTTCCTTCGTCAAGACCGTCTCCACCCTGGCCTCCCTGGCCTCCCTCGCCGCCGTCAACCTCGCCGCCCCCGTCGACCTCGGCAGCAGCAGCGCCCTCGCGCGGCACGAATCCGACTGCGCCGCCGGCAGCACCTTCTACGTGTGCGCGAACGGGTACCGCGGGTGCTACGCCGCGGACCCGTGCGCGCTGCCGCCGGTCCAGGAGAACGAGTCCGAGACCACGTACCCGACGAACCCGGACCCCGCCGAGGGCGAGGAGGGGGACGGGGGTGACGAACAGGACGAGGAGAGCGGCGACGAGACGCCCGTCTACGCCTGCCCCGCGCCGGGCGAGACCGCGCTGATCTGGCAGCCGACGCTGTACAACCTGTGGCCGTCGGAGCCGGCGCGCGCGGAGGCCGCGGTGTCGGGCGTGGCTATCTCGGCGGGCGAGCCGGGGGGAGCGCGGGAGCAGGCGGTGGCGTTCCGGGGGGTGCCGGCGGGGGCTAGGGACTGCGTGCTGAACTGGGCGCAGGCGGCGGAGGCGGCGGCGGCGCGGCCGGGGTTCGCGGTCGAGGGCAGCGGGTTCGCGGCGGTGCGGCCGCTGACGGGGTTCCCGGCGGCGGGCGCGCCCGTCTCCGCCGCGGCCGTCGCCCCCTTCGTCGACCCCGCCGCCAAGGTCGCCCACGCCGACTTCACCTTCTGGGACCGCGATCCCGCCGCCTGGAACCACACCGTCGGCCCCGTCGCCGCCGGCTGCGCCCCCGACCTCTACTTCCGCCTCTGGCTCGACACCGCCAACGGCGACGGCAGCGTCTCCCTCCAGCAGGACCGCCAGAATGGCTTCTACCTCTCTTACACCTGCTAGGCGAGGGCGAGAGAGTCGAAATACGGCTTTCTTCTTCCTCCTTCCTTCTATAACGACTCCTTCACGACACGCATTGGGAAATAGACGACCGGGTCTTTGGGCGGCGCGTATCTGGTGACATTTTATGGCATGGCATGGCACTGGAGTTTTTAGAGAACCGGATTTACCCATTTTTATACCGGGAGGAGCCATGCAGCTCCTTAAGGGATCATAGACAGCCTGCCTGGCTTGCTTAGAGCGATACCTTACAGAAACCACTAGATAATAATGTTTATGTACATATTCCTGAACTCCTATCATTGGCACCAATTACTTCATTCTCGGCCTCGGAAGTGATATAACACCTGGGCAGTATGCTTTGTTAATGTTACTAGGCTATTCGAATCATATTCGACATTGACCCATCTCTATGAGCTTGATGAGTTTCCGTTACCTGGTGAGCCCTCATGGCGTCGCTTTTCGGCCTGCCAATGTTTCTTTTCGATTCTCAGGCTTCTACGCGCCCACAGTATTGTTATCAACGTCCAAATCGCGGTATAGCCGAGCGGCGCTCCCCAGCCTACGGCGCTCGGGTCAGCATTGAAATTTTAATGACTCCCCTCTCAAGGTTACCACGACTTACCTATGCCGTAAGCGATCTCTTGCGGCACGGTCCACACCACCACCATGGTGCTAACACCCGTAAGCATACACCCCAGCCCCCAGAACCAGTTGAGCCTCTTGATCAGAACCCTAAACCTGGTACTAGCCTTATATCTCCCCAGGACCCTCCTCCTATAGGTCTTTCCCGCGCCGCCGTCGACAGCAACAACATCCTCTATGAACGTCAATAGCACGGGCGGTATAGGCGCTCCCCTGGGAGTGGAGCTGACCTTGCAGGTGGCGAGCATGTTTCTGGCTTCCATCCAGCCGGTGGTGAGAGCGAGGAAGCCCACTTCGATGAGGAACAGCGGCAGAGGCATGGCGAGCGGGCGGACTAACGGCTCGTGCGGTATAGACGCACCGATCAAGATGCCCGTCATAACGGTGTAGCCGACAGATAGTGTGACGTGCGTGAAGTCAAGGCGCCAGCGCCTCCCGTCTATTGGCCGGTATACGTCGTCTTTCTGGACCAGCCGCCACGAACGGTGAGCGAACTCCAGACCGGAGACGATACCAAAGAAGGATGTAATGATGGCGAAAACTAAAGTTTGACTACGTGAGCTTCTATCCGCGAACATATCTAGCTGTTGCTAATTTCGATCTCTTCTACCTCATAGGAGATACAGACCCTAGGGGCTAGAAAGAGTCGGGTGAGTAATTAGGAGCGGGGGATACGGTAAACACTCACTGATGCCATGCCTCAGAGTTGTGTTGAACCACAGGGGGTAGAACAAGACGATCGGCAGTATGCTCCCCTCGAGAACCAGGAGGCCGCCAACGAGGAAAAGCTTCGTCTTGTGCTCCAGCAACCTGTAATTCAGCTGTGGCAATCCACGCAACTCCTCCCTTGAATCCTTACCAACGATGGCGGACGAGGCAGACGAATCCCCGGACTCGCTCAGGGGGAACGATGTGGGAAACGGAACGGCGTCCCCATTTTCGAGGCCATTACTCGCCATATCGCGAGTCGTTGGTGAGGGCTACGACCACATGGAAGCTCGTCTTATGTTGGGTTAGCAGGTATACCGAATAATAGCGAACAAGCAGATTGCCGTGTAGGCGTGAAGGGATCTCGTCCCATAGCTGGACGATGTGCGGGAAGCCGGATTGTGCCAGGAGTTGGGTTTCCCAGAGAGGTGTTGTTAGAGGACCGAAGATGGAGATGGACGTGATGCTTTTGGGCGTTTCTCATATCACAGATGTCGTGATGGAAGGTACTACCTACCTCACATTAATACCTACATATAGTTATGAATGCGTGTAGTGGCATTTATGCACCCTTGTGAATAGGAGGAGGGTGGCTGTTATGACCCGCCATTTCATCACAGCTTGCAGATGTATGGAGGGGTTCGCCAGGAGTTGCCTACGGAGTTGCATAACTGCTCGTACATCTTTGCCCCGCGGCGGAGCCACGGGATGACGTATGCGAGACCCCTCCCTGCGAAACATCCCGCCCCCTTCTTCCTCCGATCCGCCGATCCATCTACCTTACATGGTAGGTATCGGCTACTTACAACTCATAGAACCTCAGTTTCCAAGGTCAGATGAGCGGCAAAGCAACTGAAAGACGAGATTATTAGGTGCCCCTCATTCTGATCGACGCTTCGGTGCATCCTGGGGGTTCGGCACGTAATGTGGGGATACCCTGGGTACTTTTACGCGCTTAATCTGTGTCATTCCCGTGGCTGCGCCGTTGTGAGTGCAGGAGGGGGGTCAGTTTCAGCGACTGGCCGAAAATGGAGCGTGGTTCATGATCCTCGAATATGCTCCGGAGCCTGCGGCAGCATTCGCCGTAGAGACGCTCCGACTTAAGAGGCGGCTTCACCGGATTTGGCGCCTTATCCCAACCGTGCGCGACGCCGGGTATCATGGTGTAAAACACGTTTTTCCCGATTTGCGGCTGCTCCAATCGTTCGGCAAGCTCGCGGCCCTCGCGTAGCAGCATATCCCATTCGCAGGTGTAAAGTATCACATTTGGAGGCAGACCCTCCCTGAGAACTTCATCGGAGGCTCTCGAGGGAGAAAGGCATGGGTGAGCAAGGTCGAGCTCGGGAGGGAAGAGATACGACGCGTCAAAGAGGTCCGTTAATGTAGGAGGCAAGGTTTGTTCGGGGCGAAGGGCAGATTCTCGGCGCTCGGCGCGACTTAGCGTGTAATCTGTGATGGGATACCAGGTTGCGACGGCGACGATGCGGTGTTCGGGAACCGTTGTCGTCTTTCCGAGCTCGTATAACCGGATGGGCGCTGTGAGGGCGATATTCCCACCCGCGGAAAACCCGGACGTCGCGATTCGGCGGCTATCAATGCGAAGCTCGGCCGCGTTCTCGATGATGTAGAGCATCGCGTCTGCCCCGTCGTCGACGGCGGTCGGGAAGGGACACTCTGGTGCCAACCTATACTCGACCGAGGCGAAGACGGCGTGGCATTTCTCTAACACGAAGCGCGCGAATCTCGCATCGTCGGATGCGCTACCCAACGTAAACCCCCCGCCATGGAAGTTTACGACGACAGGCCACTTGTTGCGCCTGGTGTTGCTCTTGTAGCCCCCGGGTAGGTAGAACTGAAGATCAAATCGACCATTCCGAGCCGATAAGGTAGACCGGACGGGTCTGACGAAATCCGGGCTCGGCGGTCGTGGGGGGGCCAGGAAATGCAGAAAAGCGCCGATGTATTGCAGAGCCCTCCAGAAGCAAGCCGCAATACGGAGCGAGAGTCGTGAGGGGGGGCTGCCAGTCTTGTCCCCTGCTATCAGCGGCTTTCGGTAGGGAGAAGCCTCGCCCCCGTTCCTCCGCTGTTGCGGGGAATCCCTCGCGATCACGGGTATTCCCTCAACGGTTTGCATGGTGGCACTCTATCGAACGCGGTGATTTTTCGTCTGGTAGCAGGATACTCGCTTCGAATCCCCCCCGGAGGTCGGAGTCCCCAGCGTTGTTTTATGACGGTATCCGCGCGCCTCGAATGACGACAACTCAACAGAGGAAAACAATCGCTCCGGAGCCGGCTTCCGTGATGGGCTGACCGACCCAGCAATATCGCCAGAAGGATGCCGGCGTCGACATTAGGTCATGGCGTCTCGATGCGTCGCGGCGATCGCTCGCATGGTGCATACGAGACGTTTCGCGGTCGGGAGAAGGGGGCGGGTGACAATAGCCTGTAGGTACCCTGTCGAGCTGGAGGTAGCCGTCTCTCAATGCCCTATCGGACAATATTAGCAGGCTCCTACCTACCTGATTGCCTGCCTATAGGTACCTATAGGTTGTACCAGTTAGGTGCCTCTTTATCTACTCGGCACCTCAGGCGCATGTAGCCGACAACTCGAACACGAGTTGAACGCTGAATGACGAAGTTGGGGGCAAGCAGCCGTAATCATGACGTCGGGCGCTACGTCGAGGATTGGAAGCCGCCGTCACCACAGAGCGAGCGCCGACTGCCGAATCAGGACGGCCACCGTGTCAAGCTGCCTCCCGATTGGCTGGGCCAGCCACGCTGAGTCGCCTTGGTTGGGCGGATAGCTACTATACTATATATGCACAACTATATGCACTTTATGTAATTTGTGCGACTTGTGCGAGGTCGCGTCTCGGGAGGAGGGGAGGTCGGGAGGCACCACGGCTTGTCGCAAGCATGAATGGCAAGGAAATATCGAGCTATCAAAATAGCTTAAACTGTGCGGCCGGCCGGAAGCCTAGTGTCTATCATGGGGTCTCCATCTTTCGGCTCTACACTCAAGTGAAGAAGCCTGAAATAATTCCCTAGACGAAGTCACGAGCGGATCTAGGCATGTTCGTCAACCCGACCGATAACGACATCGAGATATACAAACCTTCTCCTAACCAAGCGTACGCTGTCTTCTACCCGAGCTTCCGTACGGGACCAACCCGCCGACAGCGCACCTGGCACAATCCAACGCGGCGCATGCTCAACCCCGGAGCAGGCTCCCCCCCCCACGAAAGCATCGTAGAGCGAGACAAGCCGGCGAGTGGCCGTACAACAACGTCGCCATGCCTTCCAGCTGGCTCAAGCAGCCTCTTCTTGCGCTGAACAGGGCCACCGGGCACACATCTTCCGAGAACCATATCACCAAGGCCCACCTTGGCGACACCGATGCGTTGGGTAGGGAAACGGACAAGATGCATCTCAGGGCCGTATATGACAAACAGATGAAGAGGGAATCTATCACAGAGGGGCGGAGGTCCCAGCAAGCCAAACGCAAGGAGGATGAGCAGGCCGCGAGGGAGAGAGAGCCACCGCAGATACGGTCGAGCTACGGCACCCTCACCGACGAGGACGAGGGCCTCCCACCATCGCTTCCGCTAGGTCAATTGTCGTCCAGACACGTCGGCGAGACCGTCGAATTCAACGCCAGGCTTCACCACGTGCGGCCCGTCAGCGCGAGATTGGCCTTCGTACTCCTGCGCCAACAAGTTGAAACCGTTCAAGGAGTTCTCCAGGTACGTGAGGGGGTCGTGTCTGAGCAGTTCGTGCGGTGGGCAGAGCATCTCAACGCCGAGTGTCTGATGCACATTCGCGGCGTCGTAAAGGAGCCGCCGGACCCGATCAAGACGTGTAGCATTCGAGACCTCGAGATCGCCATCGACAGTATGCATGTCTTGGTTACGGTGGACGATCCGATACCCATCGACGTTTACAACATTGAACAGGTAGCAGAGGATGAGGACAGCCACGAAATCCAGCTGCTGGCTTCCAATCGAGTTCGCGTAGCCAACCGGCTGATCTTTCTCCGGGCACCGGTCATGCAAGGCGTCTTTCGCATTCGCTCGGGCATCTGCAGCATATTTCGCTCTTCGCTAGAAGAACAAGGGTTTATTGAAATACAGACACCCAAGCTCCAGCCGGCCGCTACCGAGTCCGGCGCCGAAGTCTTCAAGGTGAACTATTTTGGCAGGACCGCCTTCTTGGCCCAGAGTCCCCAACTGGCAAAGCAGATGGCCATTTCTGCCGACTTTGGACGCGTTTTCGAGATCGGCCCGGTCTTTAGAGCGGAAAACAGCAATACCCACCGACATCTCACCGAGTACACCGGCTTAGACCTGGAAATGGCTATCGCCAAGGACTACCACGAAACGATGGACGTGATCGACGAGATGTTGAAGGCGATATTCAAGGGCATATACGCCCGGTATCGCAAAGACCTAGATATTATTAAGGCGAGATTCCCTCACGAGGACCTTGTATGGCTGGAGAATACACCTCGGCTCACGTTCAAGGAGGCGATTCAATTGCTGAATGCGAGCGGACAGGCCAATGGCGACGGAAAGCTTGCCTCGGAAAACGAAGACCTAGGGACTCAAGCCGAGATCCGGCTCGGTCAGCTGGTGAAGGAGAAGTACAAGACCGACTACTTTATCGTTGACAAATTCCCCGCTTCAGCACGACCGTTTTATACGCATTTGGATCCGAATGATGATTCAGTCACCAACTCCTTCGATATATTCCTCCGAGGCCAGGAGATCGTAACTGGCGGCCAAAGAATCAACGACCCGCGGGCCCTGGCGAAAAGAATGAAAAAGGCAGAAGTTAGCGTGGACAGTATGGAAGAATACATGCAAGCCTTTATATGGGGAGCACCGCCGCATGCGGGGTGCGGTATTGGCCTCGAGCGTGTGCTATTTCTGTTACTGAACCTAGGAGATATCCGGAATGCCTCCTTGTTCCCCCGAGACACAAAGTCTCTGCCCGAGAAGAAGTGCGATCATAGCGACACGCTTCCTTATCCGGAGGCTGATACCATCCGCTACACCTTTAACGGAGAGCACAATCATATCCATCTGCCCGACCTCGAAAAACTCATCGCGAACTATGGCGACGCAACAAATACTGCCTGGTTAGACGAACGATTCAAGGTCTGGCGGGATACCGACACAGGAGCCGCCGTCGGATTTGCCGAAGAGAACGGGTATGCGCTGATCATGGGGGACCCGCTCTGCGATTCGCGGCAGTACCCAGCCGTCGTCGGCGCCTTTCTCAGACACCTGAAGAAGGCGGCAGACCTGCGCCCCATCTGGGTCCTAGCCTCGGCGCAGGTCGAAGATATCCTCGGCGCGAAGCTCGGGTGGCGCACGCTTACGTGCGTCGCGGAGGAGCGCATCGACACCCAGAACGCGAGCACGGTGACCAAGAAGGAACGGCAGGCCAAGAACGCGGAGATCAAGATCCACGAGACGGCGCTCGGAGAGGCGGTGCCCGAGGACGTGAGGGAGCGGTGCGACAGGCGCATCGCCGACTGGAAGGAGGGCCGCAGGGGCCGCAAGCAGATCCACATCACGGAGGTGCGGCCGTGGGTGTCGGGGGCGTACCGGCGGTACGTGTGGGCGGAGGACAAGGGGGGGGAGGTGGTCGGGCTCGTGGTGCTGCACCGGCTGTCGCCGGCGCACGGGTACCAGATCAAGTTCGCGCTCGACTTCCCGGGGGCGCCGTCGGGCAGCATCGAGGCGCTGATCTCGCGCGCGGTGCAGAGCCTGACGGCGGCCGGCGTCCGCAGCGTGACGTTCGGCGCCGGCGCCGCCGACGAGCTCGCCATCGGCAGCAACCTCCGCGGCGTCCGCGCCCGCCTGCTCCGCCGCACGTACGGCGCCGTCGCCCAGCAGCTCCGGCTCAGCGCCAAGAGCGACTTCCGCGACAAGTTCGGCGTCCGCCACGACCCCGTCTACATCTGCTATCCCTCCATGGGCCTCGGCGTGTCCGGCGCCAGGACGCTGATCAAATTCTTCGAGGACGAGATGTAAAAAAACACAGGCTCGTCGGCGTTGTTTTCGTGGTGGATGGCCAGTCCCCTTTCTTCTTTCGTGGCTGTGACACGACCTAGCCAGGGCCAGGCCAACCGCGGCTTAGCATTGCAGGGTGGGATGGGTCAGGTGTGATATGGTGTGGGTTTGAGGGCAGATACCCGTCGTCGGAAAGTAATACGTGCGTAGCATGATCGATTTGGTTTCTAGGTTATCGTAATATGCGTAGTAGAGAGCGCAGCCGGCTCAAGGCTAAGCGGATAAGGCGAGAGGCCATTGCGGGGATTGCGAACAACTCCCACGGAGGCAGGTCGTTGTTGGTGGGCGGCGATCACTCCTATCTCGTGCATAAACACATCAATAATGGATCTGAGACCATGGAAAATAGCGCGTCCTAAGAAACCCCTTGGTGTCGATATAATAAGTTTCAGCTAGACGGGACCCCTGGACCCGTTCCTAGATTACCGCCTACCCCGGCCCATACTACCCCAGCTACGTTATATATACCGTCGCCGTCTCCGATCTTCTACGAATAGGCGCTCGGGGCCCCCGGTGTACTCCCTTGAGTAGCCGGAAAACCTACCTGCGCGGCCGGGGGTTGTCGTCTGGAGAGGCCTTGCCCAGGTAGGCAGGTATATTTAGCCCTTGATATCTCTATCTACCTACCTATCCTAACTCCCTGCTCCCCCTCATAGACGCTAGATATCCGGCACCGTCGAGCATCTGTCCCGGTTGCCCATCCTCGAGAACACTTCTTCCCCGTGCGAGACATGGGCTTCCTCCAGTTCCTGGTTACGGCGTCGCTGGCCGCGCTCGTCCCCAGCGCGTGGGGGCTCCTCGCCTTCCCCGGCGCCGAGGGGTTCGGGCGGAACGCCGTCGGCGGCAGGACGGGGTCGGTCTACCGCGTGACGAACCTGAAGTGAGTGCGTCCCGGTGCGGGAAGCCGCCGCTAACCACGTCCGCGGTGCAGCGACACGGGGGCCCGGTCGTTCCGTGACGCCGTGTCCGAGTCTAACCGCATCGTCATCCTCGACGTCGGCGGCACCATCAAGATCAACACCCGCGTCGCCGTCTCCAAGAACATCTATATCGCCGGGCAGACGGCGCCGGGAGAGGTGGGGCAGCGGTCCTCTTCTATCCTACAAATGTTGTAATAGAGCTTTAGGCCACTGACGATGAGTCGCGTGGAGGGCATTACGGTGTACGGCAACGGCATGTCGTTCTCGAATGTCGACAACGCCATCGTGCGGTACATCCGGTTCCGGATGGGCAAGGGCGGGGACTCGGGGAAAGGTGAGTTACGGATTCGCGCTCGCACTGGCGCCGGCGCCGCGCACCCGGCTAACCCGATGGCGCGGGGCGCTGGTCAGCGAGGAGGGCGCGCCCGCGGCCTCGACCCCGCAGACCCCGCCGACGCCACGCGCCGCGCCGCCAGCGGCTACGCGAACGTCGAGGTCTGCGTCAACTCGCTCGTGCCGGCGTTGTGAGGAGCCCGGAGGGCGGCGGCGGGGCTGGCGCAGAGGGCGAGAGGAGGAAACAAGTGCTCGGACTCCGTCTTCCACGCACTACCTACGTGCCGCCTCTACGTGCCGAGGCTCGGTGGTCGTTAACGCGAACGCCCGAGGGACCCGGACCTGAGGCGCAGGAGTGGAATCCGGGGGAATGGTTCCTGGTCTGTACGCGCCGCAGCGATTCCGTTCCTGCGCAGATCGGGTCCGTTCCTTGCATTGTCTTGGTAGGCTGCAAGGAGCGGCTGGTTGGCCGTGTTTGATGACGTAGACGGGTAGACTGGTACGAATTGAACACCTCTCCACGTGTTTGTGCATGTCCGGATGCCTGCGCATTCTTATAGATTCGGGTCGGCTAGGTCGGTGGGCAAGTAGGCGATGGCTGGGACAGATAAGCCAGGCCCATCCGTAGTCGAGATCGTAGAATTGAAGCGTTGCGTTGCGGTCGGAGTGAGTTGACGATAGCGTTCAGGTCTGAGAGGCAAGAGAAATTCTTTTCGAGTGTCATCCGTCTGATTCGGGCACTTCACATCGGTACGTACCGTACAGCTGCGTGTCAGCTGTTGCCGCTGTAAGCAGCGGACCCATGAAGTATGCGCATCGCCAAGAGTCTAGTAGGCATCGGCGAATCAGCTGGTGGGAGATCCCTGTCCATTAGCTAGGAGGGGAGGGAGGGGGGCAATGAGTATATAAAATAGAACACGAACCCCTCCTCTTAATAATTGACCTCGTAGAAAAGCACACTTTTCTATGTCTTCCAACTCGTCAACTGCCCTGCCGCATCGCTACAGTGGTTTCGAGTCCAGCTCATGGCGGGACTGTGGACCCTGCGGTGCTGTGGCTAAGGTGCATGGCTGTTGTGGTACTCTCATCACACGAGCCCTTGGTAGTCTAGTTGGTTATGGCGTTCGGCTGTAATTGCAATACAATTGTTACCGAAAAGTCGCTGGTTCGATTCCGGCCCGAGGGAACATTCATTTTTTTTGCTTGTCTTCGCTTCTACCCATGTCCACGTCTTCTTCCTCGTTCCCGCTCCCATATGTCTTTTTCTCGTCATATTGTATACTAGCTTTTCACCTGCATATAATTCTCGTATTTTAGAAATTTTGCACATGACATGATGTGATGGCCACAGTTGGATTTATGTACCTGACAGGTTCCCACGGTGTAAAGGTGCGTAAACGAGAAATAAGAATACTGCATCGCTCTACTTCGTGAACGATTGGATTTGACTCGAGATGCACAACTGTTCTTATAGTCAGCATGACCTCTACCAGCTCTAAAACACCTGACAATCCTCTCAAGGGTTCTGCCAGCTCCTCTCCGGTTATATAGTACCCGTCTTACGCCTGTTCATCCGGTTTGTATTTCGAGGACTTTATTTAAATTTCTAGGGCATCAATTGTCTGTTTCTTCTCCTGTGTGTCTTGGGCTTGGCCGCGTAGTGCTCCTTGGAGTAAGGACCTTTGGAGTACAGTGGACGGGAACAGCTGCAGTCTAGCAGCAGAAAATCAATCTATTAGTGAACCGAGAATCAACCACTGATATCATTTATCAAAATATAGCTTTTCTTGCCCTCGACCGCGCATAAAATAGGTATCAAACTGAGACTTCTATATCCCCCGCCTATCCAACCAAAATCCCACATGCCTCCGTGCCCAGCCGCCCTGCCCTCCCCCCCCCCCCCCCCTTCCTCCTCTCTCTCTCTAATACCCTTCCCCAAAGCGTCCTATTCGTTCGTTGTCGCAGGTGCAGATATGCTGTCCCCATCTTCTTCTCTGCCGTCCCTCGAGCTGCGCTAATTCCCCTTAGCAGCGCTGCCGAGCGCGCTCTTGATCCGCTGCCCAATCGACCGCTTCGCCGGGTCACGCGCGGGCTGGGCCTTGTCGTGGGAGTAGGCGGTGGACTCGGAGCGGATCGAGGCCGACGAGGGCGCGTTGGCGTTGCCGTTCGCGGACGCGGACGCGGCGGCCGTCCGCTGCTTCTGCTCCTCCTGGTGCGGCCACACGAGCGCCGGGTTCGTCATCGCGAGCGACGGCGAGAAGGACGCCGCGGCTGTGGAATAACAGTCTCGGCACATGGTTGCGGCGGGGGGTGAGGCTGCTCGGGGGGAGTTTCAGGGTTTTGGCTCCTGGTTGGGAGTGGTAGAGGCGAGTCTAGATGTTGGCTAGAGGTTGTGCGGGGATAGGCACGGTGTTGAGATCGGATGAGACCGGATGGGATGGCGTTATGGTCTCTTTTGTGTGGATGTAGGTATATATGAGACGATGGGAGGTGAGCTTGAGGATGGTTGCCTGGGGGGATAGGCTCGGAGACGAGACTGTCTTATACCGGTTGGTATATGACTGACGGGCGAGGAGCAGGTGAAGCGAGGGTGATAGGGGGCCGATGGAGTCACTCCCTCTCCTCCACAGTCGGCGGCGAGGCTGTGCGAGCGGACTATCCTTGACAAGGCGCCCTTGGGTGCCCTGTCTCGGGTGCGTCATCGGCAGAGCTCGTAAGATATGCACTTTGGTTCAGCATGGGATCGCTTACCCGCGGACATGTCAGATAGGTATAGATCGGAAACTAATACCTGCTACGCATGAGCTGGCAGCGAGATAGACGGATAGCACCACGTTCGACAGCTTGCCTGAGGGGCTATGTCTCCGGAGAGGCTAAACCTGCAACTGACGCTGATACCGCGCGTGTTGACGACACCCTGGGCGACCGTATGCAGTTTTACTCCGATGCCGAGAGGGCCGGAGCCTTTCCCGATAGACGATCCTACCTGCGTCAATAATACGTTGTCCCGCCTCTCTCTCTCACCCACTGTCGCTCTACTGGGTTGGCCCAATTGGGACCTCATCAGGGTTGAAATAACCAAGTGAGATATCCTTCTTTATGCTGTCTAGTATGGCAGTATTGCGATTTCCGAAGAGATGCACGCGGACCGCGACGGACGACGTCGTGTTATTAGGGACGTAGCTAGGTGTGCATTACGTACCGCTACTGCGAATAGGAGACGTCTACGGTATACCATTAATACGTATCCGATAAAACGATTTTCGGAAATATTTACCTCGAAAAAAAAAAACCACTAGAACTTTATAACGCTAAATTAATTTCTTTTTCCTTCTAAAATTAAATTTGCCGTTTAAAATAAAAATAAAGCAAGGTTTAAACTATAAAACTAAATTAAAAATCTTATAGAAAGGGTTCGTATAAAGGGCTCGTATAAAGGAAATATATACTTACGTTAATTTACTACTACTAGGTAATTTACCGTCCCTTCTTCGTCGGACGAGGTTAGTTTTATTACTTAATTAGTTAGTTATACGGGCGGCGGCGGCGGAAGGGCGTTATTTAGGGGCGGATCTTCGGGACCGCCGTCGCGTACGAAGTACCGTATAACGTAATCCCGGAACTTATAATAAGTATACGAACTACCGAAATAGCCGCGTAACTTAATATAAACCGGGAACGGCCGGCTATATCCGTTTAGATATCGTACGGTTTATTCTCGATAAGTACGATACGCTACCGGAACGGCCGTACCTTTACTTATAATAAGTAAAGCATTAATATAGCTTAGCCGGTATAATAGTACCTACGTTAGTATTAGCGATTATCGTACGATAATTATAAGGCGATTAGGTAGGGCTAATATAATACGCTATAGGTTATTATAGTAGAATTATATTAACTCCTATTCCTTAATAGGTAAGAGGATTAAGGTTAATAAGTTCTAACGAATAGCGACCCGAGAATCCGCCTAAGTATTAATAGGAGCCGGCGGAACGCGCTAATTATTCTTAGTTATCGTACGTATATTAGATATTAAATATCTTATTATAATAATTACGCTCGGAAAAGGGATTAAGGCTTAGTTATTATTATTTTAATTATTTTAATTATTTTAGTTATTTTAGTTATTTTAGTTTCTATATAGAAGAAATATTAGTAATACTTCGTAATAAAGGGATTATGAATACGTACGAAGACATAATAACGAGAAGGAAAGAGACGATATTAAGAGAGGGAGAGAAATGGTCGGACGTAATAAAAGGAGAGAGAAAAGAGGAAGGAAGAGGAAGGAAAGAAGGAATATTAATAAGGTTATGGAAATATATCCTTATACGAAACGTAACTATCATTTAAATTATCCTTATACGAAACGTAACTACCATTTAAATTAAATTCTATATAGTTATTTACGTAACTACTATTTAGATTATCTTTATACGAAACGTAACTACTATTTAAATTAAATTCTATATAGTTATTTACGTAACTAACTACCATTTAAATTAAATTCTATATAATTATTCGCGTAATTATTATTTAAATTAAACTCTATATAGTTATTCCTATACCTTCTTATTATTCTACCTTCTTATTATATCGTTTAATATAATAATAACCTTTATTTTATATATTTAGTATTATAAGAATTATAAATACGTACGAAGATATAATATTAATAAAAATAAAGATAATATTAAAAGAGAAAAAGAATAATAACTAAACGAAGTAGAAGGAAAGAGAAGAGAAAAACGAAAAGAAAAGAAAGAAGAGAAAGGAAATATTAATAAGGTTATAGAAATATATCCTCGTATGAGGAATAATTATTATTTAAATTAAATTTTATATAGCTACCTTTATACTTTCTTATTATATATCTCTTCTTTTCTCTTTCTCTTTCTCTTTCCTTTTTCTTTTTCTTTATTTTCTTTTTTCTTTTTTTATCTCGTCCGATTATTATTCTCTTCCTCTCTTAATATTATCTATCTTTATTATTATTATATCTTCGTACGTATCTATAATCCCTTTATTATAAAGTATTTCTAATATCTCTTCTATATAAAAACTAAAATAACTAAAATAACTAAAAGAACTAGAATAATAATAACTAAGCCTTAATCCCTCTCCTAAACGTAACTATCATAGTTATCACGGTTTCAAGAGCTATTCGCTAGGTAAAAGGATGTAAATTAAAGGAATAAAGCTATACGAGGAGGAAAAGGAAGAAAGGTACGCTTTATTAAGGCCGCGCCTTTAAGAGCTAGCTATATACGGGAGGAGCGGTTACGTATTCTGATATTATATTAACTAGGGTTTTATAACTAAGCGTAACCTATTATATAAGCTTTCCTTTCCGTTAATTAAGGTATTCGAATCGTTCTTAGTTAATAGCGCTTCTTTTCTTTTTTAATTAATTAACCTTTCTTTTATTTCTTTTCTTACTTTTCCTTTTAAACCTCTCCTCCTTTTATAATAATAATAGCTTTCCCGTTCCCGCTACCTTAATTAACGTAGGTAAACCTCCTTTTTTACGGTTATTTATCGTTATTATATTATTACTAAGGCCGTATTTCGTCGGGATATAGCTCTTCTTTTAACTCGCGCGTTTCGTAAGGTATTCGATTAATTCCTAGCTAACGTAGTATTAATAAATATCTTCCTTTTCGTTTCCCGATTCCCTAGGTCTTTTCGCTCTTACTTCCTATCGCTTAATACGACGCCTTACGTCCGTCCCTCCCGCTAATAAGGGTAGTAGTAATAACGCTAGTAATATCGCCGCCGTAGCGGCCTTAATAAGGCTAACTTCTTTCGTTTCGCTACTTCTTTTGCCTAATTACGTATTAATCGGTTTTATAGTAAGAAAGCGCCTCCCTTAGTCCTAAGCCCGCCGCCTAAGAGGCTACCGTTCTCCCTTAAACTCTTATTCCCTCGCGTACGACTACCGCCCCGCGTACGGCTACTATTCCCCGCTCGGCCGTTACTCGTCCGGCGGATACCCGCGCCTTCCCTTACCGTCGTTACGTAAGCGCCTTACGTACTTATTACGATAAAAAGGGCCGGGGCCCGGCGTATACGGAATACGCGGTTAACGGATATAATTATTAGCCGCTATAAGTATTACGTATACCTCGTATAAATAACTATTATTAATATCTCCTAGCCCCGCCGTCGCGCTTTCCGCCGCTTATTAATAAGTAGCCGGCCGTATTTCCGCTAGCGGCTTCCGCTTACGGAACGCCTTCGTTCTCGCTAACGCCGCCGAACGCTTATTAACCTACGGCTTAATCGGCCCGTTAACCTTCCCTCCCCCCTTTTTTTTTTTTTTTTTTTATATATATTAACCTTTTTTTCTAAAGAATTCGTAAACCTTATAATCCGAGCCTTTAACCCGGCCTCCCGCTTTAACGAAGCCGTTCCTACCGGTTTATTTACCGTCGCCGCTACCGCTTCCGCCGGCCCGTCCGTTACTCCCGCCGGCCCGCCCGTTACTCCCGCCGCTTCCGGCTTTAATAACGCCGCCTTTTAGCGTACGGTTTCGGCCCTAAAGGAGCGGATTAACGCCTTAAAAGGCTTCCGGCGCTTCCGTTCCCGCTCGCCGGCCCGCTTTCCGCGCTTCCGCTTACGCCTCCGCTACTTTTAACGCCGCTTCCGTTCCTTAGCTTCTCCTTTTCCCTTAAAAACGTTAGGTATTAACCGCGTTACGCGCGTCCGCCGTTCCCTCGCCGCCCGATTTATTCTCGACGAAGAAGCCGAAGAAGCCGATACTTCCGAATCTCCTCCGGAAAAGGAAAAAAACGGTAATTATAACGACGACGACGATTAATCGGCCTTTCCCTTTCCCTTTTTTTTTTTATAATTAAATAACGCCTTTATAACGTTTAAAAAAGAGATTTAACTTCGCGGCCCGGTTTTTAAGTACTTCGTTTTTTAATTAATCGTAATTTTAAGTTTTTTTAGGTCGTATATTTTTCCCTTAAGCCGTCGTTTACGGTTATTAATCCGTACTTATTTTCGTAAACGTTTAATACCTCTACCTTTATAAAGTCGGATAATAAGTATTAAAATAATTCTTAATAACCCTTTTAACGTATTAAAACTTCGCGTCGTTTTTCCTTACCTACTTTCTTATCTCTTACGTAAAGGATTTCCTTTATTATAAATTCGTTAGTCCTTTCGATAAATAATAAGAAAGGCTATAAGTCGTTTCGGGTTTAGCCTAGTAACTCGTTCGTATACGTTCTTCGTAATTAATTAACGTAAAACTTATTATCGATCTTAGCCGGGATATCTTTTAATTTAATTACGTATAGGTTTAATACTTTCGTAATCGTATATTTTACCTTTAATTAATCGAGCTTCTTTTTAAGTTTACCCGTATTATAATAAGTAAGGTCGAGCTATACTTTATCGCCTACTTAAAGTCTTTCGGCTAGAAATCGTTTCTAATTTACGTAGAATTCGTATTACTAAAAGGCTACGGCTAACGTTACCTATACGAAGTTTAAAACTACGCGGACCTTATTTACGAACGCCTTCGCCTAAAGTTCCGGTAATAAAGGTATTATTTCCGCGCCCGGATCGGCGGAAACCGTAGGTACGGGGTCTAAGTCGAAGCCGTATATCGCGAAGAAAGAAAAAAGCCTTATCGAGGTATTAAGCCGTTCGTTTAACGCTAATTAAACGATAAATAGTTATTATACTTAATCGTTTTATTCGTAGTTAATATAGTTTCGTAATACCGCCTAAATTTTTTAATTAACT